TTTTTTTTTTTTTTTTTTTAGATTATTTAATATTATATTTTTTTTATTAAATATTCTTTTACTTTTATTAAATATTTTTTAATCTAATATTTATAATAATAATAATTAAATAATCTATTTAATATTATTAATAAAAATATTTTTAGAACTTAAATAATTTCTTAATCTTTTTTTTATTTTTTATTCTAAGATAAAAATAAAAGAAATATTTATAAAATAATAATAAAATATAAAATATAATAATTTAATATAAAATAAATTTATTATATTCCTAAATTAGATTTAAAAAAAAAATTTATATTAAAACTAGATTATAAAATATATTTATAAAAAAACTAAAAAATTTATTATATTTTAAATATATTCTAAATATTTTTAATATCTAAATTAATTAAAAACTAATATAAAAAAAATTAATAATTTATTAATTAATAAATATTTTAAATAATTCTTATTATATATATTAAATCTAATTATATAAATATTTATAATAATATTTAATCTTATAATTAATTATTTTTTATTTTATTTATATTAATTATAAAAATATATTTAATCTTAATTATTTATAATTCTTAAGATTTAAAAAGCTTTTTTTATTAGATTATAAATAAAACTTAATAATATAATCTATTTTTAAAATTTATTATAATCTTAAAAATAATTTTTTATATAATTAAATATCCTAATTTTAAAAAATTAATTAAATTAATCTAAAATTATACTAAAACTCTTTTTTTTTTAAACTAAACTATTTTTATAAAATATCTAAAAATAATTATTAAATTAAAAAAAGATATTTTTTTTAAAATCTTTTTTTAATTATAAAAATAATTATTATAATTAATAATTAATAATTATTATTTAAATAAGTCTTTTTTATTATTATAATAAATTTTATTAATAATTTATAAGAGTTTTAAGAATATCTCTTAGGATTTTTATTTATAATTAAGATATATTTTAATAAAAATATAATAAATCTTTTTTAATAAATATTTAATAAATATAAATATAATTATAATTAAGAAATTATTAATATATATAAATAATAATTAATATTTAGGATTTTTTATAATTTAATTTATATTTAATATTTTTTTAGATTAATTTAAGCTTATTTTTAATAATAAAGATATTAAAAAAACTTAATTAAATAAATATTAAGAAATATTTAATACTAAAATTTAATAATTATTAATTAAAATATATTTATAATTCTTATTTATCTTAATCTTAATTTATCTCTTATTTTTATATAATTTAGATCTAATTTTTTTTTTAATTTTTAATTTTTTTAGATTTAAAAATTTATTATTTTTATTTAAATAAATATAAAATACTAAAAATAATTCCTTAATCTCTAATTTAATATTTAATATTTATTTTTTTTAATTTAAGATATTAGAATTTACTAAAATTTTATTTTTTTAATATTATAATATATAAAATATTTTTAATTTATATATAATTTATATTATATTATATATAAATTTAAATTATTTTATCTAAGTTTAAAAGAATAAAAATAAATAAAAAAAAAATTTTAATCTTTTAATTATTTTTTAATTTTATTATTATAATCTTATTATTTAAAATAATTATAATTTATTTAATATTTAATTTTTATAATAATTTATTTAATTATTTAAATAAATCTATTTAATAATTTAGATTAAAAATAATATTTTAAAAGTTTTTTATAAAAGATATTTTAATTATAAAAAAATAAATTTTTAAAAATATTATAAAAAAATAAATAATAATTTAGGTTTTCTTTGTATTTATATAATAATCTTAATCTTATCTTAAAAATTATAGGTTTTTAAAATATTTATATAATAAAAAAATAAAAAATAAATATTTAAATATAAATAATTCTTATATAATAAATATATAATTTATTAATAAAATAATCTTTTTTTATTTATAAGATATATAATCTAAATAAAAAATCTTTTAAATTAGTTTTTTCTTAATCTTTATTTATAAATTAAAAAGAATAATAAGCTTATATATTATCTTTAAAATAACATTATTAAAAATAAATTATATAATTAATAATAAAACTATTATAATAAATATTTAATCTTAGCTTAAATTATTTATAATATATTTTATATCTTCATATCTAAAATAAGTATTAAATAAATATTTAATTATATTTAAGATATTTATTATTATTAATAAAATACTCTAAAACTAAAAATAATTAAAAATCTAATATTATATATATATTTAATAAAATTTAAAATAAAGAATAATTAAATATAATTTATATAAGAATTAATATTAAAAAAATAAATTATAATTAAATCTTTTAATTATAAGATTAATATTAATTATTTAGGAGAAAAAATAAAAAAGAGTTTATTAAAAATTAATTTAATAATATTAATAAGAATAAGATAAAAAATAAGATAAAAAAAAAATAAAAAAAAATAAAAATAAAAAATAAAGATAATTAAAAAGATCTTAAATATAAAAGATTTAACTCTAAATTAAGCTATTATTAGATCTAAAATATAATAAAAATAATCTAATAAAAAGATTATTAAATATAATAATATATTTAATATTTTTAATAAAAATAGAGATAAATTATTCTTTATATATATAAAATAAGCTAAGATAGTTCTTTTTTAGATTCTTAGATTTTTTATTATATCTTAGTTTATTTTCTATATTTTTAAATTTAATTTTTTTTCTTATTATATAAATCACCCCTAATATATATATAATATATCTATAATCTAGATCTATATTATCCTAAAATTATACTATTCTAATATTATATAACTTTTTTTACTATATAAAATCTATATATATCTTTTTTATATAAACCTATAAGATAGGTATAGGTAGGGATCTTATCTATATCCTATAGAATAAAAGCTTATAGAATAAATAGCCTATAGGGGGTTTAACTATAGATTAATATAGATAGGCCTATAATCAAAACCTATAGGGAATATATATATCTACTTATACTTATAATATTTATAAAGATTAGTCTAATAAAGCTAGTTCTTATAAGATAGCTTTCCTAAGTTAGATATAATATATATTAATAGATAACCTAGTATAGGGTTCTTACTTAAGTACTTAGGGAAGAAGATTTTTTAGTTAGGATATCTATATAAGCTATATATTATAATCTTACTACTTTTCTAGCCTATAAAAAACCCTTCTATTTAGATTAATATAACCTTAGCTTTATAATTTAGTAGAGGTATAGCAGGTCCTAGGAAAGTTCATAGCTTAATCTTACTATCTAACCTAGCCTAGCTCTTAGTTAGTACTCAATCTTGATCATATATCATAATATCATACCTATCAGCATTGACCTTCTATAAGAGCCCTAGGAGCGACTCTATATGTTTAGTCCATATTCCTACAACATAACTCCATAATTCACTATTATACCAAGTCCAGATATCTTACATAACACCTGAGATTACAGGGGGCTTATCACTCAGATCTGTCAATTTTCTTTCTGAGTAGACTTGCACAATTCCTTTCCATTCTGCAATCATAGGTTTTCCCTAGGTCTGATCCACTTCTACATCATATACATGATACTCGGCTACCAGATTCTGTAGCCTCTTGACGACTCCTCATCTAGGCACTGACTTGTCGAAAAAATTTGAGAACGGTTTGAACTTCGCAGAAGAGATGTCAGATGGGTGATCAATTGCCTCCCCATCATGCAAGTTATGCTTAAGGGAGAATATGTGTGTTTTATACGTCAGCCAACCTTCAGCATCATTCGCAATTGGCGTTAAAGTGGTTTCACATTTGATGTGTGTATTGCACTCCCAAATCTGGTCTTTTCCGAAGACAATACTTCGCGAGGCAAGCACGCGCCCTTGAAATGTCCAGCCCCGAGTTCCGATCCGACTATCGGAGTTTAATTCTATCCAGCTTTGAGCATGTTCGCGCATAAAAAGTTGTGGGGTTCTTCCCTTCTTCTCTTGGGGCCTTTTTGACACCAATTTATCTCCTAATATTCCATCGTATCTCTGTGGTCCAGGAATCCCTCGTCGCCAGGGCTGGCACTTTTAGCGACAATTGTGACTTAAGTATTTTTATATATAGTCGCCATCTGTGATGCCTCCTTCCCCCAGTCATCTCGATCATCTATCTCGTAAGTCAAGTTAGATTAAACATACCGGAGAACATACAAGGTATTAAGTGGCTAGACGGGATATGTAGATCCTCGGATGGATGACAACAGGTATGCATCAGAAAAATCCTTACCTTGTATGATACACAAGCAGTCAATCCAGATATACCGAAACCCCAATGCCCTTGTGACCTTGATTGCATCTTGGATAGTGCGAGGTAAACTGTCGACATCGATCCCCTTCCTTCGTGCCCAAATATTTTTACTCGACAAGAGATGTAGTGTATCCTGCCTATTGAGAGGGCCTAAATCCACTAGCCGTGTAGGCAAGTGTGTCAAGGCACCTTGCACTTTTTGTGATGGTCCATCCTACAGGTTTCGAGAAATTTGCTTATTACAGTCACGCCTTCCTCTGATAGGGGGAACATAAGGGTTCTCTAACGATAATATGAGCTTTGCTGCGCCTGATTCGGGTGAACTGAACACCGCATAGCTTGATATTATTTGGATCACAAGCAGTGTTCGATTTTTAGAAGGTTATTGAAAGACTTGAAGTAGGAGGTGTTTCCTAGGATAGAATTGGCTCGACTATTCGCATGTAAATGAGGGGAATAATTAATATACTGTAGTAATTTAGTTCCAAGTATTTAATTTTTAATATACTTAGTAGTAAAAGAGCATATTTTAATACTATTGAGATTTATAGAGTTATAATTTATTCAATAGGGATAAGGGATCTATAAAGCATTTACACAATCATAATACCCTATACTTATACCTGTTAACCTCTTAACTTAACTAAAATAGCAGAGGTATCTTGCATTAAATTCATAAGAGCAAAAGTATTAGTTTTAAACCCCCTTTAACTATACTCTTAAGATAAATCACCCATAATATCTTCCTCCATCTCCAAACCGACACCTCCATTTCCACCCATACCTAACAGGTTCATACCTCCACCACTAGGCCACGATTGGCCTCTTAGAACACCGTCAAGGAACTCATCACACAAACCTAGCCTATTACCATTTCCTTCCACACCACCAAAGAGACTCTCCAGCAATTGTCCCTCTTGCTTGAATTGTGCTTGGATATTAGTCTCACGTGGCATTTTCAACAGAGAGGAAAGATCGCCGAAATGCAACATCGTATCCGTCGAATTAGCGTTGGAGTGTACTAAAGTCGCATCTGTATCTTCAGATACAATAAGTGATGCTATATGGGCCTCGCCAACCCCATTGGCATCGGCAGGCAATAATGGCGTGTGTGCTGAAAGTTCTGCCATCGTCAAGGCTGTAAAAACCTTCTTCGCCTTGATCAATGAGTGTGTTGAATATGCATTGACCACCTGAGAAACAAGACCCATGTTATTGTCCTATAGAATAGATTAGCAAAATCGACTTTGAAGTTTCAGTATAAAAAAATCACTCACCATACACCATATTTCTTTAGCAGCATCAACCTCCGCCTCTATTCTTTTCACATCGCCATACTCAAAAGCATGGGCAAGAGCGATGTAGGGCTTGGAAAGGGCCTGGAATGTTTTGAAGATATGAGGCGCAGTCATGCTCGGTGGAGAACATAGCTAAGCAAACGTTAGCGAGAGCGAGAGCGATAATCAACTACTCCGAGAAACATCTAGCATGATCCAATGACTCACTTTGCCCTTTTCGAGTAGCCCCACGAGGATCCATTTTTTATATGCCTCAACCATAATCATGCTCACAGAACCGATGGTGGGCATAGAGATCACAGCACCAAGAAAATGTAATGCCTTGCGCCACTGCTTGAGAGCCAAATAAATCATCCCTCCGTAGAGAAAGTACTGTAGGTAGTCTTTGTACGATACTCTTGACGAAAGACCAGTGGCCTCATTCATGAATGACATACTTGAGTCGTGCTCCGCACAGAGTACTGAGCATGGGCCAGAGGGGTCACAGTTCGGTAGCACAGGCATATGGAGTATATGTCTGTCCAATACTGGCAAAGCACAGGTATATGTCCTGGTCGTAAGACAAAGCTCGGTTAGAAGTACATGGGTTGATGTCAAGACAGCACAGGATGGATCGAGTCTTAGAAGTGCATCCTTGATCAATCGAGCGGCTAAAAGTGGCTATGTGAGATTAGTTAACCGAATAATGACAAACTCCACCATAATGATCTCTACCTTTGAAGCAGCCTGCGCCGCCTGCATCATGAAGTCGATTAACTGAAGCCATTCATGACCGGCATACCTAACTTGGATCGGGTCGAATACCTCCAAGTAGTGCGCTGATTTTGACCATATTGTCCCAAATGGAAGTAATTCTGCTGGTATCTCACTAGACGTTTCCCGCAGGGTGTGGATCTGGAGACGCAGAAGAAGAAGATAGGTGATTGAATCATTTGAGGCATCGAGTTTCTGAACCAAGCTAGTCAGTTAATTGGCCATGGGAGAAAAGTAGGTGTCATGTTAACTTGCCTCCAGAAGCGTTTGATCATGGGCAAGCGAGCTCAGATCGTTCTTCAATATCAATTGCCGTAGGTATGTAGTATGATCACGGAGCCGACGATCATAATCCTCACTTAAGAGGTTCTTGTCATCACAAAGGGTTACTGAAGCTGCAATAAGGTCGGCGGCGACAGACATCTTGGCTCGGCACCTCAGTGGGGCTCAATCGGCCTGGCAGAAGTGGATTGGAGATGTGACCGTATTTGAGTATCAGAGAGAGAGATTAAATTTCAATAGAAGAGTAACGCAGCAATTGAAAAGTAGTAGGAGGGAATGCGCGAAGTTTGCGTTCAACTAAATGGGTTGGTGTTGAGACAAAGCGAGAAGAGCTACCCTGGAGTGTGGAAGTGTATATAGACTAACAGTACAGCAGACCACTTTAGTGTACGGCAATCATACTAGCTTCTACACCGCTCTCTGTCACCGCCTTATAAGTAGTTACGGAGGTATTTTGATCTTTGGTTAGTCATCAATAATTCTGTCTCGTTAACCAAGTACATAAGTTAGTTAGTTAACCAATAACTAACTAACTAACTAGTTATGTCATTATATTATCTTAGACTGACTTAGTAGATATCTTTAATATTTTCATATATATATATATATATATAGAGAGAGAGAGAGAGAGAGAGAGAGGAGTATGTAGGAATATCCACTGTATACTTCTTTTTAACTGACAAGAGAGAAAAAGATAATAGAGAAAAAAAAATAAAAAAAAAAATAAGAGAAACTTAAGGGATTGAATCTTCCATCAGTTGAAAATATAGATAGGTTCATGCTAGTTTGTAGTGATGCCGCGCTCTGAGTGGGCCACCGTACTTGCCCGATTGTGCCCCTCCGTCTTGACTCATTTGGAACCACTAGGTCTTTTCCCCCCCCCCCACTCCCCTTCCTTTAGTTCTCTCCATTCCACTAAACCAGTCTCCTCCGCAGAACAGCCAGTCACATCAAACGAGGCAATGTCACTGACCGACTCTGCTGCTGTAGATGTGGCTCGTAGCGCATCTCTTGCCTCTCGCCAACTCGCAATCCTCCCAAATGCGGCCCGGAATGAAGCCCTGACGGAACTCCACAAAGCGCTGGTTCAGCACCGAGCTACAATTCTCGCAGCCAATGCGAGGGATGTGGAGGCTGCTACTCGTGCCGCTGATAGTGGTTATATCAACCACAGTGTCTTGAAGCGATTGGATTTGTCTCGACCTGGCAAGTATGACGATATGCTGCAGGGAGTTTTGAGTGTCCGAGACTTGGAGGACCCTGGTGAGTCTATTCCCGGTGTCATTTCTTATTTTCCTTTTTCTTTTCCCCTTGGTTATGACCTGGGTTTTTCATTTACGGACAAAATAGGTCCTTGCAATATCAGAATGCAACTAACCACTCGAGAGGCGTATAGTTGGCAAAATCACAATGCGAACTCTTCTAGATGAGGGATTGACCCTTGAAAGAGTCAGCTGTCCAATTGGCGTGCTTCTAATTATCTTTGAAGCTCGTCCCGAAGTTATTGCAAACATTGCCGCATTGGCTATCAAATCAGGTAATGCTGCAATTTTGAAAGGTAATTAGTACATGATGTTCACCTGTGTAGGCTGGGCTAGAATTGTTGACAAATATTTGAATAGGTGGCAAGGAGTCCCTAGAATCATTTGTGGCCATTGCAAATGTTGTCTCCGATGCCATTGCTGGCTCACAGGTACCAGTATCGTCGATCCAACTTGTCAAGACGCGCGATGCGATCTCGTCTCTCCTGGCCCAGGATTCGCTCATTGATCTTGTCATCCCCCGAGGGTCCAATGAACTTGTTCGTTTTGTGAAAGACAACACTAAAATTCCGGTTCTTGGGCACGCGGACGGCCTCTGCTCCGCCTACATACATTCGGATGCCAATATTCATACGGCAGTGAAGGTCATTGTGGATTCAAAAACAAATTACCCAGCAGCCTGCAATGCCCTGGAAACCCTACTCGTGCACGAAGATACACTGGACACTATTTTCCCCGCTGTCGCAACCGCTCTTCTCGACAAGAGCGTCTCCCTCCGCTGCGACGAGGCATCCAGAGCGGTCTTGATGAAGTCTTTGCCAGAGCACAAACATGCTGGAGTGCAAGCAGCTACGCCGGAAGACTACCAAACCGAATTCTTGGATTTGGTGTTGGCCGTCAAGACCGTCCCTTCTTCAGCCCCCTCGTCCTCGGCGGTTGAGGCTGCCATCGAGCACATCAACGCACATTCATCCAAGCACACCGAAATCATCTTGACCGAGTCTCAAGAGGTGGCAAACTCATTTATGAGTGGCATCGATAGCGCTGGAGTCTACTGGAATGCATCATCTCGGTTTGCAGATGGAATGCGCTACGGATTTGGGACAGAAGTGGGAATTAGTACCAACAAGATCCACTCCCGGGGCCCCGTCGGGCTTGAGGGCCTGACCATCTATAAATATTTGATCCGGGGCAATGGCCATGTAGCTGGAGACTACCACGATGGCGATGGTGGACGGAAATTCCTTCATTCCAACTTGCCCTTTTAGTGCTGGAGCTTGCATAGATATTACCAAAAAGTTTACATTTACATTTTAAGATACTAAAAACCATGATTCCAACGAATTTTTTTTTCTTTTGAAACATTTCGCAGTCGTAGAAAAGACGAGGACTAAGCCGGATGCATTTTTCTTTTGCGCCCCCTTCCATTCGTAAATTTCTGATCTCGCCACCCAATCCAAGACATATTGCCTTTTTAGGTACATCGACTTGACTCTCCAGCCAGACCTAGCGAGATATCCAGACACCCGAGGATTCTGTGCGATTGGATATTCACCGTAAGACAAACGCACAGCAAAACCAGTGCCTGTACCACTATTTCCCCAAAGTCCCTTAGACCTTGAAACCCTTGGAGCGTCTGCGTCCACGAGCCCGCTCGAACTTGCGGCCCTTGCTGGCAACGTAAGGCTTCTGTAAATGGAGAATTTTAGGTTAGTATGTCGCTTTGAAATACTTATCCACTTCTTCAAAATGTAAAATAATCGACGCACCTTGTGGGAGTGGGGGCCGAAACCGAAGTGCTTGACAGCTTCACGGGCGTTCTTAGGTCCGCGCAGGAGAAGGGTGTTGGCACCGGTAGGGGCGCGCAGGGCGAGCTGATCCAGAGTCAGGACCTCACCACCGGCCTTCTCAATACGGGCACGGGCAGTAGCGGTGAAGCGCAGGGCAGCGATGGACAGCTTGGGAACGGCCAGGAGGCGGTTGTCATCGGTGACGGTACCGATAACAACAACGGTCTTGCCCTTCTGGGTCTCGTTGATGTTGGCGGCGACACGCGAAATCGACACGGGGGGACGGTTAATGCGCGACATGAAGAGACGACGGAGAACCGCCTTGTTGAAGTTGGACTCGGTGCGGCCTGCCATAGAGAACCTAGGTCAGTATTGGTTCGAATGCACAACCCGCAAATTGCCTCCACACATGCGGCGTTGCAGATGAGAAAAGTCGATGGGGATTTCGATGGGGATTCATACGAGCAAGGAAGCGGTAGAGCTTCACGAGCACCTGCAAGTAAACGTTCTCGCTCTTAGGAGCCTTGCGGTGGCTGCTGCGCACATGGTGCCGGTCCAAGTCGATACCTAAAAATTTCCAATATTCGTCAGTCCTGAAGGAATTTCGAAAGAAGCAAGTAGAAGAATAGATGCAACAATGATTGCGTTCACAACGATGAGTCCTTGGCTCCTGGAATGCTGGCACTTACCCATGGCTGCTGGTATGAATTGAACACCTGGAGTTAGCTTGCTGTCGCACCCGTATGGAAACTGCAGGAGGTTTTTGGTCTTGGACTTTCGGCTGCGCGGGTGTGTGTGGGTTGAGCCCTACACTAATCCAAATCGGGATAAATGGCGAGTCACGTGTCGATCGACGTTATGTAACCTGGACGGAGCCTGTCACATGATTGATTCTGATTGATCCATGTGGCGACTTCTCCGCTTACTGGTGTCCACCTAAGTGGAGTACAGCAGATATTAGTTTTGTAGGATGAAGTACTTAGTAAAGAGTATGTTCAAAAATCTTTAAGATCTCTATAGAGAAAGCCACCTATTCAAAAACAAACAATAGAATATATGCCTTTTAGATAGCAATATAACACGCCCGAACTTCTATTGAACATAGATCTACTTAGTGATAGGGGTCTTGATATGTTTTCAAATAGGCACAAAAAAAAAAAAAAACCAGAGAGAACTTGTATATACAAAATCCGTTTCCCCCCTCCGACTCCATTCCTATCCTGGGAGAAGGGATACGACATATGCCAAGTGGTCGCTGAGGAAAAAAGAAAAGCGAGAAAGAGGGGGAAACATATTAAAGAAGAAGAAAAACAAGAAGAAGAAAAGAAAAAAAAACAAGAACAAGAACAAGAACAGCGCTCATCTAGGTATGTTCTTACTCATCTTTGTCCCCGAGACTGACCAGGAAATCTCGCGTCAACTCAAAGCTAAGCCAACTACTGGCCATGCTGGGTGCAACTTTGAGAAGATTTGGCCCAATTCCCTTGAAGAGTCCTCGCAAGCCTTCCTCGGCCACAATGACCCGTATGGCATCCCAGATTGACTTGTATTGATACCCCATTCCAGTCATGGTATTGATTTGGAAGCGTCGTCGCAGAACATCGCTAGATTAAATTAGCATTGGCCGGATCACCCAGTACCATATAATTGGGGGAAGGAAGATTATTGAGAAATAAAAAAAAAAAACATACAAGGGATATGTGCATGTTTGAGCCACCGCCCCCGAGATTGCACCTGCCAGCAGCTTCCGCCACGAGCTCGGATTCTTCTCGCCATCTGGTGTCAAATATGTTCGTACCGATTCGTAGGTCATGAAGTTCAGCCCCACCTGTGATCATCAGCAATGTCATCCAAGGGAACGAGGGCAAATACGGGGAAAAAAAAACTCACATAAGGCGCCACACCAACAACGGTAGGAGCAATGCCGCGATAAAGGGCAATTGTACCTCCTTCATTCTTGTATATTGATACCATGGTAGTCAACATGCCAGGGAGTTTTTGAGTAGGGTCGCGGTTCCCAAGGTCTGCAAACGAAGCAGACTGGATAGAAAGTCGTGTACGAATAATGTCTAAAGGGTAGGTAAAAGTCACGGACGTGATACCTGCAGCCGCACCACATAAGAGGCGACGAGCTGGTGACATATCGCCATCGGGAGACTCAGCAAACTACATTTGGTCAATATCATCTTCAGACTTCACAAACTCCCTTTCTTTAGAGCATTATAAGAGGCGATACTTACTGTCTTGTAGAAATTGTAGCTTCCAAATTGAACTGCAGAGTAGGGAATGATCCGGATGCAGTTGGTCCCATTACCACGCATAAATCCACGCCAGCCTTCCTCTCGACCCATTTTCTTTAGACCCTTCCATATGGAAAGTTTGTATTCTTCTCGTCCAACACTTTGAATTTGCAGTAGGATCTTTAAACGTTCCAGTGGTGATACAATGGTCCGGGAGACTGCACCAGCTACTCCACCAGCCATAAATGCGGCAACAACTGGCTCGGCAAGTCTACTTTTTGTTTGATTCAGGATTGATGCTGATTGAGGAATAGACTCCTAGAGAAATAAGATAGATCAGCCTTCTGCGATGTCGACATCAAGACCTCAAGGCCAACCAACCTTGACCGAACTTGGAGGTAAAACCTGCAGTGCAGGTTTTGTCGCATCATCATCCACCGCACCACTTTGCGTCCCATTTTGTCGATTAAGACTCATTTTTGCAGCATGTACCTCAAAGTCCACTGGGATCACACTGTAAAAGCCCCTTTCAAGTAGCACCGACGAAGTATTGTGATTCTCTCACTCTTTGACTTTCATTCAACCCAGTCCTTGTATCCCGAGTGGCGGAAGGAGGAGAGCTTTCCGGACAGGTAAGCCGGTTTTTGTATATGGGTTTAATCTTGTACCGCACAGAAGGAAGCGACTGCTTTGGATTTGACGTGCTTAATGTTGGCCATGAAGCTTTTTCGTACCTATCGCTTATCAATGCTTCATAGGTCCATTCTTCGGTAGACCTAAAGATAGTGGTTTCCCTCCCCCTCTCTGTTGGTAACCCACGACCTTATTTCAAGAAGTTTGAGGCGTTGGTGATGCCAGTATAATTGTGGAGAGAGCGATGGGCTGAAGGTGGAGGGGAAAGGGGGTGTAAGAGCTTCAATTCAGCCTCGAACGATTCGAACCAGATTGGTCGTTAATTTGAGAAAGAAAGAGAGAGAGAATAAGGAAAGTTTGAACTTTGACCTCGGAGAAAAAGAGAGATTGAACACTTTGTAGGTTCAAGTTTCTGGGGGAAGGTGGGGGAGGAATTTCCCGGGGATTGTTTCGACCTAAGCTTCAAAGTGGAAGAGGGTTAGTTGGAGAAGGGTGAAATGCATAACATCATCCCGATTTGCCGACATCTGCGGTACCTCCCGATGGTGCCACAGGAATAATATAACCAGGAGAAATGATTCTGATTTTATGTAAGATGATATCTATATGATGGAGAATTAAATAGATTTTCATATTCCAATATTCCAATCTTCTAATATTTCAATATTTCCTTCTTCATTTCTCCATACAATACATACAATCAAATACCAATTCCACGTCATTTTTTCTATCAGAAACGACTGGTTTCGCTTTCATCATCGAAAACATTCCTGCATACTTGGTCGCTCTAGTCCGCCTGGCTACCTGTCCCACCGCCTCAATCCGTTCCAAGAATCTCTTGTTCTTCCCTTACCACCTTTGCTATCCTTTACTTTTCTCATCCTCGTGTTGCTCTTTGCACCATGTCACGATCAGGAACCACTCTCTACGTTACTGGCTTCGGCCACGGCACCCGAGCCCGCGATCTTGCCTACGAATTCGAACGGTACGTGACGCCCACATCCGCCGCCAGGAACCTACGATTCTCGATATCCCTGTCTTTCCCTAATCCCTCCCCATCCCCTTTCAACACTCTTCCCGACGCTACGATGACCTCCCTGTAAACTATGGAATGGACCTGCTGGGATTTTGGTAATTGGTTGTGGGTTTACTCCTTCGAAGCTACTTCTTGGAAAAGCTGCGCATGAGAAGAGAGAAGAAGAAGCAGAAGAAGAAAAACCGAAGAGAAGACGCCCTCGGTCATTGGTCATGTTTCATGGCTGCACCCTCGCTTTGATACTTGGCTCGCATGCTAATACTTGGACTAGATATGGCCGCTTAGTTCGCTGCGATATTCCAGCTCCTCGCACTCCCTCAAGCCGACTGTAAGCTCTCTATACTATCTGCCAGTGTTGCATCTGAGTTTCTAATATCGGTTTCAGTTTCGCCTTTGTTGAGTATGAAAGTCGTCGGGATGCAGATGATGCCTACCATGAAATGCACAACAAGCGTATTGGCCGTGATGATCTCTTGAAGATTGAGGTAAGCTTCAATAGCTCTACACTGTAAATTCCTCAACTCACATTTCTATCAGTGGGCGCGTACTCCACCCTCCGCATCGTGGCGATTTGACTCTGGTCGCGACCCCACCCGCGACTCTGCGCGCGACTCTGCCCGTGACTCTGCCCGTGACTCTGCCCGTGATCCTGCACCCCCCCGTGAGCGTCGCCGTGATCGTACTCCTCCTCGACGTGGCCGCTCGCCCTCGCCTCGTCGGAGTCGTGGTGGTGACTACTCTCCCCGACGGGATGACCGGTATGAGCGGGACTACGATCGTCATGATCGTGATACTGATCGTCGTGACCGCGATGTTGACCGTCGAGACCGAGATGGTGATCGCCGTGATCGGGACCGGGAACGCTCCCGTGATCGTTCTCGTAGCCCCGATGACCGGGACCGTGATGCCAAGGATGACCGGGAGCGACGCGATGATGATCGGGAGCGCCGTGATGACGAGCGTGAAAACGTTCCGAATGGCGAAGACAGGAAAGGTGCGTGTATATCTACCCTTCAACCTAGGGATTACAGCTCACATTCAACAGTACCCTTGGATCCCGTCCCTGCTGCCCATGATGAGCTCGATACTGCTGAGTAGATCAACTCAGTGCCAAGTTCTATTGAGCCGTATTCCCTCTCTATATTAGGAATTCATGCCAATGGTCTTGTATCTCTCTACGTGAGCTTCATTCAGTGCTGATCAAGTGAGGTTTCTTACGAGTCATTTATTCTCCGATTTCTTGATTTCATCCAAGTTTCACCATGTGGGGGGTTTTTGTGGCTAGGCTTTCCGCAACGGCCCTTACTTCCGCGTTTGATTTCTTATGTGGTTGTTGGTATTTATCCTGGTCAGCAGCTCGGATTCCATCGAAACGAACGACGAGCGATCGTGCTTCTTTAGTCCCCGCCCGTCTATCTCTTTCTTTCTTTCTCCCCCCCCCTCCTCCTCTACTATCGTCTAGCGTTTCACTCGATGAATGCCGTCCGTCCCACCTCCCGTCTTATTCGCAGATTAATTCCACAACGGTTCTCTATCTCTCGCGCCTCTTCCTCCTCCCGCCCTATTCGACCACTCGGAGTCTCCTCAGGGGGGAAAAACCATTTCCCTCGAATCGGTCTTTGTAGAGTTGCCGTATGGCTAAACATATTCGTAAGCAATGAAATCAAAATATCAGCCTCTAAATGTTCGTCATTTGTAGCGGATGTGAGCTTGATAGGCTTAGCCGCAAATTTATAAACATTGAAGCATTCCACTCTTAAGGTGCAATCCAAGCATTTTCCAGGCCATGCATATCAAAGTATCTCCAAGTGATTCCAAGGCCTCAAGACGGAACTAAGTACTATCAATGATACCCAAGGCAACCCATCCAGTACAGTAAATTGAGTATTTTGTACGAGTATAGTGATATCACTACCAGTAGTAGTTATTATATGGCAATTACTCTTCATCCTCTCTATCCATATTCCTGAGTACCTTATCACCATGTGACCTCAAGACGCGCGCAAGTGTGAGACGCGTTTCCCTTTCCTTCTCTGCACACTTTCCTGCTTCTACTCAATCACTTTTGCCCCATAATGACTTCACGCAAGCGCTCATCAGATGCGCAGAACCTGGGTGATGATAGCCTTCAGGCCAAGAAAGCCAAGGTTAGCTCAGGTGATGCAGGCATCTCGAAGGTGGATTCGAATGGAGATAAGTATTGGGAAATCTCCAAAATGCGACGAGTAACCGTCTCCTCATTCCGCGGAAAACCCATGGTCAGTGTGCGTGAATTTTACGAGAAGGATGGTCAGGAGCTTCCCGGCAAGAAGGTCAGTATTTCCCGCGTTGCTCTCCCCCTAGCAGCCTCGGGCTTTAAAAGTAAACCACCCTAGCATGGCCGGAGACTGATATGTAATTTCTCAGGGAATATCCATGCCTGTTGCCCAATTCGCCGCCCTGATCAAAATTCTCCCTGATATTGAGGAAGCTCTCAAGGGACAGGGCGAGTCACTGCCCAGACCAGCGTACTCGGGGGATGGAGCCCAGTCCGATGGCGAAGATCAAGACAAGCCAAACAAGAGTTCCAGCCCTTCAAAGCCGAATATCGAGGCTACCAGTGAAGAGGATAGTGAGGCATAATCTGTGTGCGTTTAGTTAAGCATGCCGTTCTCTGGTTTGTAGGAGTGATTAAGGATACCAATTCCGATTTTATATGCTTAACTTGATCAAATCCAATTGCTTATTATGATAATGTAAAGTACGACAAGGCTGCTGCTGCTTCCGCATCTCCGCTATTTACATACTTGCCCCTTGGGTGGCCTCTCGGTGGGCAATTGAGCCTCCCCGCCAGGCGTGACGAGCATCTTGCTCATGAAGAAGCTGATGCTGGCTACCGACTCGGCCCCATCCTCCACCTCCGGGGGTTTGGATGATGATACGTTCCCCCGGTTGCATCTGAACGGAATTTTTCCCACCTAGGTTGATAAGTCGCTCTTCCCACTCGCCGTCAGGCCGTTGAACAAGACGGATCCAAAGGTTCTGGCCGCATATACCGTTTTCGCCCCCTTCCAACCCGTACGGGGGATGGACTCTGCGTTCGGAAAGGATAGAGACCTGGACTGGGATACGAAACTCGATATCTCGGATTACACCATCTCCCCCACGATGTTTGCCCTCTCCACCCGACTTAGCTCGTAGGCTGAACTCCCGCAACAGAACAGGATATCGCCTTTCAAAAACTTCGGCGTCGGTGATACGCGTATTGGTCATGTGGGTATGCACTCCGGACGTGCCCTCCCAATGAGGTCCTGCCCCACTCCCACCAGCGATGGTTTCATAGTACCCAAATCCCTTTGTTTCTATTTCACCAGCTCTGTTGCCACCAAATCCAAATGTTAAGTTGTTGGTATCTCCCTGGGAGGCGGCGCAGACTCGGAAGCATTTGAGAATGACATCGGTCACTCGTTGACTCTGTAAAGACCATTAACACACTGAAAGCGCATCCTTTATGGGGTCAAGGTCTCTTTCTTCCTTACAGTTAACACATTGCCTCCAACAACTGCTGCCAATTCTGATGGAGACAAGATGCTTTTGGGGGGATGCGAACATCAATTGGTTTCAAACAACCTTGGTTCAGCGGGATGTCGGCAGAAATGAGACATCGCAGGCAATATATAATTGCAGAGTATGTGACGGCTTCGGGGGCGTTGATATTGGCTACCGTTTTATAGATCATAAGCCTGGGAATGTACCTAAAATGGGCACCTCTCTTCCCTCTCTCTCTCTCTCTCTCTCTCTCTCTATATGTACTTACCGTAAACCTCTGGGCCCGTTCCATCAAAATCGAAGATTGCTTCACCTCTATCTTCGTCGATTGATACCTGCAGCTGAATGAGGGTTCCATCGTCCATGTAATCAATCGTCTTCAGGTCGTGGCCTGCAAATTTGTGGCTGATCTCCTTAAGTAGATTTCGTACACTGAGCTCTGCATTGTCTTGTATCTGACGCATGTAGAATAAAACAAGACCTTCTCCATATTCTTCAATGAGGGTGTTGATCAGGTTGATTCCTTTCTTGTTAGCAGCAATTTGGGCCTTCAGGTCGTTCAAATTGTCTGCTAGACACCGGGTTCCACTGCAATCGGAATACCGGGCAGGTTCGTTGTAGAGTAGCTCCGTGATGCGCCCCTCGTTGAATTTGCCTTCAGAGACCAGCCTCTCGCTCTTGACCATAGCTCCCTCCTGGTAGAGCTCCTTGGAGTGAGGGGGCATAGATCCAGGCAGAATGCCACCTATATCAGCTGAAGGAGAAAGGTTTAGTCTATGCCACGAAAAAAAAAAAAAAAAAAAAAAAAAAAAAAGCAGAGCAATTATAGGTTGAACGCATGATTAGAATTACCATGATGTGCCCTCGAAGCGACATAGAAAATGATTTCCCCGCCACTAAAAGCGGGTTGCAGAACCGTTATATCGGGAAGATGAGTACCGCCAAACTCCGGATGGTTGGATACAACGACATCACCTGGTTTTAATTTGCCATGCCAAAGTTGAGCCTGCATACAAACGCAGGTTGACATGCTTCCCAAATGAACGGGGAGATGTGGTGCATTCGCAACCAATCCACCTTGGGCGTCGAACAACGCACATGAGTAATCGAGCCTTTCCTTGACATTAGTACTGACGCTGGTTTTCTGTAAAGCCCGTCCCATCTGCTCCGCAATAGCCATGAATCGGTGCGAAAAGACGCTGAGGAGAATCGGGTCTATCGTCTCAGTGCTGATTTGGGACAGCAGATTGGCATCGGATTCACCCAGATTGATAACAACGTGAGTCTTGATGAGAAGCGCGGAGGTTCCTGGGGACACCAAGATAGTCTGAGTATTGTCAACCAGGATAGCTGGTCCTTTCACTCGGTCATTGACTTGTAGCTCATCCAATCTATAGATTGGTGTCTCATGTCGACCGCCCTCGAAATACACAAAGGACTTTCGGTATTCTCGACCCTCTATTACGTCTTGGGGTTTGGATTCTTCAAGTTGTTGATCCACCGTTTTCTCGAATGTTTGGAAGCCTTTCCCAATGCCTCTCACTCGTACGTCGTCAATGATTATATCCCGACCTGGAAGGATGAACCCGAATTCCTGCTCATGTTGACGTAAAAAAGCTTTGCCAAAGGCCCAGTCCTCTCCATCGAATAGAGGATTGGACTCCTCTTTGCTAGGCTTCAAGATCATGAGGGCAGATTCTGTGCCCCTATAACGCATATTGAGATACTCTTCAAACATAATGGAATTTTCAGCAAATCCTTGCTCTTGTAATCTGTGGCATGACTTCATCTTCAGTTGCGACATCTTCTCTTTGAGATCCTGTATATCACTTTGATCATCGCTCCAGATCTTGGATTCTGGTTCCTGGTTCTCGTCAACCACGTCAGCTAGTGCCATACCATACGCAGAAAGAACCGAAGAATATCGATGGATCAGAATCTGTCGAATTCCAAGGCTCTCTGCAATCGCCACGGCATGTTGCCCTCCTGCACCGCCAAAGGTGGCCAGTCTATGTTTGGAAGTTTCATGACCCTTGGCTTCTGTTAATGATCGAATTGGCCGGGTCATCGTCTCGTTAGCAATCTGAATAAATCCGAAGGCAACTTCGTCTGCAGTCATCACCTTCCCTTGTCCCTCTTGGGTCATGTCTTCGTTGATATGGCGGGTCAACTGATCAAATAACTCGCGACTTCTGTGTTCGTCCAGCCTCTGATCTGCGCCGGTGTCAAATATATCAGGGAAAAATTCGGCAACCAATCTACCAAGGAACAGATTGGCATCAGTCACCGTCAATGGGCCATTTTTCCGGTAGCACGCCGGACCTGGGTGTGCCCCCGCGGATTCAGGACCAACAACAAAAAGTCCATTGCGGTAAAATAGCATAGAGCCACCACCAGCGGCCACAGTGTTGATATCTAGCTGGGGTGATTGGATGGTCACTCCAGCTATATTGGTCTCAAACACGTGTTCGTAGTGACCTGCTCCATATCGGCTGACATCAGTACTTGTTCCCCCCATATCAAATCCAATGATAGGGATTTTCGCTTCATGATCATACGATGTCAATGCGTAGCCCACAACTCCACCGGCTGGACCCGATAAAATGGCTCGTAGGCCAGAGAACTGGTCGACATCAACCAGCCCGCCATCTGACTGCATGAACTCGCAGCGAGCTCCCCATAAGCCTTTCTGCTTCTTGATACTTTTATTGCCAAGGCCCCCTTCAAACCCAGCTTGGAACCCTGAAATATATCTTTTAATAGTGGGTGTCAAATACGCATCTGCACAGGCTGAAGTCGCTCGTGGGATGAGCTTGATCATGGGCATAAGCTCATGACTGAGGCTGACATGATGGAAGCCAATTTCGCTGGCAAGCCGTCCAACTAGCGCTTCGTGATCTGGAAATGTGTAGCCATGCATGAGGCACACTGCGATACTGCGGATTCCTCGATCATATATATCTTGTAGTTGTGCTTTTACCACGATTTCAGATGGACGTTTTAGGATCCGAACTGCCTCAGAAGATAGGCCTCGGACAATCCCGGTGTCGAGAGGCGGGTTTCCTTGTAAATTTGTGTCTGTGACATGGCGTTGAGGATCCTCTGCGTAGTCTTCCAGGGTAACGCGCTCGTCTACTTCCGCCACTTCTTCATATAGTACCTTCGGACGTTTGATGGCGAGATCGAAGATTCTAGGGCGTGACTGATTACCGATGCGAAGGCAGTCCCGAAATCCCTTACTGACTACCAACGCAATCCTTTCGCCTTTGCGCTCCAGTAATGCATTGGTCGCAACCGTTGTGCCCATTCGAATGCTCTGGATCAGAGTGGTGTCAATCAATCCACCTCGTGGGATATCACGGCCCGTGAACCTGGATAGGATTCGTCGTATGCCTTCAAGAGGGGCATCTTGGTAGTTATTAGGATCTTCAGATAACAATTTGATCACAACGTCATCTTCCAAGCGGCCTGATCCTGGATTTCCTATGCAATCGGTGAAGGTACCGCCTCTCTAAAATGCTAGGTTAGCTAGATATTAAGAAGATTGCGATACAAGCCAGACGACAAATTTGGATAGAGAAATCATAAACACGTACATCGATCGCAATACGAATACCCTTTTTCTCGGCTTCCTCCATGTTGATGAGGTGCATGTGGTTAACATTGAATTGATAAGCTCACATGTGCACGTTGGATGGGTCAACATGGTGCACATGTGTAGTATGTATACTAGTACATATATACATATATTGCCCCGTACCATTACCACCATTACCACCATTACTCTGTATTACGTCATTGCTGGCATACAGTCATAGTTAGTTAATGGGCACTTGAAGATTACCAACTTTGAATGATATTACAAAATATTGAAGTAATACCGACTGGTCAGAACATTATGTATATTACTTTGGACATCTGGATATACATATCTACATACTATGTTATATACCTACATACATACACATTAATCTGGAAATGGCCACCTGGTTAGGTTCAAAATGTTAGGTATACACATATGCACATGTCATATGTAGCCATGTGTTTATATTCCCAATATATATACCATTGATTGATGTATTATATTTCGATTGCATGCACGTGTGGGTCGATCGGTTGGATAAAAAGAACCACCACCTAACATTTGAAAGAAATACTCAAGACCACAATATTCCAGATCATATAAGTACTCAGAAGTCCCTCCATAGCTCCCTGGCATATACTAACATTGGATGTTTGGAACCAATGTTGGAAGTGCTGGCGGCCCGTGACCGGAATTCCTACATACTAGTACTATGTATTGGACAAATTTGAATCCGAGTCCTTACGTACCTCATTCAATGTTGAGAGCTCTGTTCAATGTGAACTGGGGCCTAACCAAGAGCAAACCCAGCATGTCCACTTTGGAAAGTCCATAAACGTCCCCACATGCACGCCTCTGGATTGATACGGTCCCCATTACAGTGTCAAGACCCGCAAACCTTGCAAAAGGACCGAGAAGACAAACCCCTGTGCCACACTCTCGACCTGAAGACTATCAAAGATTTTCTCCAGGGCCTCTCGACTAGCAGCAGCACCCATGACACTGGTAAGCGCCTGTGGGATCCCTCGTTGAACAAATAGCTTACGTGCTTTGTCCCGTAATTTGTCTTTCTCTTCCTCGGTAGGTGGTGTGGGCCAGGCCTTGAACTCATCATCCGTCGGGAGAGCATTCTCACGAAGCTTCTTCAAGTACTCGCCAATCGCATCATCCGATGTGTGGCTTTCAATCATGGAGTCTTGAAGTAGAGTACGGATAGTCTCAAGGGTTGGATTACCCGGCCGTAGGATATATGACTTGGCCGCGTTTAACAGGGTGCGCCGGATGTTCCACGCCGACGATAGGGTGTACAGCTCGTTGATCACCGCAAAGATCAACTCTACTGCAATCTGAGTCTCGTCCGCAGTGATGGGCATTTGCTGTCGACGAACTCCCTGCGAAATGAGTTCTAAATCATTGCTGGTGCTTGTTTCGTTGGGAAGCGGCGATGAAACCGACCCAGGGGCCTCTTTGTTTTGCCCCCCTTCGTAGTGACTGGTTGATTCTGATGATTTTAGGTCTTCAGGGGGTGCCATCGTCGATTCTGAAGCCCAAGTATCGCGTTTACCATCCGTCTGATTAACCCCATGGTTGACATCGTCAGGTCTCCCTTCCACCAAAAATTCCGAAGGAGGATTTGGCGAGACCATCGATGAGAATGTTTCCCCCACCTCGCTAGCTATTGAAACGATGGGGTCATCTGTAAGATCCAGGGATCCACGGTCGGTTTCTGTAGAAATGTTAAGGGCCAGGGGTGGAGGTTGCCGAATAGAAGTGCTGGTAGACTTTCTGCCATGGCTAGTCACTCCAAAGACCCCTGTCATGCCATCAAATACCGCTTTCCCACCCCCCGCCACTCCCTTTGGAGCATTGGTTAAGGCTCCCAATACACCTTTGCCCATATTCTCGAACGCAGTCTGGCTTGGGAAAGAATATCCGGTTTTAGCCACGCTTACTTCATTGGAGCTGCTTTCCTTTTCCAAGAACCGTCGCATTCGATCAGTTTCCGCAAGCGACTCATACTTCATGGCCTCCTGCAGATATCGCTCTAAATCACGAGACAGATCATGTCTGGTCTTACCTTTCCAGGCAGGTAGGGCAGGAAACTGCTCAGAGAAGCCTTGAATCCGGTTTAACCTAGACACAGTCTCCAGCATTTCATGCAAAGACTGAAAGTCATGATATTTTCGGAACACCATCCATCCGGTAGAGCGAGCGGAAGTTGGTTCAACTTGGAGTAAATAGTCCCATGCTGGCTTCGATTTGATAATTCCGTTCTCTCTTCCCGCTGCATCATCATCTACCATTACCTGAGCCCCATGGAGGCTCACAGGCGGGGTAGGAGGCGCCCCTTCTCGTGGTGGCATCATCGATGAAACCTGTATGCCCGGAGGTGTTGTGCCTGCTTGGTCACTCATTTCACAATCGTTGGTGACAGACTGTGTCAGTGGACTTCCTTCGGTCACGCTGGAAAGCGGTATATCCGTCTCATGGTCATTTCGAGCCGGGAGTTGCGCAGCTATGCCCCGCAGATCTTGTGAAGCAATCATGGCGCTTAAACGTTTCGCCTCTCGCATAGCATCCTCAGTTGCAATATCAACCTGATCTGGCGAGCTTCCAGTAGACTGGGATAAAGGTTTGTCTTTAGGTGGCTCGGAGAGCACATTTTTTGAGTCTTCTGAAGCCCTGGGAGAATTGACGCTCTGATTCCGTGCACCTTCGACGCCAGCATCAATGGCATGCATTATCTCAGATTCGCCATCCTGGAGAAGGTAGATGATCCAATCGTTTATAAACTCAGGGCGAGAAAGACTGATAACCGTCGATTCCAGCACAACTCTTGCAAAAATCTTCCGAAGGAAATCCCTGACAGGAGAGCACTGGTATGCTCTAGGATCGAGGTAGTTGGATAAGATATCATCTGCTATCATGTCAAGTTTCTTCCGTTGTTGTTCCTTGGACAGCACGTTGGCCAAGCTGCTGTCTGGGAAATTCTCCAGGTATTGGTCCACGATCCTCTGAGCTTCCACTGGCGACGACCCATTGGCAGTAAAAGCAGCGGCAAGTTCGTTCAAAAACACAATGATTATCGAAGATGAGTTCGTGAGAAATTGGAGAAATGTATCCTCCGTCCGCTTACGAGATAAGTGGGACGAGATGGTTGTCACGAAATGGGTTAAAGTTCGTCGACAGGATCCGGGAAACGTTGACTCTTCTGGAAGAATCGGGTCATACCAGTATCTTCATTTTTAGTTAGCCAAATGGTCTATCCATGAAAGGAGCCATACTCCTTACTTCACGTAGTCCTTCACGATCGCATCAGTGAGCACTCTCAACGCGGCGGCTGTTGCTGGCCGGAAGGTTTCATAATTGAGATCGAGAACGGATAAATCCTCTGGCGGCGAGACCAGATTACCGTTGATTGCCTCGTCACTGGTAGGGTCCGACGTTCGAAGGGGCCAGTCTAGCAATCTTTTGGAAACCTCCAGGGCCAGCTCACGTCGCTTCTTTGCAATGGGTAATTGTATATCATTGCCGCTGGAATTTAATGGGCCTTCCCAAGACGCATGTAGAACGGCCCCCAGTGCTATACCGATCAACAAAAGCCCAAGTCGTCCAAATATTAGATAGGTTGCGACAACAAGAAGCGCGAATACGCCAAGTAGCCTTTCGTTGCTCGAGGTCGATAAAAAGTCGAGGGCCAAATCGAGACATTCCTTCAGCAAGTCTGCATAAAAGGAGCGTTCTGGCAAAGCAGTTTCGTTTATCGTGTGTTCAGAAGTACCCGTCAACTTCGGTGCGGTGGGCTGGGACGCGGCCACGTCATCGCTGGAGGAAACCATGGTGATTCTAGCATGCGTTTTAGATTTGAAAGTTGAGCCAAGTACTAGGTATTCAAGAGACCTTGGTTCTTACCTCCATTCCCCTTCCTCTGGGTAACCTAAACTTGAGACCTCGGGAAGAGTAGAGGGAGAAATCAAAATATGCCGTTGTTTTCAGGAGATCGCCGCATGGAGGAACGGTGGTCAGTGCGGAGGTTGCAAGGCTGCAATTGGGCGTTTCCCCACACCATAAGATATTCTGTGTAATATTTATATAAAGGTATATATAAATAGAATGTACTGCCCAGGGGGTTATATGTACGGAGTACAGTCTGTGTGCAGATGGAAAGTGCCGTAAGATATTTCAATTTCAAGTTCATTTTGATGTATATTTATATAATTCAATAAGATATGTATCCATTCATAATTGCCCCAATATCATCCAAGACAAGTCAGGCATCTAAAGCTAAACAGAATGGAAGTTGCTCTCCGCTATCCGAGTGAATCTGGGCATTCAAAGTGCATGCGAGTCATGCCAGACGTAAAGAGATTGCGGGATGTATTCTACTTAATGTACCATATTTAATGGTCAAGAGAAAATAAAGGAAAAAGAAAAAGAAAAATGTCCTGCTGGCAGCATCATGCCCAGGAAGAAATCATTCTCAGCGGGTTCGCACATATTTAGTGTGAGAACCTTGAGCCACAATCGTAAGACCTTCCTCAGTCTTTTTTGAGATTGTCACAGTGGTAAAAGCAAGCGACTTGCCAACCTTATTGGCCCGACTTTCAATTTCAAGCCAATCACCTTCAGTTGCAGTTGAAAGGTAATTGACATGAATATCAGTGCTGACACCTGTCGAGTCCAAACCGTGAGAGGCAATGGCCATGCCACCTGCCCAGTCAGTCACACATGCCGAGAAAGCACCGTGGAGAGTGCCCTTGGAGTTGAGCTGGCGTGGGCTGACTTGAAGTCGAGCGCGGACAACACCCCTCTCGGCCTCATAGATTTCAATTGTATCCAGAAGAAATTCGTAGATAGGACTGTTAGGGCGAGTCCGTTCCCATACTTTCTGGACCTGTTGGAGTTCAGTGCTCATGATTGTTGGGTGAAAAGAAGAAGAGCGATACAGGGGAAGAAAAAAAAAGAAGGAAGAAGAAAGAAAAAAAAGAAGTGAGGGTTGGAAGGAGAAGGTAAAAGGGAGAAGAAGCAAGGAAGAAAAGTGTTTTTCACGTTTCCGGGTCCGGAAAAAAGTAGTAGCCGAGAAGTGGGTCTACATGCGCTTTCTCCGATGTCGGGATTGTCTCGACAACATTTGGGATAAGATGAAGTGATTGACATCTTCATCACCCCAATAGGTGAGGTGGCTCGCAATACTTGCAATTAAGGAAATGTCAAATGCTCCTCTGTAAATTTAGCAAAAACAAGAATTATTCCTAGGTCAGATCACATATCAATACTGAAAAAAAGGACTCGGATCACTTACTCTTGCACACTATAATCGATGCGACCATTGGAGTTCAGTGATCGTACTTTGGCATCTTCAAACTTCATCTTTCGCTCTTGTTCATCAGGATCGCTTCGAGTACAATCTTCATGCGATGTTCCTGTCAAGTCCTTCTTTTGAATATTGCGACTCCTTTGAAATCCATCGTAGAGAGTTTCGAGGTCGGGGTCAATCAAGGTCTGGACCTGGCCTTCGGACTCCTGCGAAGGTTCTTGTGGGGCACCGGACTGGCTGCGCTTATGCCCTGGCACAGGCGATTTTCCAGCGACAGGGATTTCATCAGCATGCAAGCCCAAATGTCGGTTCAGTAAGCTGCTCGCAACGCCGGATGTGAAATTGCTCCAGAGAGAACCCACACTTTGGCCCATGCGATCTTTGAGAATGGACAGACTTTGACCTGATGCTGTCCAGAGACTTTTCTTCACCGACGGTAGTGGCTGAGGCTTGAGGCTTGCCATCGCCGGGGAGACAAGGGGCTCGATACGATAACTCACGGGATCTGATGGATGAAAGATGTTGTAAAGGTCGTGGCATTTGGGTGCGGAATCAATTGCGGTGTTATCAGTGCCATCAGCTCCATTTGAGTCGCGCGTGGAGCCCTTGAATGACCCAAAGGCATTGGATCCAAGCTCCCCGTCCAATGCACTTTTGTGGCCCTTTGCGCTCAAGGGGGAGTACCCGGCAATGGTTTTACCTTTTAGCATTTGAAACAACGCAATGGGGGAACCGAGGCAAAAAAACTCTTCACATTCAAAATCCAAAGCGTTGGATCCTCCACTTCCTCGATCTTGAACATTCTCATTCCCTTCTGCTCTGATGTTTTTCTCTTTGCTGCCGTCAACATCACTGGGTTGGTGGCATAAGATATCAAATAAAATTGCACTTCCGAGAGAATGGCCACAAAGACTGACCGATCCCTTAAAAGAGGGATTGCGCTTCTTATAGAGGTGAAGGATGCGATTGCATTCTTGCCTCACAATATTGGAAATGTGTTCACAGTATCCACTTTGATAAAGCAGTACATCCATTGCCAGGTCCGAGATAAGATTCCGCACAGCAGGCACACTTTCCAATGTGATATCTGCCAAGCTGGGGTATGCATCATCCTCAAGCGTATCGGCATCTGTAAGATCAAGTTCCTTCCGGTTTTGTCGGACCCCCCGATAAGGAAAATCCAGAAGATGGCGCCAGCACCTAGGCAGCAAGTTAGTTTGATGAAATTCAGAGGCAGTCCACCAACATTTGATAAGAACCAAGATATGAGCCAAGAGGGAACTCATGGAAAGGTCACAGTGCTCTTACTTACACGGGAAGCACTTGCACACGGCAATTACCATCACTGTCACCAAACGCCGAATTTAGCGCTTGAAGATCAGGCGAGGCTTTATAGACTCCCTTGAGCGTCTTCCGAAGAACATTCACGTCATGGATGAAATTGATACTTTCCAGCCGTAATCCAAGTCGTTGGCCAATGCCATGAGTCACCAAGACCAAATGATCGACCTCTCGTTCCCTATCTTCACCATCGACCTCTCTCAGATCTTCCATCTCCTGCTCTTCCTGTCGGCGGGCTTGTTCCTCCAGTTCTGCTGGATTTTGCAGCTCTCCTGCAAGAGACGACATCTGTCGTTCCAACGTGGACTTGGGCCGCATTTCAAAGGGTTCAGATTCAACCTTAGCTTGCATAGTTGGCGCCCCCAGGGAATCTTGCCCGATATCTTCAGCAAGGTTTGTGACCGGAGGTCTAGAGCTAGTGCCACTGACAATCTTTTCGGTGGGCTTTCGATCTTGGCCCCGAAAATCTGATGTATCTTTCGCTCGTTTGGGTTCCACCAAGCCACGCACGACTTTCGTGCCAGGGACACCACCTAGCCTTTGGTAGACTGTGGTGCTAACGCGGGACATAAAGTCGTCGGTGTTGATCCAGGCCGTAGAAGAATCCTGGTAGACAACAATCCTATTCATGTAGGCCCCGAAGAGGCGGTACTGTTGGGGATCAGAGGTAGCACCAGAGGATGAATCGTTTCCCACGGTCTGAGAACTTGACTTGGATGCTTCTTGCCTGCTAGGTATGCCTAGATCTAGCTGGGAATCCCGAGCGTTCGTTTCCCCGTCAAGTCCAGTGTTTCGGTCTCTAGGGCTCGGCTCGGATGATTTAGTCTCCGCGTCCGTTCGCCAAGGGCGTAATTTCAGATAACCTTCTTCTAACTGGGTTGCAAGATTCTCTTCACATGGCTTCAAGCTCGAACCATCCTGAAAGAACCACGTCCCCCGTCGAACTTCATAGATGGGGCCAATCCAATAAGCCGGGCCTAGCTCACGATCTTCCACGTCCACATCAAACAGATAGTCCTCATTTACGGGTACCTTTTTCGATACTGAACTTTGGGGTATGGACTGGGCTTGAGGGTTCTCTCTGGAGTCTTCAGCCTCTGACAACGCGAGGTATGTTGTCTCAATGGACTGAGAGTCTTTCAATGAGAAAGGGATGAACTTCTTCGGGGGAGGCGGGGGTTTCTGGTCGGCTTTCTTCGGGTCAAGAAGTACAGGCTTACGCTTTGGCGAATCTACTGCATAGAACCATCTCACTTTCAGTGGTGGGCAATCCGGGGGGTAATGGCGCAGGCTCGGCCTGTGTCGATGAGTTACCGTGTGGTCTTCACCCTGCGAGCGCTGGAGGGCATCTAATTCCGGTCGATCTAAATGAGGCGCAGAGCTCTTTTGGGTGCTCCATGGAGAAAAAGAGCCCAGAAATGATTTCTGGTCGACATTCGCCATGGCCGTCGGCCTCGCCCGGTACAAGAGCTTGGAAGGAATCAACGCGAAAACCCGAACAAAGTATATGGCGTCAAGATTAGAGAATGTTGGTGATAGACTGTATTCAGCCAGGATTTCAGGAGAGAGGCAATAAAGGTGGGGGGTTCAGATCACAAAAAAGTGAAGGTAAAGTTTCAAGGTTGTTTTGGGGTCTTATCTCCAATTCCCGGCATGATGTAATCTTCCTCTGCGTACAATTTGAGTGTCCACTACAATAACAGTACGGAGTACAGTACCAGACAGACTAAACCACAACACATAGTACAAATTACAAATTACACCAGGGACAAGAAGTCATCCATAATTGCCGATAGGTACAAGAATATTCCCAGTCCAAATATGGTATTATCCAGGCATGTTCTGTAGAAAAGGCGTGAAGATGGTCAAGTACCCCGTATTCGTATCTCTCGGACTTCGTATAGGAGAAGAAAAAATAGGGTACATACATAGTAGTAGAAAGCAGAGAAAATACCAGCTTAGAAAATCAACAGAGATAAAAATAAAATACCTGGTTACCTAGCAACTTCGACGTCATCAGAGCAAGGCAGAACAATTGAAATAGTGGTAATAGAGAGGCTGAAACAGGAACCTGCAAGGTACTTATAGAATATATGGTTACACGTAGTCAGATAATGTATACACCAAGTAGCATGGCTGTAACGGTACAGAGCCAATACTGGTACAACATACCGCCATGCGAAGTGGCTCATCGGACCCCACTCCCATTCTCCCCCCGTGTCTCTTCCGTCTTCCCCTCCCCCTCCTTCACTTCTCTTTTGCTTCTTTTGCACGATCAAGTATTACTTGAATACTTGCAAGAAGCCCAATTCCCTCGTGGTGACCGATATCTGGTCCTTTCTTACCTTTCCGCACCGGTTAGGTTCCTTTCCCTCTTCGAGATTCGAGATTGATCTAGCCGGCGTTCCCCGCTATCGTTGGTCTCCTCGAAGATGAACGCCCTTAAGCTCCAGAAGTTTGTTCCACTCTAAAAAAATATTTATCCTGCGTCTAAAAAGAAATATTTACTCACGTGTCTTTTTTTCACCAGGCGATTTCCGCAGCTGGACCAGGGTGAGATTTTCTCCCTCCAGGACGCATTCCACAAGCTGGATATCGACGATCGTGGCTACTTGGATGAAGCCTCGGTGATCAAGGCTACCCAACAGTCCGAGCGACAGCCATACGACGTGGTGCGCCAGACCTTGAAGGGTGTGGAACTCGATAGTTCTCGGCGCGTAGAGCTCGAGGACTATATCGATGTATGTGGCCATCCTTTCCTTTCCACCATCCGCTTATTCTCATAAAGTGGCACGAGCTAACATCAGTCCTAGTTAGTCGCGAGACTCCGTTCGGGGCCAGCCCCTGGTGCTCAAGGTGGATCTAGTCCCGCGGCTGTAATCCAAGGAGCGGGGGCTAGAGCCGGCGCGGGCGCTGGTGGACCCCGTCATGTTTCCAAAGGAAGTGTTGGTGGTAAAATTCACGTCCAGGGCTCATCGGCCAATGTCACACATACAATCAACGAGGACGAGCGGACGGAGTTCACGCGGCACATCAATGCAATCCTGGCTGGCGATCCGGATATTGGCCACCTTCTGCCCTTCCCTACCGACACCTTCGAGATGTTCGATAAGTGCAAGGATGGATTGGTGCTTGCCAAATTGATCAATGATAGTGTGCCTGACACTATTGATGAACGTGTTTTAAACAAGGCAGGAAAGAGGATCAAGGAATTGAACGCCTTCCACATGACTGAGAACAATAATATCGTCATCAACTCTGCCAAGGGTATCGGCTGTTCAGTCGTGAATATTGGAAGTGGAGACATCATTGAAGTTCGTGAGCACTTGATCTTGGGTCTGATCTGGCAGATCATTCGCCGTGGTCTGCTGGGTAAGATCGATATCAAACTCCACCCTGAGCTTTATCGACTCTTGGACGAGGATGAGACTCTGGAACAGTTCCTACGCCTGCCTCCAGAGCAGATCCTACTTCGTTGGTTTAACTATCACCTCAAGAACGCGAAATGGGACCGAAGGTGGGTTAAATTTTTCTGACAGTCACCGCCAACTTGATAATCTGACTAGTGACTAATACGCTTATTATCTAGAGTCTCTAATTTTTCGACCGATGTCAAGGATGGTGAAAATTACACGGTTCTCTTGAACCAACTGGCCCCGGATGTCTGTTCTCGCAGCCCCCTTCAGACTGGAGACTTACTTCAACGAGCTGAGGAGGTTCTTTCCAATGCCGATAAGCTTGATTGCCGAAAGTTTTTGACTCCGACCTCCCTCGTGGCCGGAAACCCGAAGCTGAACCTTGCATTTGTCGCCAATTTGTTTAATACGCACCCAGGATTGGATCCTATCACGGAAGAGGAGAAACTCGAAGTGGAAGACTTTGATGCTGAAGGAGAGCGTGAGGCCCGCGTATTCACACTCTGGCTGAACTCCCTTGATGTGCAACCATCGGTAAACTCTCTCTTTGACGACCTACGTGATGGCACTATTCTCCTGCAAGCCTATGACAAGGTCATCCCCGGAAGCGTTAATTGGCGACACGTCAATAAACTCCCGGCATCCGGTGGCGAGTTGATGCGTTTCAAGGCAGTAGAGAACACAAATTATTCAATTGAGCTAGGAAAAGCAAACGGGTTCTCTCTGGTAGGTGTCCAGGGTGCTGATATCACAGATGGTCAGCGAACCCTCACACTCGGGTTGGTATGGCAGTTGATGCGTCGGGATATCACCAATACGCTGTCTGCCCTGGCTCAAAGACTTGGAAAGCGTGAAATTACCGACTCGGAGATGATTCGATGGGCCAATGACATGTCCAAGAGCGGCGGCCAGTCATCTTCGATCCGCAGCTTCAAGGACAAGTCTATTGGAACTGGCCTGTTCCTTCTGGATGTACTGAATGGCATGAAGAGCAGCTATGTTGACTATGACCTGGTCACCGCTGGTCGGACCGATGAAGAGGCATACGCCAACGCCAAACTGAGTATTAGTATTGCCAGAAAGATGGGGGCTACTATCTGGCTGGTGCCGGAGGATATCTGCCAAGTGCGCTCGCGCCTGGTCACTACCTTCATTGGTATGTTAAGAACCCTTTCATATTTTCAATTTGTTCCGCTGCTTACTGTTTACCCTAGGCTCCCTCATGGCCACACACGAGAAGATGTAACGTGTACGTTTCACTATGGCAGTATTACATATCTATCCTCAAAGATTATCGCTGGGCCTGCACCGGTGATTGTTAAGAAACTGCGCTCTCGCCATGGCAAGCGAATCTTATGTTATCTTCCTTTGTTTGTTTTATACCTTGCAATACATGTATATCTTTGTAAAAAGCGCCCAAGTGGAGTGGCTTGCAGTCAAGATGAGAGAGGATCAATCGCTCCAATCAACTATTTACGTAGGAAAAAACCATAAGTTGGCCCCGTGGTGACACGAATTCCTTGTAGTGAGCAGGTAGGCAGTGCTACATGCTTTTTTCCCCCCTTTGTCGAGTATGTATATTGCTCCCTTGGTATACTAGCGATATTATTGTACTCCAGTAGATCTTTCTTTGTATGGTAGCTAATTTGCTGTCGTGAGTTTACAAATACTGGTTGAACCAGGCTACGGCCTGAAGAAAAGCTGACTCTTTGGCAAATTTAATAGCAGGGGTGGAAAGGTCCCCTCGGACTGCAAACCCATGTTCCACACCACCGAATAGGTTGACTTGGTATGGTTGGCCCGTCTTGAGTAAGATATCCTCAGATTCGCGGCGCTTGGGGGCGGGAAAGATGGTATCGATCTCTGTCGAACTGCGTGAGGGACTGTCCAGTTGGACTAGAATAAAAAAACAAATGGGGTGGCCACTCACCAGCTGCTGAAATGGATAGAGGGCCCTTGATGGCGGCTAGTTCTTCACTGTCGACAAAGCTAGGATGCGCCACATAGGAGACATCGAGCTGACCAGGTTGGAGTAGACGAATAACATATTTGGCCTGAGAAGAGAACCATAGTACATAGATTAGTATTCCAAGACACAATGCATAAGGGGAGGGACATTTGCACGTACTCCGAAACAGTAACCAACTCCACCGACACGCTCGCAACCCAAATTAGACTTCATCTCTTTCAGGACCGCCTGAACCACCGGCTCCACACGATTTAGAAGATGACCAGGCGGACCGTTCAACCAAGCTTGCAGCTCAAAGCCAGCGGGGCGGTTCAATGGTACAGGATCGCCATGAAATAAGTCTGGCATAACGACAAAGTATCCGTTGGCCGCCAGTTGGTCTGCAATCAGTTGAGCATTAATAAAGCGGTGACCGATCACATCAGTACACAGGAGGATAGCCCGTTTGGTGGATTGACTCTCCGGGTATGAAAAATAAGTCTCAACTGGACAAATGAGTTAATTACTACCTCTAGTTCTTCTGTTGAGTCCGATTAATATGTATTAAAGTACTTACCGCCGTCAATCTGCTGGATTGTCCCTCTAGGCACACCTTCATGCGTAACACCCACGGTGCAGCAAGCAGCAGGGGGGTTGGATGCCATAATGGGAACAGTGGTAACTTGGATATGGTTTAGTTGGTATGATCCTAGACGCTGGGAGCTCACAATAGGGGAAGAGGGGGAGTATAGATTTCTAGAGAGGGAAGGGAAAGGGGAGTGAATTGATACAGAGGGGAACATACTACTATATACTACAAAGCGGGGGTGCTCTCAGGTTACAAATCAAACTTACAAGTTACATGTAAGCAGTCACTTAACTACAGTAGTTAGTTATCCATACATGGTATGTACTGCGTACATTATGTCTTTTTAATAAAAAAAACCCCCATTCAATGCCTAAATAATATAAAGAAATAACATCTATTTCACCAATCCCATCAATCTTTTTTATCTGATTTGATTCATATATTTTTGTCGTTGATTGGTTTCCGGGGTAGAAAATCCGTTTGTTTTGTTTTGCTTCTCCGCACTCCGCCCTCTCTCTCTCGGAGCTCGCCTTGAGTCTTGACATTGGATATTAAGTCAATCCCTCAACAACCATGGATCCACCACAACCTTTGGTTCAACTACTACCTGCAAGCTCGGGAAATTCCCAAGCTCCCAGTCAGTCCCAAGTCAATCAGAATGCCGATCCACTTCTGAATATTGACACCACTGTAGTGGAATTAGACATGGGTGCCGCCCAGCAAACTCCAACTCCGACATTGCAAGCTTCTGAACATATTGCTCTGCCTGACGTGCAACCAGATCCTCCCATCCTTGTAAAAAAGAATACCGGACCAAATTTCCTGGAGTAAGCGATTGCCTTCCCCATCACATTTCCCGTCGGCTTTGCACCCCATTTCCTTCACTCTTGTCCAAGCTCTTGAGCTTCACGACACCATGGCACCAGTCAATCTTATCGAGAGCTATCAACCATCTTTACTTCCACAGCTCACCCTGCCTAGCTTCCTAACCTCTCCCATCGTCGAAATCATCATCGGTCAAGACGAGGACGAGACAGTCCTCACGGCTCACCAGACCCTTCTCCTTGAATCACCTTTCTTAAACGAATTCGTCAAGAATTTTGAAGTGTCGGGGCCAGTAAGTCATACATCTTGATGATTTAAGGTCAAAGCATGGTTTCACTCGTCGATTCGCTTACAATTGTCCTTCCCTTGTAGCGGCGCATTCCGCTTCCCACAGAGAACGTTGAGGCGTTTGGTTGCTTTTTACAATTCCAATACACTCGTGACTACACCGTCACTCAAAATGAAACCTCTGGGCCCTCAGACGGGACAGATGACAGTGGGGACCAGTTGCTCCGTCATGCGCGTATATACACGCTGGCTGAGAAGCTGGGCTTGCCTCATTTGAAGAATCTAGCCCATAAAAAGATCCACAAAGTCAATAGCACGCCGGGTGGTGAATTGACTTACGCCCGTTATGTCTATACGCATACCTCACTTGACGATACCACAATCCGACGACCCGTCGCCTCTTACTGGGCTACCCGTGGTCATACTCTGCGACATGCGCTGGACGACCAATTCAAAAGGCTTTGTATTGAGGTGCCGGAATTCGGTTTCGATGTACTAACAATTGTCATGGACCGCACGGAAAAGCACACGGAGGTCGATTCGAGTATTCGTGGGAGTGCTAGGAAGCGTCTTCGGGGTGAGAAGTAGATGGGTCAAAGATAGAATCCCCATTAACAGCAGATTCAACAAGCTGATATCCCTAGCCCTTCTTCTTCATCTTCTTCTCTCGTGCATGAGCCCAACTACCAAATGGGTTCTATCCATTATGTTTAAACAAACTTGCGATATCACCCAAGCATCTTTCCAGTGAACAATCATTCATGTACCGTAAAGAACTGAACCTAACTTAAGAGCACTGGTGCCGATATTCCTGGATATAACCTTGGAACTTGGTACGAACTACTCGGTACTTAGGTAGATACAATATACGTACATACTATATGTATCCCTATCCGAGTTATACGTGCATATATCCATATATATACACATCATCTTGGAAGTTGTTACTCATCTCCCCTGAAGTCCACAAGAATTCAGTGCGTGAGCAAACCATATCATTCAAGAATGCCGTGTCATTTTTCTGGTTTATGACACGTTGAAGCTTATTGAGCCAGGCTTTCTACCTCGACAAGAGCCTTTGGTGCGGAAGTGAGGTTATCGGAGCCGTCTTGAGTGATGTGAATATTGTCCTCGATGCGCACACCTCCCACGGTCCAGTACCGGTCCAAAACATCCGCATCGATATATTTACCCAACTCAGAGGATTCCAGAACGGGATTGATGATGAATCGGCAAAAGTAGATCTGAGAAGGTGGGATTAGCTGCTTGCTGATGAAAACCATGTTTTTAACAAAATGTAATTATTATCTTACCCCGGGTTCAACCGTGATGACGGACCCCGCTGGCAGGTTGCCGCGCACTCGCAAATACCGGAACATCTTGTCCTGGTCTTCATAGTTGGGATAGCCACCCGTATCATGGGTGTCCATTCCTAGGTAATGGCCTAGGCCGTGCGGGAAGAAGGCCACACTGACCCGCTTCTCAAACAGTTCGTCTTCGGAGCCACGCAGAATCCCGAGTTTCAACAAACCCTTGATTGCGATACGATGGGCCAAGGCATGCACATCATCCCACTTAACTCCGGCCTTCAACACAGCAATGCACTCCGTCTGCATCTGAAGGACAATTTCATAAATCCGCCGGGTTTCCGTTGTGAACTTGCCATCCAAGGGGATCACGCGGGTAATATCAGCACAGTAAGTCTGGTATTCACCACCCGCATCAATGAGCAAGTTCTGTTTTCGCCGTTGGGTTATCGGATCGATAAGGGACTTGTCATTGCTGACATAGTGTAGCGTCGCGCCACTTTCACCACTGGCAAAGATGGGGTGGTAGGACTGTTCCTTGCAACCATTGGCAATACAAGTGCTGATAAATGTACCTTCTAACTCGCGCTCGTTCATTGCAGCCCGGGCCGCCTTGATGACAGCGATATGGGCCTTGGCAGAAATATCGTTGGCCTTTCGCAGCAGGGCCACCTCGTACGCATCCTTCACCACCCGGGCATCACCAATGACATCTTTCAAGACGGAGAGGTTGGCCGTAGAAAAGCCCTGGAGCTTCACATCTTCTGAAACCTGTTCTGAGATGGCGAAAATAGGCGCTGTGCCGCCCTGCTTGGTAGCAATGCTGGCTAGAGTGGCATTGACATCGGTGGTGTAAAGCACACGATCAACATCATAGAGCTTCGCAGCCTCCTCGGGAGACATGGGTAGACCGGACCAAATGACAGAGTCCGCATCAATGGGAGGGATGAACAAGGTCAACTGATCTGCTTGGACATCGTAGGCCACGGACGCATCGGGCAAGAGGCATCCTGTCAAGTAGAAGAATGGGCGACGTTGCCTAAATATTCCATGAGATATTTACCGCATTACTGAAAAAAGGATAAACGTACCTGAATGGCATGGTCTCGTCATTGTCCTCGATAAAGCGAGTTTTTTGCGCCTCCAGGTAGAGAACGCCGGCCTCGCCATGTTGTGCCTTGATGGACTCGGCCACACGACGAGCGTGGGCCTTGGCCGGGTATTTGCCAGCAAGAATGCTGTCAACTGAAACCATAAAGGGCGAGTTGAAGAATAAGGGAAATCGAGTGAATGTCAAAGTGAATAAGTAAGGGGAAAAGAGCGGGGCAAAAAAAAAAAGAGGGTGTTGTTTTCTTTGCCGGGTTGCATGGATTGCGGGGCTCTCCATCTATCTATGCGCGGCTACATCCGGGCCATTGACTTTCAAAGAATATGATTGGCTTCATTATACATTACTATAGAACAATAACCCACCCAAAATCATCACCGAGCTGGACTCCCGTGCGACTCAGATGCGGATATTTCCTCGAATTCCATTTGCCATTGGTCAATCTCTGCAAACTTCTTAGCGGCATCGCGCAACTCGGCACTCATGTAACGCCGGTCGGATACCGTCTCGGTCTCGGATTCGCTTGCATCAGAGTCGGGTGGGGAGGACAATGGTGATGATGATGGCGATGAGAGGAGTAATTCATTCTCCTTATCGACATCTCCACCGACTGGTTTCTGACCCCTGGGTGCCTTGGGTGCAGGAGCCGATTTGGACTTGGTTCTCTTTTGGATTGGATTGGACTGGTTTTGCTTGCTGCCCATAGCATTGGCTTTACTCGAAGGAGCACGTTGTGATCTTTTTGACGGCAAATAGCTGAGTTCATCTTCATCGCCCGAGGCCGCAGCATGCATTCCATCGTCGCTCTCGTCACTTAGCAGATCAGCGTTGCCTGCAGCTTGACGTCTACGGCGAGGTTGCCGTCTACGGGGAAGCAGCCTATCACGCAGTGCTGCTGTAGCCAACTGAGCCTGATCTTTAGGCTTTGTGTTTTTCGAAGCCCGATTGGGAACGGCTGGCGAGGGTACTGCTGGGATGGAAACTTGAGTACTCTCGGGAGGGGGTGGACTACTGGCGGGCAGCGCCATGGTCTGACTGAATATCTCTGGGAACGGTATAGGCCGTGGTGTCTCTTCTTCTGGTTCGTGAGATGAAATTTCGCGACGAGCAGGTGTAATGCTGGGGGAATCCTGGACAAATCCCGGAGCCTCTTCGATTGACGATTGAGGTACTTGTATTTCCTCGCGCTTGCGCTTGCGGGATCCGCCCGGTGATGATGAGGATAGCGATGGCGATGGTGATAGTGATGGAGATTTTTCACCCGGATTTACCAGTAATGACTTTCCCCGTGGCAGATTCAAAGGTGTAGATTCATCCTGAGGGCTCAATCCTCCCAGGAAATCTTCGTCATCGAGGTCGGACGAACCATCTTCAGCCTGCATCATCTGTAAAATGCTCTGTTGTCGGGGGCGGCGACGAAAGTTACTTAAGACTGAGCTTTCAAAGCCGGGGGTACCTGGGATACGCGAGTTCATATCGCCCTTCCTGCCCGCAAACGACAATGTAGATGAGTAGCCTCGAGACCTAGTCGGGGGTCGACTGTCCGTACCGGGGCGACTGCCTGTTCCAGGCACACCTGGAGAAGATTCAATGGCTTGCTCATGGTTTGTAGCCAGGGGTGTTTGGCTGCGGAGAGTCTGTCGAGAATCTAACGTAAATCTGTGTTCTGGCGATTCGGGGTGGGATTCCTTGTCATCGCGCGATTTGGGCTCAGCGGCAGGCTGAGGGGCCTTGGTCGATCTGTTTCTTTTGGGAGCTGGGCGCGGCATGATTCAGATACGATTAAATCGAGGAATCAGTCAAATCCAAGTTTCACTGAAAGCGTCACGCATCACCCAAAAAAAAAAAAAGAAGAAAGAGGAAAGATGGCGCGTTTGTTTTGGGACGCGTCCACGTGCGGATAAGGAAGATAAGAAGGATTGAAATTCGCGGGGAAAAAAACCGAGCAAACAAGACAAAAGAACAGGAACATGAGAATTTCTTTGCTTCTCTCCAAATCGCTTTTTCTTCTATGGATATTCTTCTTTGGCGAGTTGATTCAGTCTGACTTAATCCAAATCAGTCACGGACCGCGTCTCCCGACATGCAACTGGCAGGATTCATGACCCGGGGAGCACTAAGCCCAGACGGGGAAATCCTCACCCCGCGCAGGTCTGGGCGAGAATATCGTCTATGCTTTGAAAATGACCTGGGCTTGATATACTTTATGAGCTTGTTGTTCCGCGGGAACTATGGGGAAATAAATTTATGATTGTCTTCAAAGCACATGAGCTCCGCGGGGTTCAAGCTCGATATTCTCTGTAAATTCCGACCATGACGTCGTCAGAAAAGGACATTGATCCCATCACAGGCATTGATGTGAATTGTGAGGGCACCAATAAGCGTCCAAACTCCGAGGCCACTGATTACCCACGGAGACGGGCCACAATCGCTGTAGGCACTCAGCTACCTCTTTCCTTGAGATTCTGGTTGGCTAAGTACGAACCAATAGTGTCAGATATGTCGATTACGCAAGACGCGCTGCAATGGCGCCCGTCCCAGATGCCAGCTGTGTACAGACCTCGATGCTGAGTGTACGTACCGAGAACCAGGAATCAAGCTTGATATGGGCGACAAGTTGATTCTGGAACACCTTGTCCGGATCGAAGGTCTGCTGCATGCCAATTTACCGACATCCGGGCCTCAATCCATATTATCATCAAGCTCTCCGACCACAAGTCATGACAACAATGCTGGGAATGATGATACATTGACCCAAATAGCAAATAGAGCCCCAGCGTGGAAAATGTCGGCGGGGCTTGCATCTTGGGTCAATCCACCATCGGGAATTAGTATCTCTACGATGCCCCGGGTGCATACCACCCCAGGCTTGCACCTTCTTCAATGGCCCTTAGTGCGTGATTTGGTCTCAAAGCCTTACGATCCGCAGAGTCTTCTTCAGCTGGAGATGGCCCGTGAGCCATTAAAAATGACACCAAACTCTGGGTATGACCTAGAAAATGTGTCTATCTATGTGCGGGCTTTCTTTGAACATGCTAATGTCTGGTATGCCTGTGTAAGCCCTTATTCTTGGAACCGGTTCTATAGATCCGCTCTTATACAAGGGTTTCGAGAAGGACCAGTTAGCTGTCTTGTCATGCTTGTTCTGGCTCTAGGATGTGCCAGCCGAGAGGGCAGCATGGCACTCGTGCCTCCAGACCATGAACCGCCTGGGCTCTCATACTTTGCCACTGCTTGGAATCTCCTACCATCTGTTATGATGCATAATTCTGTCATGGCTGTCCAGTGTATGGTTCTTGCTTCGGCCTATTTATTCTACTTAGTTCGTCCGTTGGAAGCCTGGAATTTACTTTCAACGGGGAGCATGAAATTACAATTGCTACTGGGTGATTCAACCCGTGTGCCAGCACAATGGAGAGAGATCAGCAAACGCCTGTTCTGGAACTCGCTCTTGTACGAGAGCGATCTTTTGGCGGAACTCGATCTTCCTCACTCCGGTATCGTGAATTTTGAGGAGTTTGTCGACCTCCCAGGGGGCTTTGAGGAGGAAGAGGAAGACGGGGAGGATGAGGAGGAGGTAGTGGAGAGTAGGAACCCAGATGGTGACGATCATCACCCTAACAGACGCCCCACTGTTAGACATACTGGAGACCCACCAGGTCGAGATGAGCTATGGTACTTCTTGGCCGAGATCGCTCTACGGAGACTCTTGAACCGAGTCAGTCATCTAATCTACCAAAAAGACCATCCACATACACTTGTCTCGCTGGGACCAATAGTGTCGGAGCTGGACTTCCAGCTATCACAGTGGCATGACAGTCTACCACAAACGGTAAAATTTCCTCTTACACATATCCCACTCTCCAACCCCGTGCAAACAGTTCTCCGGCTTCGCTATAATGCATGTCGCACCATCATCTACCGTCCCTATATTCTGGCAGTATTTCAAAATGAACAAGCTGGCGTGGACCCGAACGTGCGAGAGTGCTGTCGAAGGTGTCTAGATGCCACAATGCGTCAACTTGAACACATCACTAGCCACCGAGAGGGCCATCTCCCATATCTTTGGCAGGGTGCCTTGTCGATGGTGTCCCAGACCCTTCTGATAATGGGTGCTACCATGTCACCCACTCTGTCCATTCTCCTCCCGGCCCCGCCTCGTGTGGATGCTATCATCTCTAACGTAATTGCCGAAGTTGATAGATATAAACACCTGGCACCAAGCCTGGAATTGTCTGCAGAGATCATTCGTGATGCCGAAAGACGACGGCAAATCTGGCTCCGGTCACCTGGCATTGTTGTTCTATGAAGATTGAAGGATTGGCGAATAGTGCTTACAAGGAAAGTTAGCATCAATAGGGACTAGAAAATTTTTGTTGTTATTATCATCCTTTTCAAGGGGATATAATATGGTCATATACATACTACGTATTAGTAGGTATACATAGTTCAAGAGCGCAAGTGAGCTAGGTAGATTTATTTCCTTCGCAATCTATGTTTCTATTCAAGTGCCATACCTACTAATCACAGGAAAGAATCATTTCATACCTAGTAGGTACTGTAGCGCACAAAAGCTCTCCCTGTATGTACGCTAGAGAAGGTGGAGCTGTGAGACGGCAGCATCCGTAATATAAGAGGCTGCTGTGATAAGAAGCGGGTCCAAACAAAGAAACGTGTAAAAAAAAAAAAACAATAGGTACAAGTCCCATCTCATGGCAATTATGTTCTTCAAATCATATCTTAACGAGGCAAATCATGGTATCTTCAAAGACATGGCGGGTAGTCAGTATAAATAAACGTTAAAGAATATTGGCAGATAAAAAAAAATTCCAAAATGGTCATAACAGGCCATTTAAAAGCAACAGAAGGCAGATGGGAGGGAAAGATCTACCGAGTCGTATGAAAGAGACTCTTAAATCAAAACCCATTCACTGCCCCGCTTGATAAATTTATCAAGCATCATGCCTACATCAGCCAGTGCAAAGCGGCACACATAAAAGCCAAAGAACTCGGCCGCATGACGGGTGCTGAGCTCCAAGCCGACATGGGTTGGTGATGAGTGTTTGAGTCCTGGATCTTCAACTTGCTGGGCGATTTGATCTAGATCAGTCAGCATGATACTTGTTGGAAGAACTAGGAAATGAGCAAGATCACACGTACCTATCACTTGAGCAGCATCAAAAAGACGCGCCAACGCTCCCATGTAGTGGGCATTCGGGCCCGAGAACTCTAGCTGGGTGACATTACGCTTTGTGTGGGTAGTAGGTGCCGACGTCATAGGAAGAGAGTTGAGGGTCAGATTATCCTTATTGCTTTCGCGCACACTGGGTGGGGCAGGAACGGCTGTACTAATTCCCGAAGTTTTCGCCCGTAACCGTTTCCAAGTTGGAAGATATGACTTGTTCGAGGTACCGGAGGTCCTGGAAGGGGGAGGGTCGGGATGAGCGGAATCCTCCGCTGTCGCATTCGGCCTGAAAAGTGGCATTGAAGTCTGAACACCAACATCGTGACCCAATTTCTTAGACAGTGTCGCTTGAACCTGATCAAGAACGCTCTCAAGCGCTTGCATTTCTTCCAACACGGCATCGGCATCGTATGTGTCGACCTGAGCCAGTTTGAGCAGCGCCGCTGTCAGAAGGTCACAGTTGGACACCTTGTCCTCCACAGCTTTGATCTTGACATTCTTCACCCGCCAGACATCACGAGGGATGAAGAGTTTTGCGGATAAATAGCCACCGTGTGGGTGAGCGACTGTTTGATACAGACACCGCATAAGCCAGAAGGGACGGAGGAGAAATGATTCCGGACACGGTTCGAGGGGAAGAGGCGCATTGGCAACAAGAGAGTTTGGACAGCCCAAAGCAGTGGGAGAATGGATATTGCAGTCAAAGAGGTTGAGGCCACCAGTGGGCAATCCATTTTGAGTGAAGTAAGTCGCAGTTGGTGTTGGCATTATGGGAATGCTACCACCCATGGTAGCCTTCTGAGTGTCCAGTGTTGGGAATGAACCACTCCACGGAGTTGTGGGAGAGCCGGGTGCTGTCTCTGGGTTGGGGACGGATACATTGCGAGATCGGAATGCCTTTGAACCGGACTTGTCTAGCCCGTCTGGTGCAGACGGTATCTTAACCATAGGGCGCGTTGATGGAGGCAAAAGAGGAAGCCCACCCTCATCATCTTCATGAGTGCGGGCCTTGGCGAGGCTGGTATGATCGGATATGGACCCTATGGATGGGTTACGCTTAGAAGGGTACAGGTTGGCTCGAAACCCTGGCGCGGGAGCTTTAAAGGAGTCTGAGAGTGCTTCGTCTTTGGGAAGTGGGGGCGGTGGGCGACTTGTCAAGGGGGTTGAGAAAGGATCAAGGTCAGAGGTGTTGGAGTCAGTTCGAGAGCGTGCGTTTGTTTCGATCTTTAGCTCGCCAGACTGGCCCGAAAGCCGCCGCGCTCGGACACCTGGTACGGGTGGTGGTCCCATTGAAGGAGGAGGGGGGGGTTGGGATAGAGAAAGTCGCTGCGGTAAAGTAGGGAAATCGAAGGGGATCGGGGGCAAAGCGACAGATGGGGGAGAAGATGGAAGAGGGGTTTGCTCAGGTCTCTGATCGGGAGGCAAGATGCTGTCGTCTTCCGTGAGGGTGGACAAGGTAACTCCAGTTCCTGTGATATTGGACGCGGCTGAGCTCTCCCAGGTCCTCCCGGACATATTACTTGAGTCTGATTCTCGAGGAAGCGCAGATTTGGATTGTATACCAAATTCAAAATCATCCATGACATAGCCCTTGGTCATCTCTTCCAAGAGGCGCTCTTCTTCTTCGGCTTCCTCGTCGAGATAGTCTGAATTCCGTCCGACCGGGTTCTCCAGTAAGTTTTGTTCTTGGATACGGCGGATCTCCCGGCCACGGTTCATTGCAACCTCGGCCTCTTGTTCTGCTTCGCGCACCCGTTGCTTAGCCAACTCAATATTTCTGCGTGCATTTGCCACGACATCATCACTTTCATCTTCTCGATACTCCATGACTGGCTCCAAACCTTCATCATAAGCAGCTTCCACGGCCGCATCGAGAGCGGCATCGAACTCAGCTTCGGTATCAGTGCTTATACGTCGGCTTGTGCGCCGTCGTAGATAGACCGAGGACGCTTTCGAGTTCGCGGATGATGGTGAGGATGCGCCGGACTCGTCAATTGTGTCCAGCCATGAGGTTGATTCATTGGTCTCCTGCAGAGAGGGCTCCAAAAATTGCTGGTAGGCAGCACTGCCACTTGAGCTCGCGGAGGTAGAACGACCAGACTGTGAATTCCTTGGCATGACTACAGATCGTAATTGATCATCAAATCCGGTCGACCTCAAAGATTGGCGACGAGGAGGGGGGATTCGGAAGGAAATTGTTTGACATCTTCCATCGACGTCTCGAAACCAAGACTGGAGTGATTAGAGCTATGCTGGCTCTCAATATGAGGCTCGTCTATCATTGGAGGTTGAAATAATTCGCCGTATGATTCCTGGCTCAACGGGCGATCCGGGAGTGCCTTGCCGTCGCTGTCTGGTAGAGGTAAGTCCATACGCTGAAGCTCTGTGATTCGGATCATATAGGTGTCACGCTGCAACAGTTAGCCTCCGAGCTCCGGTATGGGCACAACCATAAACGGTTGGACCAGGGGGAAAGTTTGCGTACGATTTCCTGAAGTTTAAGTTTTTCTTCGTCTCCGCCATTGCTACGAAGCATGACGAGTTGCAGTAGGTGACATGCATCCGTATAAGCTTCCATCGCGCCCTCGAAGTTGGCGGCGTTGTCCAATAGCACGGCCGTATTCGCCTTCTGCAGCGCTTTGGATAGCATTGCTTTCTGGGTTTGGCCATGCTGCCGGCCCTCCGCATCCGCATCCACGTCTGCCAACGAGATGTTCCCTTCACTGGGCCGAGCCACGTGGCCCTGCGAATAGGACGGCCCGAGTCGATGATTATATTGCTCGTTTGGTGACGAATCATGAAAGAGGTGACTGGAAGTGGTAAAGGACAGGTCCAGATGGGAGTTTGAGTCGGGCGAAAACATATCCGATGCTTTCAGATCCGGCAGGCCCAGCTCGGGCAGTTCCCCTAAAATCGGTCCCCGCTGTGGACTGTGTCCCGACATGGACATTTTGGAACTCCCTCGACGATGACCCGTATAATCTGGTAGACCCTTGCTGGATGTTGTAGACTGCGACCAGCGATTGACACTTCCTAGGCCTTCTTTAATGGGGCTACCCCACGAACCATCTGCAGCCAGACCGGGGGAATTCTCCGTCACCACACCCAGCCCCGTCGGTGTAACGGCTCGGGAGCCCTTTCCTATTCGATTCCGGGACCCTGGGTGGGAGGTTCGAGAAGCCGGGCGATTGGGAGGAGTGGCCGATGGGGGCTCCATCAGGGATCCCGAGGGACGCCTAGGATGAAAGGATCTCGGTTCATCTTCCAGAGCAGAGCGGTGTAGCATTTTTTCCAATTGTTGGAGAGGCGCGATTCAATAGGGCTCTATATGATTCCGGGATCGGGAAAGGGCATTAAGAGGAGCAAAGGGACAATTTTAGAGCGATTATCGAGACGAGCTTAGATTGGTCAACAGCGGTTTGTTTTTTTTGGGGAGGTTTTGGTTTCTTTTTGCACAAAGCTGGGCAACTAGACCGTCAAAGAGATTGGACTGCAGAACGCATGCTTCGACCACGTTCAGGGTAAAGTGGTAAAAAGAAAAATAAAGGAAAATGTTCGGGGGGGAGAGAGAGGGGGGGATGGTTTGTGATTTCCGGGGTGTACTCTGTATGCGCCGGATTAACGCATCACTTCGAGGAAGATGATATATGACGAGAGCTTATTGAATAGATATGGGCGACAGTTGTACTGGTATAGATGAGTACATTATCTTCAATCTGTCTCTCTCTCTCTCTCTCTCTTTCTCTTTCTCTCTCTCCTGCCAAGGTCACTCACCAGGAGAAGAGCGAGTCAGGGGCGGGACCCGCGGCGGGATTATTCTTCAGGGGTGGTCCGTGTGGGTTTTGACGCGGGCGGTGGGAAAGGGGGGGGGGATTTCCCAAGATTTCAGGATTTACGTGTATAGAACTAAAAAAAGGAGCTAGTATATGTATAAAACAAGTATTGAATACTCTAGGAAAGAGAAAAGGTAAAGGAGGGAAAATATACTAAAGAGAGAGAGAGAGAAAAGCACTTGAGAAGAATAAACTAGAATATCTCTCTCAAGTACTACATGTGTTTACTAGTGTATTATATACTATACAATACTACATACTGTATACATGTGCCATCAAGACTAACCAAATATGTTTGAAGACATGATTGATGGATAACGTAGAATACGAAGATAAACATATGGTTACCACAGAATATTTATTTCTAAGTTAATTAATATATATATGTAACTGGTATACAGTACAGTATATACTATAGATAACTGCATAGATAACTGTATAGATAACTGTGTATAGGTATCTTTTGTACTGTATACAAGGGAGAAACTCTATGTCTTTCTATACATCAGATCTTTCCCCAAGAATATATGATATATGTACATTATGTATGGATTGAATCTGATTAATCTGAAGTTATTTAGACTTGCTTTTCAGTTATGTTATTGATTTTGCTTCTCTTTTTTTACCTTGACTTTTATTCTGAGGTTTTTTATTTTTTATTTTTATTTCACGCTTAGAACCGGGGGAAAACTAACTGAAGGGAAAAAAAAAAAAAAAAAAAAAAAAAAAAACCCCCCTCTAGTAAAATGCCCATGGAATCAACCAGATGAATCGTTCCATCCCACTCTTTTCACGCGCTTTCTCCCCCGCCTTCTTCTCTCTCCGCTTTTCTTCTGTGCGCAAAATCACCATGGCTTCCAATCCGCGAGATCCGAATACGCTGAGTAACTACAACAATTGGCGCTCCACTCACATCACCGCCAACTTTGATATCTTGTTCGATCAGAAGAAGCTTGCTGGAAATGTTATTCATCAATTCACTTCCATCACCGATGCTGTGTCACGCGAGATCATTCTAGACACCAGTTATCTGGACATTGGCTCCGTCAAGGTTGATGGTCAACTTTCCAAGTGGGAGCTTCTCCCCACATTGGATCCATACGGCACTCCGCTCAAGATTAGTCTGGAGCAAGGGGTCAAGCTGAATGGAACCATTGAGGTGGATGTAGGTTGCTTCTCCTCTCATCCTCTGCCGTATCCATCTATCAATCAATCAATCCCCCCCTCTCACCCAAAATCATCCTCTACGCTGCCAATGCCAATTACATAGCCCACTGACAGATTGGTAGATTGCGGTGAAAACCACGGACAAGTGTACTGCCCTTCAATGGTTGACCCCCGCCCAAACTTCCAACAAGAAACATCCGTATATGTGTAAGTACCTCCTAGTCCAGCAAAAAAACTGAATCTGTTGGGATTTTCGTAATTCTATGAGAAGAGGGCTTACTGGGTTGCAGTTTCGCAATGTCAGGCCATCCACGCCCGGTCCATTTTCCCTTGCCAAGACACACCAGATGTTAAGAGCACTTTGGACTTTAACATCTCCTCACCCTTGCCGGTCATGACAAGTGGTCTTCCTATTCAGTCTGACGAGACCTCGCAATCGGGCCACAAACTCTACCGATTCCACCAGTCGGTCCCGATCCCCAGCTATCTGTTCGCGATTGCCAGCGGGTAAGATTATTCCCGTGAATGTACTGGCTTGAGCATAGCTAAACTCCAACTCTACAGAGATGTTGCTCAGGCTTCAATCGGTCCTCGGAGTGTGGTAGCTACCAGTCCGGATAAGTTAGACGAGTGCAGATGGGAACTGGAAAACGACACTGAGACCTTTATTAACACCATTGAGGTATATTGCACCCTATTCATACATACTCAACGGACTCGAAAGGACTAATCGTGGAAATATAGAAAATTGTCTCACCCTATGTTTGGGGCCAGTACAACGTTTTGATTTTACCCCCCAGCTTCCCTTACGGTGGCATGGAGAACCCAATCTTTACCTTTGCGACCCCTAGTATCATCTCAAAGGACCGTGAAAATATCGATGTCATTGCACACGAATTGGCTCACAGCTGGAGTGGCAATCTGGTGACCAATGCCTCGTGGGAGCATTTCTGGCTGAATGAGGGTTGGACCGTATATTTGGAGCGACGTGTATGTGAACCCCCCCCCACACCCAACTCCCTTGTCAAAGAGACCATAATTGATTCTAATCAAAATTGCAAATAGATTCTGGCTGCAATGTATGTATGCTCATGAGCAGTGTTCTGGGTAAATGCTAACCATGTCTCATTTCGATAGCCATGGCGAGTCGTACCGTCATTTCTCAGCTATCATCGGTTGGAAGGCGCTTACTGATTCTGTGGACCACTTTGGCCATGATCATGAGTTTACCAAGCTGATTACTGATCTGAAAGGTAAGGACCCGGATGATGCCTTCTCCAGCATCCCCTACGAGAAGGGCTTCAACTTCTTGTTCTACCTTGAAAACCTTGTGGGCAAGCCAAAGTTTGACAAGTTCATTCCTTACGTATGTTTTTCTTACTCGAATACTCATCAAATTTCTTTTGTTTTGACATCTTCTTTAGTACTTCACCACCTTCCAGCGCAAGTCCCTTGACTCGTATGAGTTCAAGGCAAGCATCTTGGGTTTCTTCGAGTCGGATGCCGAGGCATCCAAGCTGTTGAACGAGCTGGATTGGGATAAGTGGTTCTATTCCCCTGGAATGCCCCCCAAGCCGCAATTCGATACATCCCTGGTGGATGTTGTATATGCGCTGGCTGAGAAATGGGAGACTCTCCCTAGCTCGTCGTTCAAGCCGCAGGCAAGCGATCTCGACGGTCTGACGGCCAATCAGATTGTCGTATTCCTTGAACAGATCCTTCGATGGGAGCAGCCTCTCCGTCCGGAGCTTTCCAAATTGATGGGAGAGGTCTACGGATTGTCCAAGAGCGAGAACATTGAGGTGTCCAACCTATATCTCCAGGTTGGCATGAAGGCTGGTGATGAGAGCGTCATCGAACCAACCACCGAGCTGCTTGGCCGAATTGGAAGAATGAAATTCGTTCGACCTCTGTAAGTTGCCCAGCCACCGTACCACCCTGAAAACAAGCTAACCTAGATCGTAAGGTACCGCAACCTTCAGAAGATTAACCGTACAATTGCCCTTGCAACCTTTGAGAAGTACAAGGACTTCTACCACCCTATCTGCCGCGGTATGGTTGAAAAAGACTTGTTTGGTAAGAAGGAAAACTAGACGGTTCAAGCCCTGTTCAAATGAATATGAAAAGAGAAATAAAGAGAAAGTGAGAATAAAAAAAAGTACAGGAGAGCTTTGTTCACCACCCCACTAAAATCCACTTGGATATAAGTCTGATAGAATAATTTACACGATTTGATTAACCTGGTAGAAGGCGGGGATCTCAAAACTAGTACAAGAAGAACCTGAAGGGAAAAAGTGCATTATCTGGGGGGCCTTTTGGTATAAAGATCGAAGGGTTTATTTACCCCCAGCCATTCTCTTATCCGCAGCGGAATACCCAAAAATTCCCGATTCCTGAGTACTTCCTTGGCTCAACGCAAAAACCATATCCGCTTCTTGCATCTTTGAAAGCTCCGACAGCACTCGCCGCATATAGGTCACCACCCAGGCAACCTTGGTCCAGTCAATATCATCTCCATCGGCACCCACTGAATTGGCCTTCCACAGGTTCCTCCAGACAGCAGCGCCCAGCACCGCGTCGCCCTTGGCCAGCCCCTCGTCGTATGCAGCAATAATCCCACGCCATTGGATGAAGAGATCCTTTAGATATTTGTTACGGATTGATCGGCTCCCAATATCATGCATGACGTCCATACGGTGTTCGGCATTGTGTGAGAAGTGGTCAATAAGGTGGCGGGAGTAGGTTTGGACGCTGTCGCGAGTGGGAAGTGCACGTAGACGAACGGTCAAGAGATACATGTGCAGGAAGGTGATCTGCGACCAGGTGGAAAATGTTGGTACAAGACCGAGCTCTATATGAGAAACCACACATCAGTATTCGTGCGTCTTCCAGTACTAGATCCAGCTAGCCAGTCGAATCTCATTCCCAAACATCACTCACCTCGGTACCACCAGCTATCGCTAACGCCGAGATGCTCCCCCGACTCAGTCAAAGGCACCTCGACCCCCTTTTGAGATGCTTGGGGAACTTTGTAATCTGCCTGGCTTGAGCAGGCCTCGAAAAGTCTTTGGGTCATTCCATACGCGACATAGGTTTCTGCCGCAGTTCCTGGCGCAGTCGATACATTGCGAATGAGACCATTGGAGCGGGGAGGCAGAAGTAGGCGAGATTGAGTTCCTTTGTTCAATGATTTAAGGGATGTGGATGATGGACCATGGTGGTTTGCACGTCCTGATGTCGAGAGAGATGCGCGCTGGCCCAAGGGTCGCTAGGCTTGGTTAGCATTGCGGGCACAAAGCAGTGAGGAGGGAGAAACATAATGACATACCGAAAGGCAAGATATCTGCGATCTGCGGAGTCCGCAGGCGGACAAGGTCAATCGTGTGGTTGACATTATTGATTAGATGGATGCGTTTCTTGAAAGTTGTTGGCGATCTTTTTTTGGATTATCGCGGTGTTTGCACGGTTTGCGTCGGAGGAGCCAATCATCGGCCACGCTTATCCTTGAATAGTAACGTTTCAATAAGTTATGTAGTTTGTGATTAAGCAGTACCTACCACTGATAAAAGCCCTAAATGAAGACAATACACTAATAGCAGGTTTCTGTCAACTGGTATTATTTAAATATATTTTTTTTCCTGGACATGGATAAATCTGCAGTACGCAGAATGCCATATAGAAAGTGCCAGGGCACTCTGCTTTGAACTCAGTATGTAAGAGTAGGTATGTAGCATTGAGTACATGACCGTAGCTTACTAGTACATACTAGTTGCCTAGGTAGTAGATACTTGTATGTCATTGATCTATTTCGAGAACATTGCATATGTGAGCTACTATGTACAGATGTAATACGTACATATAGTGTGCACTATTCAAATGTATAGTACTTTTTACTTCAAATGTTGCTTGACCATTTTTGCTAATCCTTTTTTTCTCACATGTGCATGAACTGAACTCGTTGTGTAAGACTGATTTCCTAGATCTCTAGAGGAATATTTCTAGTATCTTGTGTTCCATGTTTTATGTAGAATCGCAATTGCTGTTCTAGCAAGGCTATTATTGCGATTCTGAGTTCCTGATTTCTACCTAGTTTATTTCTTCTTTCCCTTCGTTCCTTCGTTTGATTCGTCTTCTTTGCTACCCTTCGGAATTTGGGGTCTCCTAATATCCATTGACCTCGGCGGATGGAAATTTCAATGAGACCGAATATCAAGGGGGTTCGTTCATCCACCCAAAACAACTCGCTCAGAGTGTTTTTCTACCAAGGGCAGGATTTCAGATAATCGATTGGGATCCCGCATCAATGCAGGAATATCGCCCCGAGTACTTGCGAGAATCTATCAGGTCAATTAGCTGGGGGCTGACATGCATGGGATTCCAAGGGCCCACTCATACCTGTCTCACATTTTCGTATTCGCACTCCTTCGATTGATATTCACGGATTACCTCCCGAGTCGCAAAATCGACATAGACCCGAGTGTCTCGAAGACGGATCAATACGTTATCAAGTCTCATGAAGAACCTTGTCAGAAGGAGCAGTCTTTCGGGCATCACACGGATTTTGCATGACAGCATGGCGATTCCATTGTCCGCCAGTTCATCCTCATAGAGAACAACATCATCAAAAAGCAGGATTGGATCGGGGCGAGTAAGAAGCTCGATAGGAATCGGATTAGAGGTTTCTTCAAATGGTGGTGCATTGGGGCTCAAGGTGCCCTTGTAGTCAGTGCTGTAGGACCAATCGAATGGCTTCACTACTTCTTTGATGCCTTCATGTGTTTTTTCCCTGTTAATCGTCAGAAGATAGCAACAAAAAAAGAAAAACTTCCCCCTCCCGCTCTCGGTAAAAAGGAGTTTTTATATTGGAATACGAGAATTCTATACCTGCTCTTCTGCCATTCTTTCGAATAGGCCACTTGCAGCATCGACTGACCAGTCTTGTCAACTCGGTCAAGAGCATCGAAGGAGTTAAAATTGATACCCCAGCCACTCTTTTCATGTTCAATCATCACATAATTGTCGCCAAAGATCATTTCAGGGGGTGCAATTCCCAGCTTCTTGGTCATCTTCTCGATCGGGTCTGCTTTTAAGATGGGTAGCTTCTGAGTGGAAATTCGGAAACCCTGAATAGAGATCTCCTGCGGGCGTTTAGTGGGATAGGTTGATGCATGCCCTATGGGCGGTGCAGTAGTTGGTGGTTTGGAATCCATATTTGTTTTTTTTTTTTCAGACCATGTCGTCATGAGAGAGATATCAATTTATCAATCACGGAGTAACAATAATCGCGATCGCCGATATGAAGTTGAGCCCCGCGGGCGGAGAAAGAGGCGGGCCGATGTCGTTGCTGGGGAGACGGCTTTGATGATGGGAATCCATAACACCCGTTCCTCTTCTCTCTCTCCACTCATCAATCTCCAATTTGAACTTCCACACTCTCCAACAACAACCATCCATGTTGCTTTGCTCTTCGTAGATATTTGGTTTTGACGCCTTGATTCACCTTCTCCCCTTCCTTGCTGTTTTGTTTACCACACTCCCGTTCCAGCCGCTACAATGGCAACGAAAACATTAGAGAGTCGCTTTGAGCACTTGTCCGTCAAGGACGACAAGGATCGCACCTATGCCAAAAACAAGGTATGTCAATTCAAACTTCATAATATCGCTATGAAAGGGTCTATACTTACTCTTTATTTCTTAGGCCTCCAAGGGTTCCATCTCGACGGCTGCTTCGTTGTCTAGTCTTGGTCCACCCCAGAATAACTCAAACCGGGCTCAGTTGCTGAAGTTGGCACTGCAAAACACAAATGAAAACAAGGCTAATGCCATGAATGTTCCCCCATCTCCTGGAAAGGGATCAGGAACAGTGGTGTCTCGCAATACCGACGAAAACGGTGACAAGCGCACGCCAAATTTACCACATGAGCCCTCGGTTCCCAGGGAGCTCCACCTTGGAATGTTTGAGATTGGAAAGCCTCTCGGTAAGGGCAAGTTTGGCCGTGTCTATCTCGCCAAAGAACGGTCATCAGGATTTGTGTGCGCTCTGAAGGTGCTGCACAAGTCAGAACTCCAACAAGGTGGCGTTCAGAAGCAAGTTCGACGTGAGATTGAGATCCAAAGCAATCTCCGACACCCCAATGTTCTTAGACTTTACGGTCATTTCCACGATAGCAAGCGAATCTTCCTAATCCTGGAATTCGCGGGCCGTGGTGAACTATACAAGCACCTCCGTAAGGAGCACCGATTCCCCGAGTGGAAAGCCGCGCAGTACATTGCACAAATGGCGGCAGCATTGAAGTATTTGCATAAGAAGCATGTGATGCACCGTGACATCAAACCAGAGAACATCCTGGTCGGCATCCATGGAGAAATCAAGATCAGTGACTTTGGTTGGAGTGTCCACGCCCCAAACAACCGAAGGCAGACGATGTGCGGAACTCTTGACTACTTGCCCCCGGAGATGCTGAAGAGCGGCCCCCAGGAAAACTACTATAGCGAGAAGGTAGATCTCTGGAGCTTGGGTGTCCTGGTTTACGAGTTCCTCGTCGGCGAGGCGCCTTTCGAGGACACGCCTGCCATGACCCACCGACGAATCACCAGGGCCGATATGTCTGTTCCGTCCTTTGTCAGCCCTGAAGCGAAGGATCTTATTAAAAGGGTAAGTTTCGAAAGTGTCACTATTAGCAGGGCAATTGAACTGACGATTTACAGCTATTGGTTCTTGACCCAGAGAAGCGCATTCCCCTGGATGAAATCCAGAACCACCCCTGGATTGTCAAGCACTGTGTGAAAGATGCAAAGCGAACCCCTGGCTCTTCCAAGGAGGGCAAAGCATGAATGCATACGCACGGGAGATCGCCTTTAGGATGTTTTTCTTTTTCTAATTTTTGATTTCGTGGCTCACACAGACGATGGAGTTTTCAGGCGTTGGGTCTCGGTTTGCATCACTCGGAGTTTTGTGTTCCTTGCTGGACTATAGCCAGGTTAGGCATTCGCGATATGGGGACATGTGTTCTTTTAATCTTGCTTCTTCGATACCAATGAATATGGTACATTCAAAAAAAATATATGTTACATGTGGAGAGTGGTATAAAAGCTGACGCCATAGACTGTAAGTTGAGGAGTGGGAGAGGGAGGGAGTTAGGTATCAGCGGTAAATCTCGTCAAACGGTCTTGTGTCTCGGAAACAACTGCCCCATACTTCATCTACCACTTGTTTCGCGTGGGCCTCGTCCCGGCAGGTTGGTCGGGCTCTCACGGACAGAACTGCTCTTCTCCGAACACACTCTTGATGTTGCTCAGTCAACTTCCATTGACCTCTTCGGAAGAACTCTCGCGACCATCTGCATTCACCGCTCAGGGAACTTGCTCGAATCTAGTAGCTGTTAGCTCATGGAATTCCCAAATGACCAGGGCTCCCTATTATAATGTGAATCACATACCTCTGAACAGGCAGCATGCCTTAAATTATCTGTCCAGTTCACTTTGAACCGTAGGTGGTCATAGGTATGGACCATCTCGTGGGCCAATGTGTCCTCCAAATGTCCTTGATCTTTCATTTCATTGGCACAAAGCAAGATACCATACTCGGGATCAAAGCCGCCCGCTTTTCTATTTGTGCAACGGCGACAATAGATATTGTGGCTGCCAAGATCGCCTCCTAGTTGCTTGATATTATCGCTGAGGTATCGAATGACGGGACCTTTGTGGAGAAGTAGCTTTTAGTATATTTAAGCCAATGTCTGATCTCTAGAGGACAATTGCCTTACTGTACTGAAGAAGAAAGTCGCGCTGGTCCTCGCAGCGTTTGCAATCATCAGCCTCGTTTCGAAGATCTCGCGCAACTCGGAACTGTTCAATTCCCTCGGAGGACATCTTGCCGGTCAGAATACGATAAATGTTGCGGAACTGCGTCCATGTATCATCACCGGCAACGTAGCCCGTATCGGGCTTGACACTTGATGGCGCCGCCGAGTCTGATGACTGCGAATTAGACATGGTGATTGCAGATAGTATCCAAGAGCTTCCGCGGAGTGAAACAAAGATTCACCACAGAGCGGAGGGGTATGGCAGAAACCGGCGATTGCTTCTGGCGCGAAATCATTCTGCCAAACTTGGGTTTCTCAATTCTCACCTTAATTTACGAGTCACGACCTGTAACTCCAAGTGAATGTGCTGAGAGTCGATATCGTCTGATATATTCCGGAAAACATCAACAACCATGGCCACCCCGGGTCTTACCATCGTGATAAAGCTAGGTGCGGGGGCATATGTAAAATGACTCGAGGCCGGACCTGGACTGACATTGATTCCTTACGAACAGGAACGAGTTCTATTGTCGACGAGAAAACACATGAGCCTATTCTATCCATTCTCACAACAATTGTGGAGACGGTAGCAAAACTGCGCAAAGATGGTCACCGGGTCGTTCTAGTGTCGTCGGGTGCAGTCGGCGTCGGTCTGCGGAGGATGGACGTTGAAGAAAGACCAACATATCTGCCCCGAATACAGGCACTTGCTGCAGTTGGTCAATGCCGACTCATGAGTCTCTGGGATAATCTTTTCTCCCACCTTAGAGTCCCCGTGGCTCAGATCCTTCTGACAAGAAATGACATTGCCGATGTGAGCTTTCAAAAGTCCAGTATGTTGCTGATGTATACGATATTAATATCCAGCAAAGAATACTCAATATGTCAACGCTCAAAATACATTCGAGCAACTTTTTGATATGGGCGTCATTCCCATTGTTAACGAAAACGACACACTGGCTGTTTCTGTAAGCAAACCCCACTTTACAGACATGACTGAGATCTAAAATCTAACACACTGGTGGATAGGAAATCAAATTTGGCGACAATGATACTCTTTCTGCAATCACTGCGGCTACGGTCAAGGCTGATTACCTGTTCTTGATGACAGACGTAGACTGTCTTTATACAGCTAACCCGCGCAGCGACCCCAACGCACAGCCGATTGAGGTTGTCTCTGATATCTCTATGCTAGAGGCTGATGTTTCATCTGCCGGATCAGCCTTGGGCACTGGAGGTATGAGCACAAAGATCGTGGCCGCGAAGCTCGGAACAAGCGCTGGCGTGACGACTATCATCACCAAGAGCTCAAAGCCCGGAAATGTTCATGAGATTGTGAAGTATCTGCAAGCGCTACAAAATATTGGAAATCTCGATGAAGCGGCGGCTGTTGCCAATATACCCAAACCTCCTCTTCACACCAGATTTCTTCCTTCTGATGCCCCCATCCAATCTCGAACATTCTGGTTACTTCATGGACTTACGCCTCACGGCTCTTTGTATATTGATACAGGTGCTTACGAAGCACTCCTCAACAAGGCCAGCCTTCTCCCCGCTGGGGTGCTTGGAGTTGAGGGCCATTTTGGACAACAAGAAGCTGTACGCCTAATTGTTGTGGATCGGCCTTCTCCTGATGCTCTGAATGGAGACTTCATCCACCATGCCCAAGAACCCAAGGAGGTGGGTCGCGCCATTGTGAACTATGGAAGCATTGAGATCGCACATATCAAGGGCCACCGGAGTACGCAGATTGAGTCATTACTTGGCTACGCGGATAGCGATTATGTAGCATTGCGAGATAATATCTCGTTTCACCCCGAAGACCGGCATAATCACCCAGTGACCCCAGCATTAACGCCAGCTCTGGAGGAGTGGAAATCCCCACGGACATCGCCATGATTATGGCAAGAGTGAATGACTGCCCCAGATAGCCAGAGCTGTATAATGGTCTAGATGTGGAATTGATGTTCGCATGCCTGAATCTGATCTGTCGCATATCAGTCCGATCTGGGAATACAAAAATAGAGGATGGATACGCCGTGATCCCTATGTGATACCCATTTAGAGAAGAAAATATTGGCTCTAAAAAATGAATTGGCCGGAGTGATGTACTGAGCAGCCAAAAAATCCATAATATGAGAAAATTAACATGAACTAAAGAAAGATAAAAAGAAGAAAGAAAGTAAGAAAGGAAAAAAGAAAGAAGAAAAGAAGAAAAGAAGACTTCCAAGCTCCCACAAAGTACATGTCTAATCCTTCCAATGTTCCAACCAATCTTGCATTCTCTTGTCCAATGTTGGCATCGGAGCAGGAGCAGCCTGAGAAAGTATTAGCATCAGTTAAATCGGGGCCAATGAGTAGTAGACAAACCGTATTCTCGATACTCTGAGTTGTCCATGTCGCATACGCCGTGTCTGTATAATCCACTGTTGGAGCGGGAAGATACGTGGTAGCAATGGAGAAAGGGAATGGTGGGTATTGAGGCGTCGCCGACTTGTCTGATATGGTTGTGCCTGCTCTTTTGGGCATCGGAGCATACTTGGTCCGGCCCATCTGTTCTCCATATGGGATCGTGTGGGGATCCACAGCCAGGCGCTTTCGCAGTTCATGTTGATCCAGATCAGTAGCCGCAGTGGGTTCAGGGAGCTCCAGAACAGAATGTGATGCGTTGGGACTTGGGGTGGCTTCGGTAGGTTCTAAGAGATTCGATTCGTTCACCAAATATGATGATATGGGAATCGGCCGCATGAACTTGACGGCATCCGATACTTGGGTCGAAAATGTACCTTTCATGTTTGTTAAAGTGAAATGGGATGTTATGCCGGACAAGGCACCGTTGGTGGTGGAGGGAACAATCTTCAGGAAGCTAAATGAAGTCAAAACTCTTAGCATGATTACTTCTTCATTTTTTGTCCCTGCGGTCCACATACTATGCATTTTGATCATTTCCTCCCACACTTTGATCGACCCGAAATGACATCCAGTCCCCAGATGCATAAGAGACATTTTCAATAACTCGGTCTAGTGTTTCCTAAACCCATCAATCGTGTCAATGGTTGCATATACAAGTAGATCTAGAAGATTAGAAGGGGGCTGCCTGCCACGTACGTATTCACCCGTGGATTCGTCTCCAGCGCAAAGCCAGACATCATAATGCGTTGATAAAGCGCTTTCAAAGCCCCAAATGAGACTCACAACATCTCGACTGTCAAAGGTTAGGTCACTAATGGTCTGAGCTACGGCAGCAGCAACCAGGGATAGAGCAGGCCAAAGTCGATAAAGCCTCATGTTGGACTGGAAGGTATAGAGAATCAAAGTGATTACAGGACGAAGAAGGAAAAGCCATGGTATTCATTTTCCTCCTTCGCTTGCCTTTCTTCCCCCTTTGGTCCATTGGTATGTTGAGTTGTCATTCCAAGTTCCAACCCTTTCGGTTCACGGACCAACAAGACTCAAGAGTATACAGATTGGTTATAGTGCACTAAGATAAGATAAGACCCGATATAAGTCTTATCGATAAGAAAAGGTCCGTGCTATCACGAGACTTAAGTTGCTTTCTCCTGGAAATTTCCCCGGTCTCCCGATCATCAGCCCACCATGTCAAGCCAAGCCAGTTGGAACTCCGTGACGGGGATTGCAACCCTTCTTTTTGATGGCAACTTGGTTGCCATCGCCATTGCTATAATATCCACCTTTGGTGTACCTGTCCTTCTGCATGTCCTCTTTTTCCAAGCTGTAGCCTCGCCGCCCTCAAGCAACTTCTTGTTGTTGGGTCCGAGCGGGTCAGGAAAAACCGCATTCACGACCCTGGTAAGCTTGCAACCCCCCTTCACCCTACTTCTGTTCTCAAATCAGATGTCATTGGTCTTGATGTCGCATATGTGTCATGGGAAATTTATTCTGACGGTCAGCTTTCATAGCTCGAGGCGAAATCCTCCCCGGCGTCAAAGAAGTCACAGGGCACTCACACCTCTCAGACCTCGACCTTCGTGTCGGTCACTCTTCCACCCACTGTTCCCACTGCATCCAACCGCTATCGATCTGTCAATGATCCCTCGTTAAAAGAGGCTACCCGAAACCCAATTCGCTACCAGATCAAAGATACCCCAGGCCATGGCAAGCTCCGTGCTTCGCAAGGCATCGATGCGCTCCAATCCATGGCAGGCTCCAAGGATATCAAGACTAAGGTCCGCGGTGTCCTTTTCATGGTGGACACCGCGGCCCTTGTGGATGAAGCCACTTTGCGGGACACGGCGACTTATTTGCACGACGTGCTTCTGCTCCTCCAAAAGCGGGAACTGAACAAGTCTTCCACCAAGCGAACTTTGCAGATCCCCGTCTTGGTGGCCGCCAACAAGCAGGATCTGTTCACGGCCCTCCCCCTGGTTCCGTGCGGGAGAAGCTAGAAGCTGAAATCGATCGGATCCGGAAGTCCAAGACTAGAGGTTTAATGGATGCGAGCGCAGACACTGGACTGGACACGGAAGAGGATGTTTTGGGCAATGACGATGCGCAGGGGGTCTTTACTTTCAAGTTGCTCGAGGAAGAATCGGGAGTGAAGGTGGAAGTGGTGGGAGGTGCCGTTAAAGGTGACTCAGAGGAAGAACTCGGATCTGGCGTCCGTCGCTGGGAAGAGTGGATTGGCATGTGTCTATAATTGACATTTGCTTGATTCACGGATGTTCTCGAAAATAATTCAAGACTCGTTGTTGATACGTTTAGCGGATCTAGCATTACTTGATTGTACATACTACCTGAGTAAACAATAATCTCTCAAAGGCTCATATTCTGAGAACTTTGCGGGGCAAAACTACAAAAACAGACGAAATCGACGGAAGACCATTTATATCTAAGTGATCAGTGACTAGCTGATCAGGATTCAGCATCATGCATCTACCCCATGACTAAGCACAAAGTCTGCCTGAGCCAAGTCTGCAATCTACTCAAGGAGCCTGCTGCTGCCTGACTCTGAGCGCCATCAGTAAAGCAGCGGCATCCATAACAGGAAAGCCCCGAGAGAAGAAAAATACTGTAATACGTATAGCTTATGTACTCCTAAATCAGGTGCTAGTGGATCCTTGCGTTCCAGGCATCCATTTATTGACTTGGGTACTTAAAAAACCATACATCCTCCTTGCTAATCTTGTAACTTGACTTGCTTTGCTTCTTTCTCTTTCTTCACTACGGAGTAGTCTTTTCATTTTCGTTTTGTATGAACTCCAGAGGAAAGAAAAGAAGTGAAAAGGAGGGGGGGAAAAAAAACCATTTGATCCATTTACGATCAGCGTTTGAGAACATTGCATTTTGCACACAACCTATCGATTTGATGATTCTTAACCTCCAGAGCTGCCGGGTTACTAACAGACTGACGGGGCAAGGAAATCAAATAGCTTTCTTCATGCAACCTACAGATTATGGGGTACATACTAATTACGGAGTACAATTACGCAGATGGACTGGCTGATCGCTCCACTTGAGTTGCATAAGCTTGGCTTTTCAGCTGATTTTGCAGCCAAGACCGTGGCGGTGCCAGTTAGCATTCCCCACTACCTACCGACACGGTCTTACCTGGGAATCTTTTTCTTTTTCTATGATCGGGTGGCTTGGCAAGACTCTCTGGGGTCAGATGTGAATTGACGGAGCCTCTCTTTTCCCCCAAGCTTGGTGGCTGGGAAGGTGAATGTTGACCTACCAACCTCCAGCCTTTTCGTACAAGAAAAGAAGAAGGGGGGAAAAAAAACCTCCCCGCCACCCCCGAAATCCAAACCAAATGATAAACACAGGTCCCTCAATCATGGATGCCAAGAACCCCAGGCCTTGTTGTCCTTCAGCTTGGATTTATGCACCCGCAGTAACCTCCGGCTGATTGGCTATACCGATCTGCCCGCGGTGGAGGTCGTGTTTTTGTCTCCCGTCTCAGTACTACAGTACACACACCTATATGTTGTAGACCCGCCTGTTTGCTTTTTTTTTTTCTTTTCTGCTTTTCCTTTTCCTTTTTCTATTTCTTCCTTTTATTTTTGGCTTATGAGTGTCTCTTACTTTCCCAGCATTTTCTTTTCTCTTCGTCTTTTTTATCTCAAGGTTCATATTCCCTCTCAATCTGCATCTATAGGTTCTTTCAATATAGGTTTCCCCCTTGTTGGTTTATTCATAGCGACAGCAGGGCCAACAGACCCCCAAAATGGGTTCCATCAGACCCGAAATCGAAGAGTCGCGCATGCATGAAGGCGGGGACGGCGTATTCGTGACTCAGGAAAAGGGATCCCAGCAAAACTCGATTCTGCCGACTTTGGAGAAACACCATCCAACTCGCTATGTACTAGGATTATTTCGAGTCGATAGTGCCGGAGAGAGCGGCCGCTCGGGGATTCACCCTGGCCATTTCTTTCGTGTGGTTTTCAAAAGTGTCTGCACCACTTCAATGTTGGTGAATTACCTCTGGCCCTTCGTCCCTGTCGCGATTGTGATGCACTTTGCCCGACCCGACCTCCATGTTTGGGTTTTTTCTCTCAACTATATCGCCATGGTCCCATCCGCAAATGTCCTTGGCTTTGGAGGTGGAGAATTGGCTAAAAAGCTGCCTAAAACCTTCGGCGTTCTACTGGAGACCGGAATCAGTTGCTCGGTCGAACTGGTGCTGTTTATGGTATTGCTTCATAATGATAAAAAGGGCGAGGGTAATCTTATTCCGGTCATCCAAGCCGCTATTCTTGGATCTATCCTCGCAAACCTTCTGCTTTGCTTGGGTACCTGTTTCTTTGTTGGCGGTCTTCGACGGAATGAACAAGTCTTCCACGAGGCCGTCAGTGAGGTGGGTACAGGGCTGTTGTTGGTCGCCGGCTTTGGTCTGTTGATTCCCAGCGCTTTTTACTCCGCCTTAAAGTCTGCCACCAATACGGAGTTTACGCTGGCCATGTTGGAGGATTATACCATGCAGATTAGTCGCGCAACAGCTGTGGTACTTCTCATTGCATTTATAATGTGAGTTGCCAAGGCTACTCTGATTGAAGGCGACGGCCCGATCAACATGCTAATCATGGACGGTAGATTTCTCATTTTCAACTTGCACAGCCATAACTCAATGTTCGACGACATCTTGGAGACAGAGGAGGCTCAAGACGAGGACAGACATAAAGAGTTAAACAGGGCAAAGCTCACATTTGCGGAATCCTTGGTAGCAATTGCAATCTCTCTGGCATGTGTCAGTTTATCGGCGGTGTTCCTGGTGCAAGAGATTGAACATATTGTGGCCCTGGGAGTCTCCGACAATTTTCTGGGGCTAATTCTAGTTCCACTTGTCGAGAAGGCGGCGGAGCACCTGACAGCGGTGGACGAAGCCTGGGACAATCAGATCAACTTTGCCCTTTTCCATTGCATGGCTCCCTCTATCCAAACAGCTCTTCTGAATGCGCCACTGGCAGTTATCGTGGGTTGGATCCTAGGTAAAGACATGAGCCTCAACTTTGAGATCTTCATGGTTGTTCTCTTAGTATTGTCGATCTTGGTCGTTGGCAACTTTCTACGAGATGGCAAATCAAACTACTTGGAGGGGGCCCTTTGTGTGTTGATCTACGTGATTATTGCTGTCACTACTTGGTATTATCCCAAAGTTGACGTGACCTCGACCAATCAAGCATAGTAGTTTTCATTAGGGCTAGAATCCAGGAGCATCTAGTCTGTATATCCTACTCATCTCCCCCGATCATCTTTGACGATTTTATTGATCGTTGATTATTTGCAGCTATATATAAATAAATGTACATATATTAACCTACATTTGTTTTGGCCCATATCCTACCAGCTCTTGATGCATGTTTGTGGTTAAAGCTATATATCTTCCCCAGTCAAGTCCAAATCAACGATTTCGTGGATGAGGACTATCAGATGTACCCGATATGGAAAATTGTATACATACAAAGTGCACGTGACCAAATACACCGCAAGCTTGGGAACTCCGCGGAGCACAACCTCATGAATTCATGAATAATCGCCAGTTCATTGATTGACTTGATCAAGTTCCCAACACGTGGAAATCCCGTGGAAATTATTTTTCAACCGAGCATCAGTCTTTTCGAATTCGCGGCTTCCCCTTCGTTGATTACCTCACTCTGCCTCGCCTCATCCCGAACCACAGTCCCACAAACCACAGACGCGCTTCATGGAGGTTGCTAGCACCGCAGATCGGATTATCTCGATAATGAAGGAGAGGGACATATTGATCAAGCGGGATATTATTGGGTCTGCTTTGGAAGACTTGAGTACAGGTCTTGGGTCTGAGAATGCAGAATGGGTATCCAAATATCTACGACAGGAAACTCTTCTCTCCAAGGAAGAGCTAAGCGTGTACGTCCGATAAGATCAAGTCTTCTTCGTGTGATATCCAGCTGATAAAAAGGGCTAGCTATACTAAGCTTGAGAATTCCGGCGTCATTCAGCCCATCCTTCGTGACCCCAGTCTTAGTGCAATACGTCCCTTTCTAGAGGATGACATGCGAAGCACAATTCAATCTCTAGAAGCATCCACAGTGGCCATACAAAAAAAGTCGCAGGCCCTCTCTTTACAATGTCAAACTCTCAAAAAGCAAATGCGTCATCAAGAGGGCTTAGAACAAGATAGGAATCGGGATATCGCACGGCTGCGGAAGAAGCATGAAGCTGGGAAACAAAACAATACGGTTCTGGTATTAACGGCCCTGGTAAATTCTCAGAGTGGCCCGCTGAACATCTACAGGCAAATGATCTTTCCGATGAGCTCGATGCTGCCTTCAGAGGCGAGACCGATAAAGTGGGAGTGGAGAGCAAACGAATCCTGTCACTTTTGTCCACTCGGCTAAAACACGACGATAAGGTTCTTGCTGCCCTGGAAGACATGATGCCGGAAGTCAAGTCAAATAACATTGACGCCTCAACCGTGAAGCGGGCAGCGCACCTGAGTGAGACTCTTGCGGACTACAGCGCAGAGGAAATTCATTATCGATTGGATAGATTATATCTTGAATCGATAGGAGCTGGAGATATGGATCCTACTCACGAAACGGAAAGCGAGACTGTCTCTGCATTGGAGGAGGAGCTGCAGTCTCTGTACCCCGAGATTGAGATTTTGGCAGAGATGTCCACCAAGCAGCAGTTCCACGAGCCTATTCTCCGCGAGATCCACAATGAACACAGCCAGCTTCGTGTGACCTCACAGCAGAAGTTAGAGAAGGTACGGGGCCCACTCTTTTGTTTTTGTTTTTATTGTTGTTTTTCAAAAGTCCGACATGGTCACCCACTAATCCATACCAATAGATACTTGATGTTTTAATCGATTTGACTATGTCTAAACAGACATTAAAGGCACAACTGGCAGACCGGGAGTCTTCGTGTGAACTATTGGAGCATATTACAACCCTGTACCAAGCGGAAACAACCAGCCAGCTTGTGACTCAACCAGGTTCTCGGCGGGAATCTATTAGGCGGCGGTCACTGCAGCCTGGCATGATCCTCGGGACTATACGCAACCCCGCCCCAATGACGGAGCAGCCTTCTTTAGAAAATCTCCTGCGTCGTATTGGATTGTCACCTGAGTCCGTGCTCCACCCGCGAGCGGAAGATGGTGGTGCTGAGGGACTCCACGAGAAGCGAATCCACATGTCAGAGGCCGTCCGAAATCTCGAGATTGCCGCCGAATCACCCCTGGTGGCTCATTTGGGCCATTCAGATAGCGCGTCACAGTTGCTGGCCTCCTCTTTGCATGGGAACTCCCGGTTTGAAACATCGCTGCAAGATCCTGGACAAGCAGGTGCGCTATTGGGCCTCGAGACCGAACTCGCCTCACTTCAAAACGGGGTACAGGGGCTTAACCTGAATGTACTCCACCAGCGGGATAAGACCCAAGCCAAGTTTCTCGAGCGTTGGAGCTAGAGGGGCGAGAAGGACCTGGATAGTAACGCTGCCTAATAACCCCAAGGGAACCAAGGAAGAGATGTGCAGCTGGAAAAATGTCGAATAAGCCTTGCGGCTTTTTCGTAGCTTCTAGGCCTGTAATCGCGGCGGCTCACCCGTTGGCGCGGGAGGAACCCAAACCAACCATTGGAGACCAACAGGTCGCTGCATCTCTGATTCGACAATCGGGGGGAGGGGAAAGCAGGGGTGGCTAGTGTGAGTTGGCCCGCGCCACCGCTGTGCCGACAATACTCTATCCATTGATGCCCGATATCTCTTTTGATTCCGATTCCGATCGATATTGACATTAGGAATAAAGAAAGAAGAAAAAGAAAAAGAAAAAAAAGGCCGCATTAGTGCTGCAGGTCTTTATTTCATGCATCTTCACCCATTTTATGGCAAGAGACTCTCGCGTGGTAAACTCACGTGCATTGCATTGCGACCGTGAGAAACAAGGCAGACTCATCGACACAGGAAAATCAAAATCACCATCAAATATATGAATATGTGACAACTACTTCCCTTAATATGACCAAGTGAAACGGGGTATATGAATGTCTACTACTATCTACTACTGTCACCTGTGGACTCCGTGTGCTTCCCCTGCTGACTTGGGCCCTGCGCCCCTGTGACCGAAAGTGTATCAGCCACAGTCTATAGCAGTTGGGGAAGACAAGAAAAAGAAACTAAAAAAAAAGAAAAAAAAAAAAAGAAAAAAACATCTATGCCATTTGATATGACTTCGTCATAAGTTATTCGATCCACTTTCATACATAAGGCAGCCATTTCCGCAATCTTTGTCCTTTGTTCCAAGATCGTCACAAAGGGACTTATTTTAACACAGTCGGGGCCGACTTCACACTTAAAGAAATCACCTGCTTTGAACCCTATGACTGTCACCACATGCCATCATCTATCATTGTTCGCCGTGAATAGCTCTTTGACTAAGAAGACCATTCTTTAATTCTTCTTACCACACTTGATTATGCCTTTGTTCCTCAATCAAATCCTGTGTTCAAATATCTCCCTTTGTCACTCGAGGCCATTATTGATCTTCTTTGAGTATCCGGATCTATAAATCGGTATCTTGAGTATATTTATATGAGCCGCAAACCCGTCGAATCTCGAGAAATAAGACATGCGTTTCATCGATAGCCATTTAAGAAGATTTCCTCCGATGCCTCGGACGTCTCGTCGACCATCATTATTACCACCACATAGTAGCTCAACATTCTACTCATCCGATATCGACATTGACGATTGGCGACCTCAGTTCTCCGAGGGGGATTTCAGGCCAAACACTTCATCATATTTGATCGGACGCTCAAGGCCTCGACCACGTCAAGCATATTGGGAATCTGAGGGACGAGACATGAATCTACCAAAACACAGAGACTGGCTCTTCTCATGGTTCCACAAAAATACCTTGCCCACCAAAAGGGAGCCAAATCTTCTACGAAGGGAGCAAGGCCGTCGGGCTTTTGTTGTCGACCCCCCGGAATATATCAGAGCCCGTCATCATCGTCAACCAACATTTACTCCTCGAACGCAGCCTGCTTCGTCAAGAATGAATTCTACCTTCGATGAGCTGCGAGATTATCCTCGGTCTCGTTCCAGGACGGATCGAGATATTCATGACATTCAAACCCACACAGAAGCTCCGAGGCGAGAGAATCCTCGTCCAGTACCCGCTCCTCGAGTACGGCCCGGATCACCGAGAATGGGGTCATACTATGCCGATTTCCGCCAGAGGTCTCGATCTCGTTCTGCAGCTCCCCGAGAGATCCCTGAAGTCCATCAAGCTCGTCCAACACGATCAGCCCATCTAGAGATCCCAAATGAAAGGTTACGCCGTCCTCGTGAACGAACCCCTGTCGACGAGAGAGAACCTTCTCGACCGGGCAATTGGATACCTGCCCCTCGTCAGGGCAGAAATATGCGTCGTCACGTCTCTTTTGTAGATGAGGATGTCCCTTTCCAGCCCAGCGTGTCTCGAGCAACCGTACAAGAACAGGCCAGAGGACCAACGAACGGCGAAGGAAGGCGTGGAAGGACAACCCGCAGATCTTCCCCAATCAGGAGCGAATCCGGATATCCAGGAGAGGGCTCGGGGCCACGCAGGTTTGTCCAGCGTAGCCCACAAACCCAGCGTCGCTCTGGGAGGATAGAGGAAAGGAGCCCTCGTGCCGAGCGACCGCAGATTATTCACCATGGGCATCAGGGATTGTCTCACTCGTGGGAACACTTTCCTAATGAACATCATGGGAGATACCCCTCAAGAGTACCGCTCCAAGAGCCTCTCGCCAGGGTCTTTAGACGTCACCGCAACAGACAGGAGCAGTTGATTGATGAGCGAGGCCCTCTTGACCGGTGGCGATGAACATGACAATCTACACGTTGACATGTTAACTGAATAGATGACCTTTGGGAATAAATTTTTGAAAATCATGGGATGCGATGGATAAATTTTATCTTGGACTGGGCGTTTTTATATCTCTTTTTGAGGCTTTCTGGTTGGGTTTAGTGTTGACATGGTTTTTTTTTTTTGGTTTTAAAAAAAGGGGGTTTCAAGGTGTATCACTCCTGTGTTAGCATTTGGGAGCGGGAATAAATGCAATGTTTATATAAATCTGATATCGATTGCGCTTTGTATTAATCAACCTTGAAAGTCGGGACTTTCCAAGATTTCCACGATTTAAGGTCAATATAACAGTAGATCGTCATCTTGCAGAAGATATGTTGTAATGTGAAAGTGGAGCATTACATACTTCACATTCCCTAATCCAGTAAGACGCCCGGACTCCGTTGACCTTATCTTTTCCCTCTCATCTGGAACTTTCTTTGCTCTGCCAACTTTTCTTCTTCTTCTCATTTCTCCTTTTCATTCATATGGAGATACTCTTGGAATTTGAACTTCAATCGTCTATGAATAATTAGACACATAGAGTAAGTTTCGCATTTGGACGCCATCCCCTTCTCCCCCGGTGGCTTTTCGGGCATGGGGTATGTTGACACAAGTTAGGCAGCCAGGTCCTCAGACAAGTTCCACAGAGTCTCGACCGATCGTACTCCTCTGTCTAGTGACCCGATTCGTTCTTATTACGCTCGGTTTAACTTCCCACCGCCGCGCAAGTTGACCCTTCGCCTTCATTTGCCGCGACTTGAGATCGCCACGCGCTGAAGTGACTGCCACATTGCCTTGGGACATAAAATGAGATATTTATTTGAACATCCACCGTGTACCTATAGGTCGGGGTGCGCTATTCAATCAGTGACACCTCCTTTGGAGTCTGTTGGGCAATAAAAGATAAAACGACGATGGCTGCGGTCATGACACAGACCGAATGCGCCCCGGGCACAAGATCGCCAGGGTCCTTATTGAAACTAGGCTCTCCGGGCGATGGAGCCGAGGCAGAAGTGTCCCGGACAGGGCTGAATGTCTTTGAGATGTCCCCTGATACTGCATTGCAGCTGCTCTGCAACAACCTCGAAAATCTACAAGCCCATTTTGCGAAAACGTCCACCGAACCCAATTCTTTCAGCTCCACCCCCGCGGAAGGTGAGATCCTGACCGACGGGGATTCTTCCCTGCAGGCAGTGGGTTTACACTGTGGGGATTCCGAACATGCGGCGGACAGGACCCGCGAGGAGACTTTCCAGTTGGCCTTACTGGCCAGAAAGTTCCTTTCCAAGAAAGTGCCTCCAATCCCAATCAGAGACTATCTCCTCCGCCTTCACCAATACTGCCCCATGTCTACAGCGGTATTTCTGGCTACGAGCGTGTATATAACGAAGATGGCTCTAGTGGAGAAAGTCCTTCGCGTGACACCGAAGAACATGCATCGCCTCGTTCTTGCAGGCCTGCTGGTGGCGACCAAGGCACTTGAAGATCTCAGCTTTCCCCATAGTCGAGTCGCCAAAGTTGGGGGAGTCAGTGAGCAAGAGCTGTCAAAATTGGAGATAAGCTTCTGCTTCTTGGCCAACTTTGAGTTACGCGTAGATGAGAAGATCATGATGGATGAAATCCAGCTGCGGTGCAACAGAGACTCATCCAATGATGACACTGGTAGTGCTTCATGATTTACTTTTTCCCCCGCGAAACATTGCCATTTTTTCTCTCTCATATATGTAACTGTCATGTATATAAATCAACTGCTTGTCATAGCGTGAAATGTTGCATAAACATCCAGATCAGAGACATAACTTCCGCACCAAGAATACGGCTGCCTTAACTGAGGCTGAGTAATCGGCTATTATAATTCCGCGGCAAGAAAACCCCCAGATTCGTTGGTCTATTGTCTCTTGTGTTTCCTCTGTCGTTTTATCCCTTGACTTCTATTTCTTGTCTTTGTTACGAAATAACTGGAATTCAGGCAAAGGAAAAGAAAAAGAAAAAGAAGGGGACCAAAAAAAAGGAAGTGCAGAAAGTGTATAGATTGCTGAAGGATTGGTCTCACCGCAAAGAGAACAACAGCTGGCGATCAATCTTAGCGTCGCTTCAAGGTTTCCCCGACTCCAAAAAAAGAACAATTTCACCATCCCAAGTCTACTGCTGGACCTGCGAATCGGGTGTTTCTTTTTCTTATTTCTTGATTTCAAACCTCCTATATCTCTTGAAGTACCCGTGTCAGGATACATGATGTTCCCCTAGAGAGTTCAACGAAAACGAAACCAAAAAAGCACCAAGGACTCGATCGACTCCTTTAACCTTGACGAATTCCCCCCGAACATCCTCCCACTTCCTTCTACTCGACGAAACACCTGCCATGTCTTCCAAAACGTCTCCATCGGAGACTCTGGGCAGTAGTCCCTCGGGCCAGACCCCCGGATCCACCCCCACTGGCAACGGTTCAACCCCTCCGAATAGCGACGTCGAACTCACCAGTATGCGGCCGGATGCGCACAAGCCTTCAATCCCCCTGGGGGAAGATATCATGCAGCTGGCTCGGATTGGAGAGATTGGCGCCATGCAGAATCTGTTTGCGACCAAGAAACTGACCGCCAATCACCATGATGCAGAGGGCATTACACCGCTACACGTTTGTCTCCTTTCTCTATCTCTTCCAGATGCAATTATGATGATGATATTTTGCTCCGTGGGTGAGAATGATGGTGGCAATTTTTCTGACTGTCAGTTTTCAAATAGTGGGCGGCGATCAACAACCAGTATGCGATGTGCAAGTTCCTCATGGACTCCGGCGCCGATGTGAATGCCAAGGGTGGAGAATCAGTGGCCACACCCGCCATGTGGGCAGCGCAGCGGTGTCATTACTATATTGTCAACCTCCTGCTTTCATATGGCGCGGATCCGCTCTTGACCGACGTGCAAGGCTATAACATACTCCATCTCGCGACTATTGACGGCAATGCTTTCCTTGTCGTGCTTCTCCTCCACCAAGAGATTCCTGTCGATGTGATTGACCAACAAGGCCACACAGGGCTGATGTGGGCGGCATATAAGGGGTATCCAGCCTGTGTGGATCTGTTCCTGCGATGGGGTGCCAATGCCAACGCAGTAGATGAAGGCGGGTTGACCCCGCTTCACTGGGCGTTAGTGAAGGGCTCGTTACCATGTGTGTTGAAACTTTTGGAATATGGCGCGGATCGTTTTGCCAAGACCAGAGATGGCAAGTCACCTATGACGGTAGCGCAAGAAATGAATACGCTACGGATCTGGAACCGCGCCCTGGCCGAGCGCGGGTATGAACCAGATGGCACCCAGAAGCCGGTCCCAATGGGCCTAGCCACTTTCGTCCGCAACAAGAGCCTCATGGCCAAGTTCTTTTTCCTTTGGCCATTTTTGACTCTTCTTATTGGCATCTGGATGTTGAGCAACCTGCCAATTCTCCTTGGTTTGCCGCTTACCTTAGTCACTCTATTTGGCATGCAATGGACTGCGCAACAAATCGCAAACCGTGGACCGTCGGAGTATCGGGTCTTGCAAAAGACGGTATGTCATTACCTCCCCTTCTCCAATTTTCCTGGGGTAATATGCGAACCGAATTGTCCCACGGGGCGCTAACATCTCTTACTAGCCATATCTGGCAGGTGTCTTTGCTGCAACTCTATTCTGGGTGGGATTCCGTTATGCTCTTCAAATTTTACCTGGTGAGCACTGCTTTTCTGATTGATTGCTGCAAAAAGGTATATAACTGACAGAACATAGCAACTTACTATTCGCATCCAATCCTGAATATCTTTTTTGCGGTTTTCTACTCTCTAACGGCCTTCTTCTATGTTATGGCCATGATTGGAGATCCAGGATATGTCCCGAAGATCAGCAGCCGGAACCAGCAGAGAGAGATGGTCAAGCAGCTTTTCGAACTGTGGAAGTTTGACGAAGAGAACTTTTGTGTTCCTTGTATGTCAAGGAAGCCACTTCGGAGCAAGCATTGTCGACGATGCGGCCGTTGTGTTGCCAAGCATGACCAGTATGTCACATATTCCACTTGCCCATTCGTTACCCATTGACTAAACGATCACAGCCACTGCCCATGGATTGACAACTGTGTTGGCGCAAATAACCTACGCCATTTTGTGCTATACATTGTCTGTCTCGAAATTGGAATTATCCTGTTCGTACAGCTCACCATTGGTTGTGAGTACTTACTTTTTCCAAATACATGGCTTGCTTGAAGCGAGTTCAGAGAGCTAATGCCCTATAGATATTACCGATTTGCCCTCCCCTGCAGGCGCCAAGTGCAGCATAATTAATGACACACTATGCGATTATGTATCTCGAGACACATTTACCATGGTTCTCAGTATCTGGACCATTCTTCAGTTGGTGTGGGTAACGATGCTGTGCGCTGTGCAGCTGGTTCAAGTCTCGCGAAACCAGACGACATATGAGAACATGAGAGGCCATTCGATTGATCGGTCCCTTCCCAGTTCCCAGGCCTTTGCCTCGGCCATGACCGCCGGGACAACGTCGATGGAAGCGGCCGGTCTCTCTGCCACTGGACAGGGTCCGAACCCGGCGTTGGCACACTCCCATGCATCTCGACGAAAGACTGGCTGTATCACCCAATGGTCAGCTCTACTAGGGATTGATACCTTCTTTGCCACGGCCAAGGATGGTCTCCGAGATGGACCACACGCGGGCCGGTCTCGAAATCCTTTCTCTCGTGGGGTGACCACCAACTGCCGTGACTTTTGGTGTGACCCGGCTCCGATCTTTGGAAAGCGAGAGACCGGTGCAGCGATGCTGGGAGGTGAAGTAGTCAACTATCATGACATGTACGAAACCCCCCTTCGCATGCATGCCGGTGGTAGGTCCGGTGAAGGCTACCGCAGTGTGGCAGACGAAGACCCCGAGCGCATGGTTTAGGACCGGTTTCTTTATCAATCCTTTTTTCTTCTTTTTTCAAATGCTTTGTTTCTGTTATTCATCACCCATGACACTTGTTTTCATCTCCGAACCCGGTGTTTGGAGAGTTGTGTGACAATATTTTGATTTCGATTCACGGATCTTATGTATGACTGCAGCGACGGTGTTGCATTTGCGTGGCATATTCCTATTTTGGTGGTTTCCCCCCCCCCCCCCCACCCGCTCTATCTGTGTGTTGTTTTCCATGTCTCATTTGCATTTGGAACCTTATGTACAGTGAACACTAGATAATGAAACCCCTTTCTCCCTTTCTCCTTTTTCCTCATTCTATTCTTCCAATACAGCCAACAACCCCTGCTCTGGTTTTTCGGCTAGCGTCTTCCCGATCTTATCTCCCCCGGTACCTGACGACATGATATGATTAAAAAAAAAATCTTAAAAAAAGAGCCCTGCAGCTGGATATCTGGGCAAAAATACAAACCTCGACGATCTCATGCATGGTGCAGGGCTTCTGGAAAGATCCCGCATGCAGAGCTCCGAGCGAAACGGGGCCCAGCGCCAACGGGAGTCAACAAACACATTGACCTTGTCGGTAAAACGCTGACATGCAGGGTCACGGGATCCAAACCAGAAAAATGCAGAGAAATGGATATAGGTGGGCATGTCTATATGATACTGATGAATACTTAAGATTTACCCCTTAACATCCGACATCGCCATTACTGTACTCCAGACTGAAAAGAATGCAGCATGAGAATCCCGCCCAGGTGGCATGTTAAGCGATGCGTCTCGGTTGCAACCGGGCCCCAAGTCTAGACTTTCCTGCCCATTCCAAGGCATGAGGGCATTGGCGTAACGTGGTGGGGAAATTGGCATCCGTATTCAGTGGAATCAGCCCCAATCAATCAAATCAATCAAATCAATCTATGGAGCCTTTTTTGGGGTCCTTTTCTTCTTTCTTCACCTCCGGAGCTTACAGGTCGTACCTTTCCGTTTAGGGAGGGCGGGTCGCTCGGGTACGCGGAAGGAGGTCGGAAAGATGCGCCAGCAGCTGCCAGGGCGCTGGAAGTCAAATTGCATTCCATGTGTCAAATCATTTGACAAGCGAGTGGACAAGAAAAAAAAAAAAAAGGAGGACCGAAGTGGGACATCTCATCTCTCTTAGGAACGGTTTTGGGTAAGTGATTGGCAAGGGATATCCACTTGGGGGAACTTTTCCAGGCCAGGAAATGAAATGACCCGAGTACGGTTTCCCAGTATGCTTCTAAGCTAGTCAGCTAGTCATGCTAGTTGTCTAGTAATAAGAAAAGGAGAACACAAGGAGAGAAAAAAAAATAAAACAATAAGAAAGCGAGTGGAAAGATTATCAAAGTATGAATAGAAAGGAACGTGTGTACGGGAAGATTTCCATCAGATAAAGAGGATTTTTAGCATTTTTTTTTATCTGATGGCGCCACAATCCCCACTACTCGTATCGTAATGTATTGGTATTTTCTGTCTTTTTTCTTTTTTCTTTTTCTTTTACTATTATTCTTTTACTATTATTCTATTACTTATTATTCTATTACTCTATTACCTCTACCTCTTCTTTTATTTGCTCTGTCTTTCTTTCGGAATTGCCCGAGTCTCCAAGATCAGCACGATCGTCGTTGGATGAGTTGAGAGAGTCGTTATAGAGACCCGATCTGACTGCACAAACGTTGGAAACACTAACACTGGGAACATTCGGTGAACTTGATTTTTTGGCGTTTTCTTATTCTCGTTCTAAAGCCAAGCCCCAATCCACTTAACTTCTTTAATCCCGTGTTTCGCGCGGTTTCCGAGGCCGTGTCCGTCTTGGCTTTCGGCAATGTTTTTCCCATTTGACCCTGACAAAGTCCTTGGCTTGAAAGCTTCGTGAGAGTTCAATTCTTCCAAAGTACGTATGCATTGACCTCACTGGCTCTTTTATTTGTGTTGGGAAAAGTATTTATAAAACATCAATTGATTTCAAGAGAAAGAGAAGAAAAGACCTCAGGGTAGTAATTGAAAACAACATTCGAATCTAGATGGAAATAGACCGCCCATATCTAATATATAATAAAACTCCAAGATCAAGAGAAAAGACGAACATGATATGCAGTAAGCCGTGAGAATTAATCCATACACACAAGAACAAGAAAGACCGAACCACGAACCAGAAACCACAAAACCAACAAAACCAAACCCCAAGACACTAGTAACAATGTGGCGTGTTTTGGTATACTTTCTAAATTTGTGATTTTTTTTTTCCCGCCTTTTTTTTTTTCGGTTTGAGGCAAGCTTGCCCCACCAAAATTCCATTACAGCATCGCGCGCAACCGGCTGTCCTGCACCGACGCGCCCGACAACTGATCTCCAAAGACCGAGTTGACAATCTCACCGCCACGCACCGCCAGGATGGATAGCAGACTGTCACTGAGACCATGGGTCTTTTCGTTGCAGCCCTGCAGCCAAATACCCGCATGACGGCTGACCTTGCTGTCATCCAACTCAACTCGGTAATCACGGCCGGGGGTCCACACGGCCTGTCCGGCAGGCCGTAAGCCACGTACTTGCTCCAACAGCTGCTCGTGCGCATCACGGAAGTATCCAGTGGCCACCATCAGGGCATCCACTTCGAGGATCTCCTTGCCCTCACTGTTGTCATCCTTGATCGACTTGACATGCACGCGCATGCGAGATGCCGGGTTGTGGTGCTCGATGCGGCCAATGGCACGCTCGGACAGGATACGGTGCTGCCATTGCTTCTCGTCGGGGTTCTGCATGCGCTGCAAGTACATGGTGTTGTAGATCTCCTCAATCAGCTCTAGGCGTACCACCGAGTAGTTGGTGGCCTTCTCGATCGCAATGCGCTTGGCGCGCTCCTCCGCAGGGAGTTGGAAGAATTTGTCTACCCGCTCCGGGTTGAAGATCTCGTTGACGCTAAAGAGAGAAGTAGGTTAGTTTAAGATGTATTGAGGGAAAGAAAAGGGAAACCATTCTTGAGTCAACGTACAATGGAGAGTCATCGCTGGGGCGTAGAGCTGTATCCCGGAGGATCAGAGTAGTGTTGGAGTTGGGGTACCGCCGTTGCAAGTCGTGGAAGATCTCGGCGGCACTCTGACCACTACCCACGACGGCAATCTTGTAATTCTCACTGTCGTTCTTGAGCACGGCGGGCAGAGTGGTACAGTACTTGGACGAGTGCATGATACGCGGGTCCTGGGGGAAGCCTGGAGGCATCTTGGCCTTACCACCCAAGGCCACCACGACCTTGCGAGCTCTTCGGGAAGAGATCTGACCGGTCTCGACATTGCGCGAACGAACGACAAAGTATTCGACCACACCGCCGATGGTCTTACCCGGCACCACGTCCACGACCTCTTCACCGTAGTTGACGACGTTGTTGAACCGCTGGGCACACCAGCGCATGTAATCCTCAAACTCCATGCGAGCGGGCAAGAAAGTTCCCAGGTTGGTGAAGTGAATGAGGCGGTTTTTGTTGTGCAGGTAGTTCAAGAAGGTGAAGCTGCTGCGAGGGTCACGGAGGGTAGCCAGATCCTTGATGAAGGAGATCTGCATGCGCGAACCGGGGACCAGCATACCGGAGTGCCAGGCGAATTGCTTCTGACGCTCCAAAAAGGCGACCTTGGGCTTAAAGGAGCCGGGGGTATTGTGGTTCAAGGTCGGGTCCATAGCATCGTGCAGAGCAATGCCCACGGCAAGGGATGCCGGGCCAAAACCCACACAGAGCAGATCGTGAAGCTCATCCGCACCCGTGGGACGCAACAATGAGCGGGCAGGGGAGGATTGAGAGCGTGACTCGGTCTTGTTGACGAGCGGGAGCTCGTGTTTCCGTGTGATGGGCTCCATTGTTGATTGGGTATTGGGAGCTTTTTGCTTCCTCTTGTGGAATGAAAGTATAGCAATTGTCCGGAAGGTTTCCCCAAAATCCAATCCTGGAACTTTTTTATTTAAAAGAATGAAGCTAAGGAGCTGTGAAGAAAGTGAAAATCAACAGTTGCAGAAAAATGGAGGAGCTGCGGCAGGTTATGTACAAGGGTTGTCCGGTAGCCGATCTTGCAGCTCCACTCGGAGATTTCTCCTTCTAGGTAGGAGTCGGATCGAGGCGAACGGAGAGTTGACGTGCCGTACGATACGTTTCGTAGGTTCCACAAAAAAAAAAGCCAGAAAGAGGCGTTATACAGACTCAGAGAGACGAAATAGGAAAATGAGAAAAGAAATAAATGCCAAAAAAGAAAAGGCGAAAGGTATCTTAGTACCTCGGAAGCGGATCAGATAAAAAAAAATGAGAAGAAAAAACGACCAAGTGGAGTCAGTGGGAGCCAAGCGGTCTGTGATGAATTGATTGGAGTTTGTGATTTCCAAGGTTCCATTTATCAATCAGTAACTCCACTAGGAACATTTCCAAGGTTGAAAAAAGAAGCGATTCCGAGATTCTGAGCTTCATTTTATATCCGGCTATGAATTAATAATATTGGGTTTTTTTTTTCTTCTTTTTTTCTCTCCATTGCTCCGTGTTTTCCCTTTTTTTTCTTTTTTTCTTTTCTTTTTTCTGTAGACTTTTTAGTTTCATCATATAAACGTTGACCTCTGGTTAGATCTTGGGAAACTCCACTTACTTGCGCCAGGTTCCTTGCACATGTAATGCAGCTTTGGGGAAGAAAACGAACTTGAATACTAGTAAGCCCAAAAAAGTTTATAAAGATTTATAAATTGAAAATCAAAATCCAATTAAAAAGAAGAATGAAAAAAACCCCCACAAAGCAATGAGATTCGCCGATGTCGGGATTTAGGTCACAGGTACAAGTAACGGACATTACCCGCGTAGGGCGCAAAGATGTATCAGTGACCTCTTGGCGCACTGATCTCGAAAAACATTACAGATGAGGTTACAGGAAAACATACCCGTATGTGCATGATCTGAAGAAGAAATTACACATTCAGATGCTTTGCTTTTTTTTTTTCTCTATTTTTCTTCTTCCTTTTCTCGTCTATTTTCCCTGAAACGTGGGGATTTCCCCCCAAAGAGGAACTTCCGCCAAAACAGGAAAGCAGAAACAAGAAACGAAAAAGCAATTTTGTGGCGCTTGAACATCACCTGCAGATATCAAGCTAAATGACGAATCTGAATAGATCTTAATTGATCATATGGAATAGAATTACGGGAATCACATCAGATGTTGAACTATTTTAAAATTTTAATTTCAGGATTTCATGAAGACAAGAAATATAGTAATAAGTAAAAAAAAAAAAAAAAAAACATGACTTCAAAATACGAGGTACGTCATTGTATTTGGGGTGTCTTGATTCCTAACGTCTGTTCTCGAGGCCCACCCCGAAGCCCGTTGGAATCCCGGTAAACGAGTTTAGGGTATACAGTCGGGCAGCTTCATCTTCGGCTAAAGAATTAATACCTTTAATACCTTTAATAAATTCAATAAATTCAATGTCAAATACGTTCAAATGTTATTTATCACTTCCATATAGACTTCTATGCATATGCACATTTGTATACACACTACTAGTATGTACTGGATGTATTGAAGTAATATGTATACGTGCATATACCCACGTGCATACTATATATACTACAGTACATTTATTTTTGATATTTAATATATGTAGATGATGAGGTATGTACCACTCATACCACTCATACCACTCCATACTCTGTAACCATCACTTGGGCAAATTTCTCCGAAAAACGCCCACGAACATACCGTAGTCAATGGACCTTTTTGGCGCTTGTCTCGGTCATTTGGGAGCAGATCCATCTGCTACCCGACTTCACCTTTTGGCAACACAGAAAAATCCAAAATTCTCCAAAAATACTTAGTCTTTGACTTCTTTACCTTTTGAAATGATTTGTAAATCCACTCAAGTGCTCACTCTTGAATCCCTCTCCTCTTGGCTACTTGGCTTTCCTTTTTTTTTACTTTGATTTTCCCTTTTTTTTCCCCCTCCCTTGTACATTGCCCCTCCAACCCCCCTCCCTTTCTCCCGATCACCACGGGCCTCTTACTGCCGCGCGCAATAACGCTCGTCCCACTTTAGGCGGCCTCCTCCTGCATACGACATTTCAAGGGTTAGGCCCGAGTAGCCACTCACAGCCCTTACAATAAGCAATCTATAAGCAGAATTCCATCATGCTCCACTGATCAGTACACCACCCCACCTCTCTCGAAAAGATGGCATTTGCCAATTTCCCAGTCGTGGACAAAGATGGCGCGCACAGCGCCATTATCCTTTGGCCGGTGGAGACTGTCGGTCCTTCTTTAGAGTTGGCCGCCTGGTCATGGGCACGGTTGTTGAGCTCCATCACCACCAACCAATCCCCGTCCTTTCTATTGAATGGATCTCTAATCCAAGTAGATTTATTTGCTCAGGCAGCTCAGCCCATTCGGCCGCCCAACTTAGATGCTGTATCAAATCTATCTGCACTTGCTACAAAGCCCACCGCGGTGGTCGTGGGGACCGATCCATCAGTCCTTCATACTTCTTCCTTCTCGCTTGCTCCTTCTCTAACGTGGGTCGTGGATCCCACCACTCGAACCAGTACTCTGTATTCATCCACCAACATGGATCTTGCAGCGGTACAACAACTGGGAAGTCGGCTCACACATATTGTGGAAGAGCAGACAAGGTCAGACTCACAGCTAGAAATCTCTATCTCCAAAGTACCTGCCATGTCTGTCATCAATCCATCGCCTTGCATACTACCGGGTCCACAACTACTTCATAACTTAGCCCTGAGTGGCTCTTATGACTCGGGTCACTCCAAAAATGCCATCGAGTTTTTGACCGCGGAAGGAAAAATCCGTTGCTTGTCATACCATTCTCTTGATCAGCTGTCATCAAAGCTGGCCACCCAAATTGCCCATGCCGCGGCAGCTCGAGCCGATGGTAAGCAAAAGTTAGTGGTTCCTGTGCTCTTACCGCAATCTATGGAATTATACATTACTTGGTTGGCCATTTTGAAGGCAGGTGGTGCCTTTTGCCCATTGAATATTGATGCGCCACCAGAAAGGATAGAATTCATTCTGCAAGACGTAGCAGCCTCGGTGGTGGTCACGTATGGCGCGCTGGTCGCCCAAGTACCCCAAGGTGCACCGGTGACGGTGATTAATACCGATGGAATCGAGGCCGGCCAAGCCGACGATGCGGATTTCACACCACCGGTCATCGACACCACACCTTCAGATCTAGCGTACGTAATGTACACATCCGGTTCAACTGGTCGCCCCAAAGGTGTTGGTATCTCTCATCTGGCAGCCACACAATCTTTGCTGGCCCATGACGAGTTGATACCCCCATTCAATCGATTCTTGCAATTTGCATCCCCCACATTTGATGTTTCCGTGTTCGAAGTGTTTTTCCCCTTCATGCGAGGTGTCACCCTCATTGGTTCGGAGAGGGAAAACATGCTGCTGGATATCTCTCATGTCATGACGGTGATGAAAGTAGATGCCGCCGAGCTCACTCCCACCGTCGCGGGAGAACTGTTGCGTACCCGTGCTGCAGCACCCTCCTTGCGAGTGCTACTTACAATCGGTGAAATGCTCACAAAACATGTGGTGGAGGAGTTTGGCCAATCAGAATCCTCGGACGGAATTCTACATGGGATGTACGGTCCAACAGAAGCTGCAATCCATTGTACCGCGGCGACAGGGTTCCTGTCCGATGCGCGAGTGAACTTGATTGGCAAACCTTTCAAAACCGTATCTGCCTTTATTATGCCTTTAGAATCCGAAGACAAGTCGAACCACTCGAATCTCCAAGCCCTTCCCATGGGCGAGATTGGTGAGCTTGTGATCGGTGGACCGCAACTCGCAGATGGGTACATCAATCGACCAGAAGAAAATGCAAAGGCCTTTATTGACAGCCCCTGGTACGGCAGACTCTATCGCACGGGCGATAAAGCTCGAATGCTGCCGTCGGGTGAGATTGAGTGCTTTGGTCGCATCTCGAGCGGCCAAGTCAAGCTACGTGGTCAGCGAATCGAACTGGGAGAGATTGAACATGTGATCCTAAGAGCTCCCGAAGTGCGCAGTGCTGTGGTCATCGTGGGTGGCGGCAGCTTGGCGGCATTTGTTTTGGTCAACGACAAGGGTCTCACCGATCGTGAGCTCCGCGACATTTGCCGTCAGTGGCTACCTCGATTTATGGTACCGGGCGAATTTATTCTGGTCGATCAATTCCCCCAGCTCCCATCGGGTAAAATTGATCGCAAGGCCCTTGAGGCAGATTTCGCTCGTCGCCGCGCTACTGAGCATTCTACTGATCAACAAACTTTTCGAGACGAACTCGAGGAGACTATTTCATCGTGTGTTACCGATGTTCTAGGAAGACAACTCAAGTCAACCGAAAGCTTGGTAGCAAGTGGTCTTGACTCGCTGGCAGCGATCCGCTTGGCTTCACATCTCCTAGATGCTGGTATCCGCCTGGATGTGGCTCATTTGTTGGATGCTGATAGTATCGATGGAATTTGGCAACTGACCAAAGAGCTAGAGGCCATAAAACCAACCGAAGATTCGCAAGACGGTCTTTACAGGGTTCAACAATTAGTTGCGAGTGCCGGAGCAGCCAGGATAGAATCTCTCGGATTTGGCTCACAGGTGATTGACATTCAACCAAGTACTCATATTCAACAGGCAATGATACTGGAGACAGTTCGACATGCCAAAGCGTACTGCAACTGGATTGAGTTGGAATTTCAATCCACGGTCAACTCGGCTTCTGTTCAGGATGCATTTTTGAAACTGCTGGACCAAAACCCGCTTTTGAGATGTGGATTTGTCGAAATTGGTCTAAAGGATCACTCTTTTGCTCGCTTTACTTGGAAGGCGTTTAATGAGCAGCTCATTCAGAAACGAAGTGTCTTTGATTACGACCTGTCTCTCATAACCGAACACGACCTTCTTTACCCTCTTCGGATCCAGTTCAAAGAAACCGAGAACAAACTCCAGGCCTTGATTCATATCCATCATGCATTGTACGATGGGTGGTCTTGGCAATTAATTTTGAACGACCTTGGTCGTATTTTACTTGGACAAGACATTCCCTCTCGACCTACGTACAATATAGTGTCGGACTTCTTCATCGAGCACAAACTCAGCGAGAAGAATACCGAATCCACACTTTTCTGGCGTGATCAATTACAAGGTCTTTCTGCCACCACTTTCCCCAATTTCCATGGGAAAACAGATCTTGCACCAGGAACAAGAGAGGCCACGCGTGTTCTCAACGTCTCCGTCCCGAAACTTAACGATGTATCACAACGTCTTTTGATAGGTCGACAGACAATCTTCCAGGCCGCCTTTACCTCTATTCTTTCTTCTTATCTTGGTTCATCAGATGTTGTGTTCGGGACTGTGTTCTCGGGTCGCACCTTGCCAGTCAAAGGTATTGAGGCGGTTATTGGGCCATGTATTCGTACACTGCCAACACGGATGAACCTCGAGAAGATGAAGAACGTCTCCGACCTTCTTCTCGCAATTCAAAACATGAATCGCAGATCTCTTGAACATGGCAGCCTTCCTCTTCAAGAAATCAAAAAGGCTTCTGGGATTCCCTTTCATCAAAGCCTGTTCGACACTGCTCTGGTGTGGCAAGAAAACGTTTGGGAAAATGATACCCAGGGAGCGCTGTTTAGCGAGGTTGATACAGCAGAATTCTTGGAATTTGCGCTTCTATTGGAGTTTGAACCTAGAGGTGACAAGATTCATGCCAAGGCAACCTACCAGAATTCCATCTTCCCACCTGAACAGGCACGCATTCTCTTGGAGCAAATTGACTTTGCGGCTTCAATTCTCATCGATTCTCCGACCCTTGCAATCGATCAAGTTTATAAACATCTTCCACTGTCAACTTTGTCAATTTTGAACCCTAACCCCGAGACTGAGAGAAATCGTTCCAGCCTTGTCACCGGAGTTGAGACGATTGCCTTCGTTTACCCCAACCGAACAGCAATTGAAATTCTACCTTCCACCGATCAGGAACCTATCTCTTCCGACCTTCAAAGTATCACATATGGCCAATTAAATGCCCAGGCTAATCGACTTGCCAATTATCTCGTTCAACAGGGCCTGACAAGGGACAGCTTGGCCGCAATCTATCTTGTCAAATCGATCAATTTCTACGTTTGCACATTAGCGGTCGCCAAGATTGGAGCCGGATTATTGCCTCTGAACGATCGGAAATTCTTGAAAACAATAAACTCGATCCGGGCAACATCGGGCGTGCAACCTTGTGTACTTCGCCCATCTAAATCCCCCAATGAAGAATCAGCCTCCTTGCATTCGGTCTCTCAGATCTTTCTGCCTGATTCCCTGGACAATTACCCTGATGGAAATCTTCTCATGACTCACGACTCCTTTTATATTGTTTGTTTCAAGGAAAGACTTGCCGGCAACGAGTCGGCGGATCTTGCATATCTTTCTCACCATAACCTGCAAAGCCATATCAACGTGCTGGCAGACAGATACCCTTCCACCGCGGGATCGAAATTCCTGCAAGCTTCTTCACAGCCCAATGGTATGTATACTGTCTCTCTAGGGATATATCAATTTGCTGACATAATAAAGCCTCAATCATTGAACCATTCTTCGCATGGCACATGGGAATCACATTGTGTATAGCATCAGATAAGGATCTTGCGAAATTATCATGCTCTATCATCAACCAGATGAATATCACCCACCTTCATCTGACTCCCACTTTGGCCTCTCGCATAATCCCCAAAGAGGTTCCGAGTGTTCGGTTCCTCCTTACGTCAGGGGAACCACTGACGGCCAAGGTACGCCAAAACTGGGCTAGTAATGGACTCCATCATGGTATATATAGATTCCGCAAAGATGAACATCATTGATTTGAAACTTACTATAACCAAAGGCTATAGTTCTCTCGGCCTGGCCGGAGTTTGCACCCTATATACGAATGTCGAAAGCTCAACCTCTCTTGCAAATATCGGAACGCCCCTCCGAAACACGTCCGTAATTATTGTGTCGGACAAACACAAACCATCGGTACATGTGCTTCCTTGCGGTGCGGTCGGAGAGTTATGTTTCGGAGGAGATCAAATTGTGGGTTCCGAGGGTCCTTTAAGTCGCTCCAGCTACTAATTCCCTGAAACAGGGACGTATATTTGCAGAGACTGACGATGAGCCTCGTGGGTGTTTCTTTGAGCATCCGAAGTTTGGCCGATTTTACAGAAGCGGAGATCATGGCAGACTTCTTCCAGACGGATCCATTCTAGTGATTCCCCAGCGTGGCCAGACAGTGCTGAGCAATCAGTCTATTGTTTTTGAAGAGATTGATTCCGCCATGAATTCTTTAGACGTCGTTGAAGATGCCGTGAGTATGATTTTCAGAAGCCCTCTCACTAACCAGCAGCAATTGATTACTACCTGGTCTCCTTCAGAGCACGTCAAGGAACTACCTGACTCTGGAAATCTTGCCTTGATAACCAAGGATATTTTTGAGGCACTGAGCAAAAAGCTTCCCATGGCTGCAGTCCCCTCTCTTCTCGTTCCGATGGACAAACTACCAATGACGGAATCTTACAAGACTGATTATTCAAAAATTGAGGAAGAGATCAAGGCAATGAGCCCAGAAAGACTCGGGACATTCTCCCGCAATGGCGTTGATGATTCTGATGCAGATTTTACTGATAATGAGAAGGCCATTGCAGCCGCCCTGTCAGCAGTGATTGGGGTTGATCAACGGAGTATTGGCAGGAACACATCGTTTTACAAACTGGGGTTAGATTCACTTTCTGCCATTGCATTCTCACGGAAGCTACAGGATTTAGGGTATGAAAGAATTGCTGTCTCTAAGATCCTGCGCCATAGCTCCGTTGCGCAGCTAGTCACTGTTCTTCCTGGGATGACCAATGGCCACCGGCCATCACTGCCCTCATTGCAAAATGACACCACATTTACGTTTAATGACAACTTCATTGTTGAAATCAAGAATGATTTTCAAAATGAGAACGCCTCCGTACAAAGCATCCATCCGTGCACGCCGCTGCAAGAGGCTATGCTGGCTGCTGAATCTGATACAAATCCGGCTTACTTCAATCACATTCTACTTCGCGTGAACACCGATCTCAAAGATTTGGAAAGCGCATGGAATTTAATGCTACATCGACACAATATTCTCAGAACTTGCTTCATACCGACCAACGATAAAGTGTATGCATTTGCACAGGTGGTCCTAGACAACGCAGCTCTACCGTGGTTCTACATTGAAACATCCTCCCATGAGCTCACCGAAGAAATCGTGAAAAGAAAATCCGTGTTCGAACTTCAATCACCAATCAATGGGAAGCTTCCTTACTCATTGACTATTTTCACGGACTCTTCCACACATGATAACCATCTCTTATTGTCAATTCATCATGCCTTGTACGATGGTGAAGCAATAGGACAGTTGCTACAAGAGATTCAGCTTGCTCTTGCAGGCCAGGTCCTGCCCAAGACTACACCCTTCCATACGTTTATCGAATACATGGTATCCGCTAGCCCCAATGGATCCCACGAATTTTGGGATCGATATTTAGCCGGTGTGGCGCCAACACTCCTACCCATCGCCGAAAGAAACCAGGAGTTGATAGATTCCTCTGCATCAGAGCAGATCTACCTAAATCTTAGTACCTCTCTTGACACATTCAAGCAGGAGTGTAAGGAGCTCTCTGTGGCTCCATTGAACGTTTTTCATACCGCTTGGGCAAGACTGCTAGCTCTTTGCTCCGGCTCTTCTGATGTCTGCTTTGGCAATGTGTTCGGTTGTCGAACTATTCCCTTGGATGACGTGGAGAGTATAATTGGGCCCTGTTTTAACACACTCCCCATGCGAGTCAAGCTGTCCCCTACTTCAACAAATGCGAATGTTATGAGGCTTTTCCAGGAGCACAATAATGACATTATGCCTCACCAGCTTGACTCTTTGCGCACAATCCAAAAGCGTACCTTGGGTGGAGGCTCTCAACTCTTCAATACTTTGGTCATTCTACAGCAAAGCAAAACTGAACTGGACCCATGCTATTGGGAACTTCTTCAAGATGAAGGAAACATGGGATTCCCCCTTATCTGCGAGATCGTCCCTGACGATAAGCAAAATAACATCTCCGTGTGTCTACACTTCAATACAGCTTTCTTAACCGCAAATGTGGCGACGAGCCTTGCACAAGGGTTTTTGGCTCTAGTGGAGCACACTGTGCAATTTCCATCTGCACAAGCTTCCGATAAGGGATCTATCGGAGCAAGCATTGCTCAAATATTTGAGACAAGACAAGACTGGAAAGAAGTTCGAAAGCATACTTCTTTCCAGTCTTCTTCAAAGAAGACACAAATGACTCGGCCGTGGTCTGCACAAGAAGAGACTCTCCGAATAATTGTCTGCGATTTCGCAGGCATTGATAAAGAAGTTGTCACTCTGCATACTACCATCTTTCAACTTGGGCTTGACAGTATTCATGCTGTCCAAATTTCAGGGAAACTTCGCAAACTTGGATACAAGATCTCGGCAGGTGACATTCTTGAGGTATGTATCATATTTTGCACTCGATCTGAATGTGTATTTATAACTGACTCTTAACCAAAACAGGCTGCTTCCATTGGTGAGATTGCTTCGCTCTTTGAGACCAACCAGGAAAAATCTCCAGAAGAAGAATTCAACTTTCTTTCTTTTGAGAATCAGTACCTTCCATCCGTTCGTGAGCAGCTCGGCAATTATTCACACGCAGTCCAAGCTTTACGGCCTTGCACTCCTGTTCAGAATGGAATGCTGGCACTTTTTACTCATTCTAATGGCGAAACATACTTTAATCGCATGTCGTTGAAGTTTTCAAGATCGATGAACAACGAATTATTGAAAAGGGCTTGGAGCAAGGTGATGGCCCAGCATGAGATGCTACGAACCGGTTTTGTTCAACTGCCTGATCAGCAGTACCCATTTGCAATGGTCACCTATAAAGAAGATATTCAGCTCCCATGGAATGAAGCGACTGAGGACAATGCATATAAACCTGAAGATCAAGAGCAGGATATTCTTGGTAATCTTTTCCGGCCTCCATGGCAAATCACCGTTGAGGCGTCTGATGAAGTTACAACTGTGCGCTTCTCTGCGCTTCATGCTCTTTACGATGCACAATCTCTGGAGTTCATATTTTCCGACGTGGTCAAAGCGTACGAAGGGGAAGCTCTAGCCGATACCAGTTCAATTGAAAGCACTCTTGGCCCAATTTTGATGGAGAGCCAAGCACAAATTCAGTCTGCACAAAAATTCTGGCAGGGACTTGCTTCAGAAGTGCATTCATCCAAATTTCCAGATCTCAATCCTATACGCACAGACAGGAAAGAGCTTTTAACCAGCTCCATTTGTTCCTCGCAATCTATCAAAGCTCTCGAGGCTCGCTGTCGTGATATCGGTGTCACATTGCAATCAGCAGGGCAAGCAGCATGGGCCAGGCTACTCGCTGGGTATACAGGTGAAAAAAATGTCACTTTTGGTACTGTTCTTTCTGGTCGCAATTTATCGATAGCAGCACAGAATGCTGTTTTCCCCTGTCTGGTTACTGTTCCATCCCCTCACCGTATTGAAGGAAGCAACCGGGATCTGTTGGATCTCACATTGAAGAGGAACGCCTCCTTGACCAAGAATCAGTTCACACCGCTTGCACAAATCCAGCGCTGGCTTGGAAGTGATGAGCCTCTCTTTGACACACTTTTTGTCTACCAGAAATTCAGCTCGGACTCAACCAAGTCTCAATGCTGGGATATTATTGACGAAGATACGAGGATTGATGTATGCTTGCTGATTGGTTGACACTATGGTTTTATGTATAGTTTGCTGATTTTTCTAGTACCCCCTCTCCATTGAATTGGTCCCATTTTCAACCAATCTTGAGATCCGAGTCACTTACAGAAACGACCTTGTTCCTCAAGAGCAAGCCATAGTTCTTCTGAACCAGTATGATAAGCTATTGGAGCAAACCCTTTTTTCTCCCGAGTCCAGCTCGGATGACTATATGTTTCTTGGAAACCAGTTTCTCTCCATAACTCCTGCCAAAGAAAAGATCTTACCCACGTCAGTGTCCTTATTGCATCAATTTGTTGAGGAAAACGCCGCCAAGGTCCCAGAGAAGACTGCTTTTGAGTTCGCATTTGGTGCGGACTTGGATAACCTCCAGAAAAAGACTTGGTCTTACCAGCAATTGAATGAAGATGGTAACCGAATCGCCCATTTTCTGCAGAGCAAGGGTGTCGCCCCAGGCGAGATGATCGCAATCTGCTTCGACAAATGCCCCGAAGCGTCAATTTCTATACTGGGCATTCTCAAAGCTGGCTGCGCATACTTGGCAATCGATCCTTCAGCTCCAGTTTCTCGCAAACAATTCATCATGGAGGATTCAAATTCTAAGATTCTGCTTTGCAATCTACCAAAAAGGGAGGAGCTAAAGGATCTATCCGGTGTGGAAATCTACGCACTAGATGAGCCCGGTGTATACCAAGACCATCCCTGCTGTTCTCCTATCCTTTCACGCGAAATACAGCCAAACGATACTTGTTATTGTTTGTACACTTCGGGGACAACCGGAACGCCAAAGGGGTGTGAAATTACCCATGACAATGCCGTGCAAGCCATGATGGCGTTTCAAAGGCTGTTCTCGCCTCATTGGGATGAGGAATCTCGCTGGCTACAATTCGCGTCTTTCCATTTTGACGTCAGTGTTCTAGAGCAATACTGGAGCTGGAGTGTTGGAATCTGTGTCACCTCTTGTCCGCGTGATCTCTTATTCGAGGATCTACCAGGGACGATTCAGAAGCTCCAAATCACACACATTGATCTGACACCCAGTTTAGCAAGATTGGTACACCCAGATGATGTCCCTTCCCTCTGTCGAGGAGTATTTATTACCGGTGGAGAAGCTCTGAAGCAAGAAATCCTTGACGCCTGGGGGCACCATGGAGTTATCTACAATGGATACGGACCAACAGAAGTCACTATCGGCTGTACTATGTTACCCCGGATGCGTGCCAATGACAAGCCTTCCAATATTGGGCCCCAATTCGACAATGTTGGTTCCTATGTTTTCCGTCCAGGAACTTCGACACCCGTTCTGCGAGGCGGTCTTGGCGAACTCTGCGTATCCGGTCCACTCGTTGGGAAGGGGTACTTGAATCGAGCTGAGCTGACGAAGGAACGTTTCCAAGATTTGCCCGAATATGAAGATCGTGTTTACCGAACAGGTGACCTGGTCAGAATTCTATTTGATGGCAGTTTCCAATTCCTTGGTCGTATTGATGACCAAATCAAGTTGCGAGGGCAACGACTCGAGATAGGAGAGATCAATGAAGTCATCAAACAAGCTACATCCAAGTTGAATGAAGTTGCTACACTGGTTGTCAAGCATCCAAAGCAATCCAAAGACCAACTCGTCTCGTTCGTCTCCAAGCTAGGCACCGACAACAAGTCTCGCTCGGTTGAAATCCATACTTCCGATGATAATGGATCATTTCTATCAACCATCAAGGCAGCCTGTCTTGCGTATCTGCCAGGATATATGGTACCAACACATATTATCCCGCTGACTCGCTTCCCTTTATCTGCCAACAACAAGGCCGATATGAAGGTTTTGAAGGGACTTTACGAAGAACTTTCTCTAGATCAAATCCAGACTTTAACAGCTATGGCTGCTAGTCAAACTGTGAAGAGTGAAGGCGAAGAAAAAATAATTTCTGTGCTATCGAGGTTTCTTGGATCCACAGACTTGCTCATCTCCTCGTGGTCGAGTATTTATGAGTTGGGCCTTGATTCTATCTCGGTCATTTCCTTTTCCCGGACCCTTAGAGAATCCGGCTTCCCCCATGCTCAGCCATCTTTGATTATGAAAAGTAAGTTTTCTGAATTTTTTTTTTCTTAGCATACTATGAAAATTAACCCTGTGAAGATCCCACGATTGCCGGTATGGTTTCAGCCCTACAGAATCACACGACCGCCCCTCCGTCAAAGGAAAATCTCTATCAAAATGCGAAGCAAGCCATCCAAGCCTTTGCCCACAAGCATTCGCATTCTATCCTCGCAAGCATCGGGATACCTGGAACCGATGTACAGCAAATTGCGCCTTGCACACCGCTCCAGGAAGGAATCATTTATCATTTCCTGTCAAGCGACAAACCCATGTATTGCTCATCTTTCGGTTTTGAGTTGAAGGATTCCGTCAATTTGGATAAACTGAAGGCAAGTTGGGAGCAGGCTCAAAGCCAAGTTCAAATGCTGCGAGCACGATTTTGGCCATCGCCGGATGGCTATGCTCAGGTTATTCTCAGGAGAGATGTACTCCCTTGGCTTCACATGGAAGTTGCATCCGAGAGAATCATTGAAAACTCCCGGAGGCACCAAGTTGATCATTGGATATCTCATCTTGGCAATCTTTCTACGGGACTGTGGGAAGTGGGGATAATCACTTCTCCAGAGAAGTCGACGATGTTCCTCAACATTTTTCACGCCCTATACGATGGAAACAGCTTGGGCCTTCTTCTTGAATTGGTCGCTGGTATTTATAATGGCCATTCGAAAACGTCCAACAATGACCCAGACTTCCTTGATGTGTTACACCTAGGACCTCTGTGCAAAGACCCTTCGGCGGAATCTTTTTGGAAAGAACAACTTGGAAAATGTGAAGTACGTCCTCTGTTGAACTCGGAACAAATCCAAGAAGCCGCCTTCGTGCAATCGCAACGCATAGATAGCACGGATCATCTTGATTACTTGAGAAACTCCCTCAATGTCACCGAGCAAGGTATCCTTCATGCCTGCTGGCTGTTGACGCTTCATCGGCATTTTGGCTTTGTTCCGCCAATTGGAATTATTGCTTCGGGTCGCACGATTGACATTCCTGGGATTGAAAATGTCATCGGTCCATTGTTCAATACGATTCCGAGCAATGTGCAGCTTCGTGGGCTGAGATCTTGGACAGAGGTTGCCCAGCGATGCCATGAATACCACGTTTCCACGATGCCATTTCAATCCACCGCCCTGCGTGAAATTGTGAAATGGCTCGGTAGGAATCCTGATGAGCCTCTATTTGATTCGCTTTTTGTTTTCCAGCGAGAAGATGCTGATGAGTCATCAACGAGAAATCTATGGAGTCCAAATGCCTCAGAAGCTGAGCATGACTATCCATTGGCCTTTGAAATTGTGCGAAACAACAACAAGTGTCTCACCATAACGATTGCGGCAAAAAGTCATGCCGTTTCCCCAAAGACCGCCCAAGAACTCCTCTCGAGCTTTGAGGATGTGTTGTCCGAATTTGCACGAAATCCCAAGCATGAAATGCCTTATCTCAATGGAGTGTCGGAAGAACCTCAAGCCCAACTGAACAGAATTTCCAGTGTTCAAGAAAATTCCAACCATTTGACAGAATCTTCATTCCAATGGACTACACAAGCTTGCAAAATCCGTGATGCGATTGTCAGCCTTTCCGGTGTAGATGTGGCTTCAGTTCGAGGCGAAACATCTATTTTCGAGGTGGGTCTTGACAGTATTGATGCCATCAAGCTGTCATCTAGGCTGAGCAACGTTGGAATCAAGCTCCCTGTGAGCATGATCATGCGCAGCCGCACAATTAAGGCCATGACCAGTCAATTGACTGCCCCAGCCCATCAGGAGCAGAATGGCACCTATCCGTTATTGTGTCAAAGTGAACGATCCCTAACAGATTTCTTGGGGAAAGAAAGCCTCTTGCCTCAAGGTGTTTGTCGGGTTCTTCCAGCTACCCCAATTCAAGAAGCAATGGTTGCGGAGATGACTGCATCTGGGTACCAACATTACTACAACCATGAGGTTCTCAAACTTGAGCCACATGTTGATTGCGCAAAGCTCCGAGAAGCATGGAAAATTGTGGTCAAAACCCACCCAATCCTACGTACTTCTTTCGTCGAGGTCTCAGATCCCGAAATTCCCAATGCCTTTGCTCAGGTTATTCATAGTGAGGATACTTTCGATTTTCAAACTGTCCATTTAAATGGATCAAGAGTCGACTCCATAATTGATGTCCAGCGCAGGAGAGCAGCTGGCGAACTTGCGAATTTCCCACTTCTGACGGTTACAGTCGCCATTGATGGAGATGGTTATTATGTTATTCTGTCCATTGCACATGCTCTCTACGATGGTTGGTCAATCAATTTGTTACACGAAGATGTGGCTAGGTCTTACTCTGGAGAAGACTGCACTCGCTCATCTCCTGACGCAATCCTGGAGCAAATCATTGCATCTTCGGGCGAACAGGCTCTCCAATTCTGGAGGTCAGCTCTGTCCAACTACACACCAGCTCCCTTCCCAACGGGAGCTCATTCAGAGTCAACTTCTATCGACGTTCACCGTGCAGAAAGACCCATGTCTATATCATCCGAACAGGCTGATGCATTTTGCAGGCGCGAAGGCATCACCATGCAAGCACTTTTGGTAAGTTGTTGGTCGCTTATTCTAGCCACACATACCAAGAAGCTGGATGTTGTTTTTGGCCTTGTTTTGTCAGGTCGCAACGTCGCGAATTCCGAGGATGTGATGTTCCCATCCATGAATACTGTGGCCATGCGTGTCATTTTGCATGGTACTCGTCTTGATCTTGTGAAATATGTTCAAGAGACATTGTTGAACATCTCAGAGTATCAGGATTTCCCACTTCGACGAGTCAGACCTGACAGCATGTCAAGTCCCCTGTTCGATACGCTCTTCATCTACCAAAAAAGACCTTCGGAAAGCGAAAATGCTGGACAAGTTCTTTACAGATCCACTGAAGCTGGCTCATCGAGTGTTGAGTACCCAGTCTGCGCCGAGATTGAAAGTCTAGGGGAGAGTCTGGTGGGTCGAGTGGCTTGTCGAGGCAATCTTCTGGGAGAAGAAGATACCCTATCCTTGCTTGAACATATGGAACATGTCTTGTTCTCAATTGTCAATCAGTCAGCCCAGCAGACGGTGGATTTCAGAGGAGAGGTCATGGAGATTTGTGGCTATCAGTTCTCACAGGAACTATCTGTTCCAGCCGCGGAACCTAGATTGCTGTCCCAAATGCCTGGCCCAAGAGAGTGGTCACCCATCGAGTCAAAGATTCGCAGTGTTCTTGCCGTTGTATCCGGCGTGTCCGAGGAAACAATCGATCCGGAAGCCAACATCTTCCAGCTTGGCTTGGACAGCATTAGTGCGATCAAGGTCGCTGCACTTTTGAAAAAGCAATATGTAAAGCTATCTGTCAGTGATATGCTCAAGGCGGGCACAATCAAGAAGATGGCGGCAGCAGTAGAAGACACCAATCAGACAGATCTCACAATGACAGATGTTGAGAGGGCCCTTGATGAGTCTGTTCGTGGTATTAACATCACACCACTACTCCAGTCATATGGCATCGATTTGGATCAAGTTCAACGAACAATTCCTGCAACCGCTGGGCAGACCTACTTCCTGGCAATGCACTCCTTGAACCCCAGCGTGTTTTATCCCGAGTTCTCCTACTTGGCAACAAGACAAGTGAGTCAGGAAGTTCTCGAGAATGCCTGGTCTTGTCTTATAGATCAGACCCCAATTCTTCGAACGGCTTTCGTTCCTACCGATGATTCAAGAGTGCCGTATCTCCAAGTTGTATTCAAATCCGCCCGAATTCCTGTTCTTTGGCATGAGGCATTTGATCACCAGCTTGTCATTATCAGTAGTGATCAGGAATTTGGTTCGATACCTGTTGCATTGCATGCCTGTCAAACCAGCAAGGGCACGGCAGTTATCTTGAAGATTCACCACGCTCTCTACGATGCAATCAGCTTGCCATGCATGATGAATGAACTTACCCAGGCTTGCAACAACATGCGGGCGCAATTAAAATTCGACACCCGGGACATTGCCCAGCTCGTCGCTGTTCAACATGTTCACTCGCCCGTTGGTGTTCGGCGCCTATTCTGGAGCAAATACCTAGACCAAATCGCAATGCGGGCAATTGACATGCCACCATTGGGCGAGTTTGGGGCTATCCAGCAGCATTACCGACCGGGACTCGTTTCCAGCATGTCTCAGGTTGAGAAGGCTGCAAAGCTTCGGGGCCTCAGTATCCAATCGATCTTCTTGGCAGTTTATGCTCGACTGCATTTCCAGATATTTGGGGACTCTGAGGGTCTCGTGGTTGGATTGTATCTCGCCAATCGGTCGTTCGTCACGGAGGGGCTATCTGAACTCGTTGCGCCTACAGTCAATATCGTTCCACTGCGTTTAGACAACAAAATCCACAGCGGTGGCGACTCACTCTTCACAGCTGCCAGAAAAATTCAGGATGACATCCACTTGATCAGTATGATCGAACATTCTTGTGTATCCCTAGTGGAGATTGCCGAATGGACCGGGGTGCGCATCAACACTTGTATCAATTTTCTACGTTTACCTGAGGTGGAAGAGTCTGCCGGCACTGCGACCAACCAGACGGTCTTCAAGTCTATTCCATTCAGGGGAGTTAAAGATGAGAATGAGATCAGTCTTGACAAAACTGATCCACTCTTGACCAATGGGGGCATTACAGCGCCCGCTTCCACGCAAGTGATGCGGGCCGCTGTTTCGACGGCGGCTATGGGAGATGTATTCTTAGTAAGTGATCTAACCGCCCACCCCACCCTCTCTACCAGTGGTTGATAGATGGACACTAATGTAATTTTGTATACAGCCTACGATGGATGTGGAGGCAGCTATCCGAGAAGACCGATTGGACTTTGGAGTCTTCGCCCCAGACGCCCGATTGGGTCACGACGTTGCTATTCAAATGATTGAGAGAATGCAGCAGGATATGAATGCCCTAGTCGAGTATTCTCAATGATTTGCTGGAAACAATGACCAGTATCTTGAAGAGTGAGGGACTCTCGTCGCCCTGACAATTGTTTTGTTTTGATTTCTTTCTTCTTTTTCTCTTCACTAAGATTTTCAGCGAGTCTTTTCTTTTTCTTTTTCTTCTTCTTTTTTCTTTGGAGGATAGCTCCTTTTGCTGTGCATATATTGCTTTTGTGGGTACTGAAGTTTTTGGACGTGTTCGTTTTCATTCATTCTTTGTTCAATAAATCATAAACGGTGGCATGGGAACCAGAGGGGCCAGTGTATATCGGGACCCACGGGACGGGACGGGCGGATCCCGACCTTGACATGGGCCCCCACTAAACAGGTGATACTCTCTGTAGATACTCCGGAGTACCAAGTCGGAATCTTCAGCTGAAGATGAAAGGATAGTGGGGGTGTCAGTGTGATCTTTTGGGGTGCAATTATTCTGCGTGTGGTAACATCCAGAAAATAGAGGATTCTGGAATGGCTGAGAGATATTAGCTTTTTAGCTCTTTATTATTATATAGATCATACGAATGGAAATGATGGATCAGATGAGCTATGGTGTGAGCCAGTCATTAGGAGTGGGTTATTAGGATTGGTGAACTCATGGGCAGCCACTCAAGCAAGGGAGATTTCGCGTGGTTTCAAGACAGTTCTGGGGCCTTTGGGGATCTTGTAATCAAAGGTTTCGCTGCCTTTTGAACTCCGTCTCTTTGGTTATTGATTGGGGTTTTATTTTGGGCAATTTTACCTTTACTCCCTTGAGGAGAACTGGCGAATCGGGGAATGGCAAGTACCATACAAATGTTCCTTGAGGTGGCGTTGTAGTTGGGCGCAGGGGCGGAATTCGGGTCGCTTCCCCATGCATAAACAAGAAAATAAATAGAAAAAAAAAAAAAAAAGAAAGAAAAAAAAAGGTCTCTCACGATGGGTCAATTATAATTCACAGCCCAGACTTGACATACATTACTTTCTTCTCTCTTCTTTTATCCCAGCTACATTTGTTCATGAGGAAGTCTATGCTTGTGAATTTCGTATAAACACGATCTTACATAATCACTATTTGTTTATGTCACGACGCGTCGCTCCCCGCCGCTAAACCCATTTAGGTAACGGGGATCAACAACGCGGCGCGTTGGAAACTCTCTACTACTGGGCACTTCATCTACATTTATCCTTTTCAACTTTCCTGACCCGTGGATACATTCCTCGATCTTCAATTTCACTCCTTTGGTATCACCCTACATCGCCTAATAATTCTCCCAACATCCTCCTCTCTCGCTCTACGCCTACATTCTTCGCGCCTTCCAGCCCCTCTTCAAACCACCCCACGCGTGGGCTGATCCGATCACGAATCTTTAAACGAGGGGGACCTACCCCTTACGCTTCCGTTCTTCCTTGAAACACTGGGAAAAGGATTCCCGCCTTCGACATTTACCTGTATTCCCTCGAGGCTGTCGACATCATCTGTGCGCCCAAAACCTGCATGTCCGTGTCCTTGACCTGAAACATTCCTGCGCGTCTTCTTGTTGGGTGGAAAGTGTAGCCATAGGGCGATCATCGTTTCCGCGGCGCGCTATTGTTGCGATTCCCCCGCGCGTGGCCGGAGGTACAAGCCTACGGAATTCACTGAACCTAGCAATGCGTGGGTGAATGGCCAAACTGCCTTTCCCACCTTTTGCTTCCAAACTTTGCCTATTTTCTTTTCTCTCTCGCTCCCCTGCCTTTCTAGCATTCCAGTGATCAGAAAAAAGGTAGCGTGCCTTATTCAACTGGGCACCCTTTTTCCCTTGACTCAAGTCTCTCCCCACCCCCCCCTCGAAGGACTCGCATTATTTTCCCTCCCGTCGCGTCACAAGCGCCGTGGAGGGTTGAGGTTTACTCACTCATCAAGTACACTCTTCTTGGAGATCAAAAACGCTGGAAACGAACAGGTTCGATCACTCTTTTTGAGTGAAGGTGAAGGAAGGAAACCGAAACATCGCTATCACTGAACTGGATCGACTTTCTTTTTGGGATTGTTGTGCAACACGCTCAGCACAACATTCCCCAGTTATGGTTGCGACCTTCTCGCCGCACCGGGACTCGGGCGGCACTCTTCACCTCTCGTCACACTCAGGGATTCACCACGTTGATGCCAGCTCTGCAATTCGCCAACTAAGGCGCTCTTTGTCGCGCTCACCTTCTAAGAGTTCCAATTTCTTCCTCAGCACTCGATCTCATTCGCCTTCCAAAACTACCACACCCTACGTGTCTTCGCCGCTGTCGCCCTCGAGGCGATCGCATCAGAATTTCTTTCTTTTCCCGTCTAATCAGCAATCTCCTCTTGCTGTACCATATCCGCCAAGTGCGAAAATAACACGACCGGCCATGCGACGGCGGACTTCACCTCGTAGCCCCGCCAAACGCGCTTTGACAGTCTCGACGGACAGTGGGAACGCGACTCCATCCCAGCCCATCGCCATGAATTTAGGGGAAGAAAACGACTTGACGCTCGATGATCTAGATGGGCCGATGGAAGGGACTACGCCTGACAGTCCGTGTCATCTTAATTCTCTCTCTGTCGCGCAGGGCGAAACAAGCTTCGCTCCCCGCTCCACGCTCTCTCGTATCGAAAAGCGACGCAGTGGGACATTTGGCTCATTCGCCACTGTGAGTCCTTTAAAACGCAGCGACGGTATTATGAATCTGGATCAAGCATCGCGAGGGAGTCCCTCCGCCAAGCGACGGAGTGTTCACACGCCAAACTTCTCAACAGACTTCAGCATCTTCGATAACGACCATGAAAGTGCGCCTGCAAGCCCATCTGCCAACGAGACCTCTCTGTCAACTCCCTTCCAGCCCTTCAGTCCGTTTGCAACTATCCCAAAGCGCTCATCCTCTCTCAGACGGTCCACTCTGCAACAACGGCAAAGTGATCGACCTTTGTTTGGACGTCCGAAGGGGGCAGGTGAGGCCGAGGCATCTCCCGGTACCCCATTGGCAGTGCGTCCACGCATGTCATTTGACAGTGGCCTGTTTGAGGCTGGTCAAGAAAATATGTTCTCCCCTCGTCCTCCTCCAGCCAGTCCTCTCTTTTCCGCAAATCCTACCAGTATTGTCACTACTCAACCATCTCGTCCTTCTGCTCATCCCCTCTCTCGAACTATCACTCAATCGTCTTCTGGCTCGAGTCTAGATGATTCCCCAACTCATGAGGCCGTCCACAAACCGGAGCGCCCACGACCGCTCTTCAATTTCTCCAAGTCTCTTCCCGCCGGCGCTACTCGTCCCGCCCCTGTGCGCCGTGTAACAAGGGAAGACTCAAGCGGGTCTGGGGAATCATTCGCAACACCTGAGAATTACAAACTAGTCAAACCTCTACCGGCTGCGTTCATGTCCACGGGGCTGATCTCGAAGAAAAATCGCAATGCAGAGGAGCCATCGGGTTTCAATAAGAACATGCCCGACACTCCTTGCAAACGACCCGTCAACCTTTTCACTTCTGGGTTGAATGGATCTTTTAATAAGCCTCCACCTTTCCAAGAGTCAGAGGCTGTGTCGCAATCCCCTTTCAACCCTCCAGCCTCTGCTGTACGCCCTAAACCCGGTCCCTTTGCACGAGGTATGGGCATTTTTGGGAATGCATTCAGTCGCCCCGAAGCCTCTCGTCGGGGAAGCTTCGTGAGTGTTGATGGGGACGATCTTCAAGCTCAATCCCCTTCCTCACGGCATGACAGCCAGCCATTAACTGATTCTGATTTCCCTCCAACTCCTACAAAACAAACATTCCTCCCTTCCCGTACCTATCCTCCTGCTACCTCTCAGATTGGGCCTCTAGAGCGTCTGTCGGAAACAAGGGTGTCTTCCAACTCTACGCCCTTGCGTGATCGGTTTCTCCAAGCTTCACCTCATACTCCTCGCGACCAATTTTTCCCCCCAGATCCAAGCGGCTTGTCAATCTCCGTACCGAATGAGTCGCAGCATCTTCAACCTGACTTTGGTGCTAGTCTGGATCTACCTGCGACCCCGACAGGTCCCCGGGACTCGTTGCTTTCTAGCAAGCGCCCCAGTCTGCAGCTCAGTGGATTCCACACCCCAGACGTGGATCCCAGCCTGACCATGCGGTTCGAGAAAATCGAGCTTGTTGGTACAGGTGAGTTTTCTCAGGTATACCGAGTTGCTCAACCTCACGACGCCTCATTCCCTTCCATGTTCTCCCTGCCTTCAAGTGGACCCAAATCCCCCAGTGCTCTTCCTCATCATCAAGTCTGGGCTGTCAAGAAGAGCAAACAGCCCTACTTAGGACTAAAGGATCGGGAACGCCGCATTAGGGAGGTCGATGTCCTGAAGACGTTGGTCAATTGTGACCACATAGTTTCCTTCATGGACAGCTGGGAAGATAACGGTCATCTCTATATCCAAACTGAGTTCTGCGAAGAGGGAAGCTTGGATGTTTTCCTAGCACAGGCTGGACTTAAGGCCCGACTTGATGACTTCCGCATCTGGAAAATTCTTTTGGAGCTTACTTTGGGATTGAAGCACATCCACGACGAAGGCTTTATCCATCTTGACTTGAAGCCTGCCAACATTTTGGTCACATTTGAAGGGGTCTTGAAGATTGGAGACTTTGGCATGGCCACACGCTGGCCTGCCGAGGATGGCATTGAAGGCGAAGGTGATCGAGAGTACATTGGCCCTGAAATCCTGATGGGTCGGTTTGATAAACCTGCGGACATTTTCTCACTTGGTCTGGTCATCTTTGAAATTGCTGGCAACGTGGAACTGCCAGATAATGGGGTGTCTTGGCAGAAGCTTCGAAATGGCGACATGAGCGATGTTCCCAGTCTAACCTGGAGTTCCGAGACTAGCATTTTCCGCGATGCAACTGGAAACCCTGTCACAGACGGGACTTCTTTTGAGGAGCTTTTTGCGTCTGATTTGGGTGATGACGACTTTGGGGACAGCTTCCTCACTAGCCGGGAGTTGACTACGCCGAAGCCGACCCATCTCGCCCGCAGTGGGGAGCTTGTGGACCCGCCTGCCTTCATGGTGGATGCCAGTCACATACATGCCTTGGATAAAATTGTCCGCTGGATGATCTCCCCCGAGCCCCTTGATCGACCTACCGCAGACGATGTTCTAGGCACCTATGGACTACAGTTTGTGAACCAGCGTCGCCGTGCCGGAGCCACAGTATTTGAGGGCAACTGGGGGCCCGCTGATGAGATCTTGGCCGAAGATGCCGAAATGATCGATGTGTAATCTATGTCTTCTTTTCTTCCGATGTGCATTTGGGGGGGTGTTTTGTTTTTTTTCACGACCTTTTTTCCTTTGTCTCTTTTTCTCACTCTTTTCCCGGGCAATGATTCGACTCTTTCGCCATTCCTTTTTTCATGCCCCACACGCCTTTTCATCACGACGATTTTCTTACTTTGTTTCTGGCCGATTGAGTCCTATATCCTGGGATCTATTTTACGTCTTTTTGGGGGTTCTGCCTTGGAAGCGTTGTTGTGACCCTCAGTGCGATATGTCTGCTTTTTTCCCCCTTCAGCCCTCATGACCTCGTGGAGTTTGCAAAGGGTCCAATACCCGGAGTTTCAGCGTGGTGTTCTCTCTTTCATTATTGTGGCGTTTTAATGTTTTTTGTTTGTATTGATCCATTGCTTAGCATTATCGGGTGTCACTAATGTACCACCATCCCCAACACAACTGAGTCTTCTTTCGAGATCGCCTTGGGTCGCATCGTCCGGGCTGCTCTTCTGGTGTATTCGTTCTCTCGGTGGATCTGATCTCTTGCATTGAAGTTTGGGCCATTCACCTAGTGGTAAAGGCATGGTTGCTTCAGCCTTGGGCCCTTGGGCTCTTAGTAGGCTTGGGTCTTGGGCGTTTTTACGATTTTGAAGAAAGGTTTCAGGGCATTCTGCCCTTGGGCTCTTTTGTTTTTCTTTTTTGACATCTTGTTTAATGATGAATGACTGTCCACCATGGTTCTGTTCGATTAGCGAGAATCTCCTGTACTTTTGACCAGTTTTGTTCCATGTGTGAGAATAACAGTAGTCTGAGATGATATCCTCAGCCCTGAAGTCTTTTTCCCTTCAAATGTTTCTTCAAAGCTTTCCATTCAAATGTTGGAATTGATGCTTCCAATTTTTCAATGTTTCACGGATGCCCACCTGGACACCTGGTGTAAGGTTGTCAGCGTACATAAGGTTTTCAACCTCAATAAATATGTATCAATCAATCAATATCTCCTTCGGCCGAATCATCAATTGATGGTTCCCGTCATCAATTGATTCACATATCCACAGGTAATCAATATATGTACATGTACTTAGGTACCTGAGTATGCATACATATACACCAGTGCGTGCGTGGATTCAAAAGTGCACGTCTACATCAATACAAGTATACATACTATATACATATATCGTACCTAATATGTGCCAATGCATATATATCTGGCCCAGGACCGATGCCCAGTCTTAGCACTAGCTGATGGACTTTTGCATGATGATATGAGCCATATAAATAATGCATGTGCCCACTTCCAAGGTTGATAAGATTGGACTTCCTAAAACTGCCTAGCGATTCAAACTAGTCAAATTAGTCTGATATTCATAAGAATTTAGTTCTGCACGAGAACGGTGGATACAACCTACCCGACGTCATAGACGATGCCTAGTCTGTCAGGCCCCAATGCCGATCTTCGGGACCGAGTGTGCCCCTCAATTTCTTTTATTAACCGCCCAACCTTCCCTCTTGTCTTATCTCTATCCCAACGCTTGTTTTCATTTCATATTCTCCTTCCCCCTTCAAATACCCCAGACCTTCTTAACATCTAATCTATTCAAAATGGCTCGTCAATTCTTCGTCGGTGGTAACTTCAAGATGTAAGTTACCTCTCATATACTACCCCGCGATGCTCGAGGTCACCCCTCTACAGCACGCGAAGTGTTTCAGAGCCGCGCCCCGCTGACTTGAAAAAAAAAAAAAACAAAGGAACGGTGTGAAGGATAGCATCACCAGCATCGTCAGCAACCTTAACGCCGCCAAGCTCGATTCCACCACCGAGGTCGTCATCTCTCCTCCTGCTCTGTACCTCACTCTGACCCGCGAGCTCGCCGACCCCAAGATCGGTGTTGCCGCCCAGAATGTCTTCGACAAGCCCAACGGTGCCTTCACCGGTGAGATCTCCGTCGAACAGCTCCAGGACACCAAGATCAACTGGGTTGTCATTGGCCACAGCGAGCGCCGTGTCATCCTGAAGGAGACCGATGAGGTACGGGAACCCGCAATCTACATACCAAGGCCGAACTACCAAAAAAAAAGGCCACTCCCCAACCATTGACATTGTTCATGGAGCTAATTATCTTCACTATAGTTCATTGCCCGCAAGACCAAGGCTGCCATTGAGGGCGGTCTCTCTGTCATCTTCTGCATTGGTGAGACCCTGGAGGTACGTCATTCCTAAACTCGGTTACCCGTGCTTTTCGTCCCGGTGTGGGTCACCGGGATGCAACCTGACACGAGAATTTCCGCTAACACCCGACTGTTTTGTAATGACATAGGAGCGTGAGGCCAATAAGACCATTGAGGTTGTCACCCGTCAGCTCAACGCTGCCGCCAAGGAGCTTAGCAAGGAGCAGTGGGATAAGGTTGTCATCGCCTACGAACCCGTCTGGTAAGCCAACACCCCAATATTCCATGCTGTGCCATTGGAACATGTCTCTAACCTGTTCATATAGGGCTATCGGTACCGGCAAGGTCGCTACCACCGAGCAGGCCCAGGAGGTCCACGCTGCTATTCGCAAGTGGCTCGGTGCCAGCGTCTCCTCCGAGGCCCAGGCCGGTGTCCGTATCATCTACGGTGGCTCTGTCAGCGAGAAGAACTGCCGTGAGCTCGCCCAGAAGGAGGATGTTGACGGTTTCCTTGTTGGCGGTGCCAGCTTGAAGCCTGCTTGTAAGTTTTCATCGATTCAGGACTGCCCACATACTCAGAAAGTACCGGATGCTAACCACTATATCCAGTCGTCGACATCATTAACGCCCGCATCTAAGATGTTTCCCTTCCCCCACCCCCTATTTCAGTAATTTGATACACCCCTAGTGCTAGAAACCCTAGGTTGGCTTGGAATAAAGCCCTAAATTAGCAAGGCCAAAAGGCTTTAAACGTCAGATATGTTGTCATGAAATATATGTACAATGTCGGAGCCGCTCAGTATATACTGTTTGCGATTCCTATATTAAAAATGCAGGGCAGGCTGATTTTGAGCTCATGAAACATAAGTAGAGACCCAAGCCCGAAAGAATTAAATCCCTCACGAAGAGTACATCACCGAAACTCCAACCCCGCGCCAGTAGGATGGCCCACCTCCGGGCACTGACCCACCCGAAGAAGAAACATTCGGGGCCACCGAAAATGAACCCGGGCCTAGCCCGACACCCGCACTTACCAATAACTCCTTAACCCGACCTTCCCAGAGCAAACGCATGTTCCAAGACTGGTCGACACGGATCTTAATGACTGAGTCGCCGGCCTCAACATCACTGCCATCATCCGACTTGACGGGTTCGGGTTGAACCGGGTCGGAGGTGAGTGGAGAGGTTGGCGGAGAACCCGGGAGGGAAGCGGAGAAATCATGCAGGCGCATCTTGCGGCGGGCCCATTCGATGTCATCGTCTGTAGAGTAAGTGGATTTCTTGGTTCGGCGCCAAAGCTCGCAGCCCGCAACCATTTCACTTTCCCAACTGTAGACATTGAAACCGAAACGGGAACTAAATGCAATGTTTGGAGAGGCACTTAAGGAGTATGTTGCTGATAAAGAGCCGGTAATGGGGGTGAGTGTGAGAGTTAAGGTGTAGGGGAATGTAGATATGGGTGTAGGGTGATTGGATGATGGGGATGAAGAGGACGAAGACACCTGCGTCGCGGCAGGGAGTGTAGCGAATCGCAATCCAGTAGACATGCCTACTAGTGACGAGGTAGGAGAATAATAAGCCTCCGCACCTGCGGAGAGAAGGGATAGTACAGGCGAGGCATCCGGACGAGCTTTTCTAGGATCGGGGCCAAAATTCCAAAGTCCACGCCAGCCGAAGAGGGCATTATCCGTGCTGAATAGGTACTCATTGCAGTATTTTCCCGTATCATGGGACAATTGAGCCAGCATTGATGCCTGGGGCGCGGATTTAGATAATGGTGGTCCCTGGGTGGAACAAACGGCGAGACATAGTTGCATTGTTGGAGAGATCCTGCGTAGGAAGAGCGCATTCAAGGTTGTTGGAGACGGAAGGTGTAAGGAGGCATGAAGAAGGGTCGCCTTCCTTTGCACTGCTTCATCTGTGGGAAGATCACCATCCTTGCGCTTTGGCGGTCCCGAACGCGACCCGTCCGTGACTCCAGGGATATTGACTCCATCTAGAAGAGAATTCCAGCCCCAGGCTTGTACTGGAGCCACAGGCGCTTGTATATGTCGATAACCAGGGGATATCTTTCGAAGAGGGATCAAGGCACTTCGGCTCGGGGTGTCATTGAAGGGAACCGTACTGAAGAGATATGAGACGGATCCATCGAGTAATCCAACCGTACCAAGTGAGTAGCTGGTTCCAAAGTTGGGCGTCGAAAGTGAGGACAAGTGGACCCGCAGTCGCTCCGGAGTCGAGAAGTCGATGATTGCTGTGTTCCTTCAGTTAGACTAAACTAACCTCGCGTTGTCGTCGCATCCCTGAAAGGGCGACTTACACTGTGTTGTGGTGGTCAGGGACAAATATGAGTTGTCGCGGTTCCAGTTGGTCGCCTCAGAGAAGGCGAGCTGGATATAGTCCATAAATTCCAGCATTTTCTGGACCAGGGAACCCTCGACTTTCACCGTTGAATTGCAGCGAATCTCTCTCTCTCTCTCTCTCGTTGGAAGTTGTTCCAGTTCACAGCTGGTTGCCCGATAAAGACTAGTGGGGTATCGGATAAGGCACGTGACCCGCTTATCAGCGAAAGAAAAAAAAATGCCACTCGGGAAGCATAAGAGATACCATCGATTCCCTCGATTAATTAAATACCACATTATCTTCAAAATGCCTCGTTCAAAGCGTGCGCGCGTCGTCCACGAGTCCAAGACCACCAAGAAGGACCACAAGGAGCAAACTCGCCGGCTCTACGCCAATATTCGGGAATGTCTGGAGGAATATGACCACATGTTTGTGTTCGCCGTGGACAACATGCGCAACACCTACCTGAAGGATGTGCGAGCTGAGTTCGCTGACAGCCGGTACGTTTTGAGATGAGTGCCAGAATGAAACTGAGCCCTGGCATTGTGGAGACGCAACCCAAAGTCGAGTTCTTGATCTATCACCACATGCACAACCATGCCCGAATATCAAAATTGTATATCTGAAATTCAAATCACTAATGCAATTCCCAGACTTTTCTTTGGTAAGACCAAGGTCATGTCTGTCGCTCTCGGCAACAACCCCGAAACCGAGGCCGCACCTAATGTGCACCGCGTCACTCCCTACCTGGCCGGTGCCGTCGGTCTGCTCTTCACCAACCGCGCCGCCGAATCTGTCTCTGAGTACTTTGAGAACTTCCGGCCTCAGGACTTTGCCCGTGCTGGCACCGTGGCTACCCGCTCCTTCAGCATCCCCAGCGGTCTGGTCTACCAGCACGCTGGTGAGATCCCCGTCGAGCAGGACGAGCCCATCAGCCACACTATCGAGCCTGCCCTGCGCAAGCTGGGTGTCCCCACCCGTCTTGTCAAGGGTAAGGTCATGCTCGAGCTGACCGAAGGCTCTGACAGCTACCGGGTTTGCCGCGAGGGCGAGACCCTGGATTCCCGACAGACAACCCTGATGAAGATGTTTGGTGTTACTTCTTCTGAGTTCAAGGTTGATTTGAAGGCTTGCTGGTCGCGGAGCACCAACGAGGTGAAGATTTTGGAGAACGGTGCTATGGAGGTGGAGGCATAAATGTGCCCTTTACCTTATTGTGTCGACAAAAAAAAGATTCTCGTGGGCATCTTTACGGAGTTAAGGGCTGGCGCTTTCCTTTTTTCTTTTACATTGATACACTGAACATCCTCTTTTATCCGTCCTGTTTCCCCGGGAGACTTGGATTTCTTCCAATTGATGTGCCTACGATTATGGATAGATACTACTAAATTGGATATAAAAAAATTGTTGACTGTTCCCTTCTTCCTTTCTTCCCAAGAAACATTACATTCGCTAGGAATATGCCTATCTTTAAGTCATTGTATTGGCCCTTACCTGGTCTTACCTGAGCGTCACTGAATTTCACCATGTGAGAAACTGCTTCAACTAAAATACATACTTACCCCCGAGGAGTCCAAAAAAAGAAAAAAAAAGGGTCCCACTGGAACCGAAACAAAGCGTGCAAAAAAAATGAAAACGCCGCGGGGGAGACAGACAAAGGAAAGAAGAGCCGGATAATACATGAATACTCCAGGGGGAGGACTGTTGGACTAGTTGCCGGTAGTGTATGTGCACGCCGAATATAGTCCAGGAAAACCGGAGATCGACCTTAAAAAAAGATGAGTGGAGGCGGTGGTTATGATCTGAACATAGCTTTCCGTGACGCCTCGGATTCATGGCTGCATTTGTGTAACCTTACCCCCTTACCCTTGAAAAGAGAAAGATGCGCGGTGGTCAGATAAGGGATACCCACTAGCAAAGTCAGGAGGAAGGTAGTAGCATCCATTCACATGAAGGGGAACATTTAGTATCGTCTCCGGGATCGCGGGTCATCGTAGCCATCGTCTTCACGGGGTCGCTTCCGGGCAAAGTCATCTCGGCCGCCATCACGGCCACCAGCATCTCGGCCAGCATCTCGACCGCCATCACGGCCAGCATCTCGGCCACCGTCTCGGCTACCAGCATACCGATCGCGGTCCCGGTCCCCGTAGCGGTCTCCTCCATTACGATCGTCACGGCGGTCCCTGTAGCGATCGCGGTCCCGGTCGTCGCGGCGGTCTCCTCCTCGGTCTGAGGGGCCATCTCGTGGCCGCACAGGTTCCCGATTGCTGCCACTTCCACGGTCAAATCTGCCACCACCACCACCACCATAAGAACCTCCACCGAAATCACCTCTACCACCCCCGAAATCTCCCCTGCGGCCACCACCAGGACCAGAGGGAGCATTGGGAGGTGGTTGTCCACCACCTCCACCGAATCCATTGCGACCACCTTGGTAGCCGATTCCTCCACGAGGAGGACCAAAACGGTCGCCGCCACCACGGAATCCACCACCTCCACGGAATCCTCGACCACCACCACCGCCGAATCCGCCGCGGAAGCCGCCGCCGAATCCACCAGGTCCAGATGGCGCATTGAATCCGGGCCCAACGGGACGCGAAGGCATCGCCTTAGTGTATCCGCGGCCACCTAGACCACCACCAAAGCGACGAGGCTTCCAGCCCTTGGTCGTGCGTCCACGCTCCACATCTACCAGGACTCGTCGGTCCTTGATACGGATTCCATCCGTTTCCTTGTAGGCCGCTGAATACCGGGGATCACTGTGTTAGCATTGACTTCTCTTACCATAACCTGGTTTGTGGACATGTCGCTCATAATCGCGACATGGATCTGGTGATAATACCTTTCATATCCTTTTCACGTTCATAAACGATAAACGCATAACCTTTATTGGGTTTCTTGGCTGCTTTGGGTGAGACGGTGTCTTTGACGATGCGAATCTGCGAGAATATGTCAGAGATCATGGACAGAAAGGAGAAAATAAGATAAAAAAGCTGGTGGATATAACTTACACGCTCAATGGGGCCGAAGCGGCCGAATTCTCGCTCGATATCTGATTCTTTCACCTCATAACTCAGTCGTGCCACAAAGAGAGTTCTGTATGGATCGCCGCGGGCTTGAGGGTCCTTCTCTGGGTCGACTATAATCATCGAGAAGAAGACCATTAGCAAAGTATTCCACAATTAAAAAATATATTGATAGAACGTACAGATTTGCAATCCTTCGGTCACCTGCTTCTCCAACTGTTCCTTCTTCTCCAACTTCTGGCGCCATTTCCGTTGCAGCCAGCTCTCGGTCGCATTATAAGGGGCCTCTTCTTCGAAAGCCTTTGCTTCAGCAAGGTACTGGGCGACTCCGGAGATGGTGCTTTTCGGACAGTCTTCCGGTGCGCGATCAGTGGGAGGAATGTAGCGAAGAGACGGTCGCGGCTGGAACAGGGCCAGAAGAGGAGGGGGCAGTTTGTCAGTCATTTTATACCCTCGGCCCGTTGGCAAGTGACGTGAGGGGAAAAGGTTAGCTGTCACTTGGTGAGGTTCCTCAGGAGAGTTCACGTTCTTGTGGTCGTAGCAAGGGAGCTTTCCGCTGTAAACGCCTTAGCCGCTTCTGACGCGGACTCACCGCCTTCACGTGCACCAGAAATTGTGGCCCGGAAGCAAGTCGGCGATTACATGCTTTTTAAGACATCTCCAAATCACAGCAATGCCGGTCAAAGGACTTCGAACGGTTACTACAGCCAGGGTACGTATAAACACACAGATAAAGGAGGGTGGGGTTACACTTTAGGACTCTAGAACTGACTTGATGATCTCCTCCCCGAACAGAACGGCGTCGGTGCCTTTATCCACCAATGCAAGCGTCTTGACTTTCACTACTGCAACTATGGCGGCAGCTCACGAGGCATGCTGTGAGTTCAATTCATCTTCATATCAATCTTTCTTGTGTGCTATTTACTGATCAATTTACAACACTCAGCGCCTTCCTGACCCAAACCCTCCCCCAATTTGCTCGCGAAAACCCTCAGATTGAACTTCGAGTATCTCCTCGACCTGGCAAACACCCTGTCATCAAGGGCCAATACATCAACGGGCGTGAGAAGGCGATCTGTGTGCGAAATCTGGAGCCTTTCGAGGTCCTCAAGAAGGCAATGATCCTCAAGGACGCAAGTGGAGAGAAGTTGAAGCGAGTCAAGAAGCCGGTGACAAGTATTACCGAGAGTGTACGTGGTATCTGGTCACCATACCACGGTGACCTGCGTGGTGTATGAGATTCTGGGCATTTTCTGTTTGATAGCATTTATACTGGCTGAGGTTATGGCCTTCATTTTTCACGCAATGGACCCCTGCCATTGCATGTTACTGTATTATTGATCAGGGTACAATTGATTGAATTTAATTGTTTTCATCTTAATGCTCTCTGAGATCTGGGCCTTACTATTGTACATCCATTCCTGTGATAGGTGGGTATATCAAGGTTATGCGCAGTATGGTGCTTACATGCGTAGATGGACCCCTTAGTACTAGTGGGTATCTGAAGATTGCTTGCCAATTCTATGAAATGAGACTTTTTGGAGTCGTGTATTGATACATAGTATGTATTTCATGTGGAAATTTCAGATCTTAATCGGTTGCACATGCCCTAGCCTGCTACTTCCTGAACGCTACTTCAGCATGTATCCAATCCTATTTGAACATTGAGGTTTCAAGGCTAGGTCCACGGTAAAATGCCTAGGTGCTTCATACATACTATACATATATGTGTATATAATACTATATTCATAACATTCATATATGCAGGTAATCGATATCTAGTAGGTCTGTGGTATATACACATACATGCACATATGTGCATGTGGACAAAATTTGAATATGTACGATGAAAATACCTAAGTAGTAGCACTTGAGATGGGAGCCCTCTCTCTCTCTCTCTCTCTCCAGATCCATACCTATGTAGGTAGTATATATGCACACATGATAGGAATGAACATCTCCTTGGAAACATCAATTGATCCAACCTTTAAGAAAATAAGAAAAGATAAACAAAATATAGAAAGCAGAATAGAAAAACCCTAAAAAAAACCAATCCAATATGAAACGCCTTGAACTTCCATGCATCACGGGTATCAACAAGAAGAGATGTGTAACATGCAACCAGAAACACCTCAGCCCTCATGCAAAGCGATTCTAAAGATCATGAACAGCATTGAATCATAGATAGAGGTGGAACATTGCTGACGGTGCACTGAGCGACTTCTCACAGTCAGCAACCTGGCACTTTGAGAAAGTCTTACTCTTAACAGAAGAGTTAGTCTTTCTAGCCTTGGACTTGGAGCGATTTGAGGCACATTCGCCACAATAGACCTGCAAATAATTAGCTCAACTGGAAGGCAATAAGAGATTCGAAATAACAAACATGTCCACATGGCTTTGCGACCCAGATCTCCTCTTTCTTTCCACCACCCACTCCCAATTCGCCATAACAATTGGGACAGGCTGCCGCATCATCGTCTTCCAGGGTGCGCTTGAAGCCCTTTGGTGCCGGGCTGAGTGTTGGGTGGGCAGGGCGTCGAGTGACTGGAGTTTGCTCGGTGGGTTGCCGCAGGTTAAACGATGTTGAAGCATAGTCAAGGCTCATAAGGAAATTCATGTCTGGGCCAGGTGAATAGGGATTTCGCTCGGCAGGCCATGGCGGCAAATACAGCGACCGGGATATCATCTCTCGGGTAAGAGACATGCCATGAGCGCCGAATGCAGGCCAACGATTATTATTTTCTGACAGTCTTCCGTTCCACAAACCCCTCTGTGGCAGAGAACCAGCATCCCGTTGCACGGAACCAACGAATTGGACGTCTGGACTCGAATTATGACCCCATTCTCCATGACGTCTTTCACCAGGCAGCGGGACAACAGGTGTTGCTGGTTCATCAACCAAATCCACCACTTCTTGTGACAAGATGGCCCTGCCGAATCGAGGCGGTCGTCGTCGTCGTACTGTATGGAATCCCTGAGCATTTGGGGAGCGAGGTTCGTATAGTTGACGTGGTAACTCGGAGTCATTTGTCAAATCAATAACCTCATTTTCAGGCACCGGAGCACTGACGGGGCTGACTGGTCGTCGCAAGTCAAAGCGGCCACGAGGAAGTCTTGCAGGTGGCAATAGAGACGACCACGACTCGGTACTCGTTTCTTGCTGAGGTGGCGGGTGAAAGTGAGTGTCCCATGTTCGCCGGGGATTGTCACTGGATTCGTTTGACATTTGGCGAGTTCGCTTAGAAACCAGCAAAACACTATCAATATGGCTGCAACTAGTACATTGGCGCCCCCCGCTGTCTTGGGAGGGTTATGGTGGCTTACCTTGGACCTGACGCCCATGAACTGGACGCCAGGTTCGTCACTCATATCAAGATTTGTTGTTACGAAGAGTGGGGAGCTTGGCCGGGATATATATAAAAGCCTGCTGGAAGCCCATGGAAAGGAAGGCAAGGACGAGGAGGATATCGCTGCCATGTTGGATTGCCCGGAGATACGCGCGAGGCTAAAGGCGGTATACGATTCTGCCGGATATTAAATGCGGTGTAAAAGGCGGTCAATGACGAAACGTGGGGCGGTTTGGATCCAAGTCTAAGCAGGATCAAGAGAATAGAGAGGGTGGCAGCTTTTAAGATAGATTAGAATGGTCGATGGAGGAGAGAGAGAGAGATAGAAAAGAGAGAGAGAGAGCAAAATAGTGAGAGAGAGAGAGACAATAGAGGATGATCTCCAATTCGTGATAGAAGTCTTGAACAAGACATGAATTTCGGTGTGCTCCAGAGCTGATTAACGCAATACAAACATCATGGCAAGAAAGAAGAGAAAAAAAAAAAAAAAAAAAGAAAAAAAGATCGGATGCAGCTCTAAAATTACATGTTTTGACTTGACTTGATTATGACTGCAGCACAGTCACAGAACCAGCCTCATTCAAGGCCACAATGCTTTGAGCGGAAGATCCCCATGCGACAGCAACAGCTGGCACAGCACTCCGCAAGGGCTCTGACCACTGCTTAGATGATTTGGTGAATTGTTGAACAGTCAATCCACTAGGGCCACCAGTTAAGAGGAATTGGCCAGTGTAATCCCAGAAGATTGACTGGACCTCATTACCGGTGTCCAGCACCTTGGTTTCCTTGGAGCTACGCAGGTCCCAAATCGAGACAGTGGTTGACTGAGCAGCCACAGCAGCCAAGAAAGTACCATTCTCAGAGAAGAAAAGGCACTTGACAGGCCCAGACATGGTAAAATCTGCCGCCAGGACACTGCTCTTGACATCGAAGACCTTAATATGGCCCTCAGCACCGCCAGCAGCCAAAAGCTGACCGTCTGGATGGAACTGCACGGACAACAAAGCTAGAGAATGAAAGTTAATATCGTGGTCAAAGGGAACTGTTATTATTGACAGCGTTTGCTTACCAGAATCAGTAAAAACTTGGGTGATCACAGTGCTTGTAGCCAGATCGTAGAGCACATAGCTCTTGTCCACACCCACAGAGGCAACAATGTCACCAGTTGCATGCACAGCAAGAGCAGTCACACCGCCAGCATGGGAGGCGAAGCTTGCCACCTCACTGCCATTTTCAAAGACTTTGACAGTGCCTGTGGCTGAACCAACGATAGCCTTGTTACCAGCCCATGTTGCATCGGTCACCGGACCATCTGTCTTAAGAGTCTGAACCACAGTCTTTTGGGAGAGAGAATAGACACCGACAACACCATCAGCACCACCAAACAAGGCAAGATCTCCCGTAGAATCGATCGACAAGGCTCGGCTGCCTGGGTACAGAGGTTCGGATGTTTCGGTGGGCTTGAATGCAGAAATAGCATCAGCTGTGACCCAGTCTTCAGGAACAGCGCGCTTGCGCCGGGTCTTTGAAAGACTAAAAGTATACATCAAGTCAGTAATCGGCAATATAAGCCCAATTAGAGAGGTAAGACCACTTACGTAGTGTGTGTGTTGTCAATTCGCTCCAACACTGCCTGGGGCAGGCCTTCTGAATCCACCTGCATGGCCTCGCCATCAGCCGGAGCATGACTGGCACCAACACTAATCTTCGACAGAGCATCACGGGCTTCATCCCGTTCCTTTGTCAATCGTGCGATCACCCGCACGGCAGCATCATGCTGGTATAGGGCGGAACTGAGCTCGCGGCGGGTCTGTGAGAGGTTCTGCTGGAGGGTGTATGTCTCGAGGGCGAGCGCATCCCATTCTTCTTGGAAAACACTGAGAAGAGAAGGGATAGATGTTAGGGTAGGGGGGCGAGGACGAACAACGCGCTGCGATTTGACATCAATCAGTTCGTCGGCTGCAAGCTCGTCGCCATTCACGGGATCCTTTCCATGTTCAGCGATATATGCTTCAATCAAGCGCTTTTCGAATACGCTGCCTAGATAGAGTTTAGTAAGCTTGTTACTAGGTATATAAGTGGTGGTCAGAGAAGACGTACCGCTCTTGGGAGAGATGACAGGCACTTGCGGAGCCTCTCCAGAGACTATGGGGGGAAAACAAAGTTAGCATCTCCTGAGCCCATCGGATATAAGTCAGTTGCAAGATTTGGGTACTTACTTGCACACAGCATGATTTAATTGAGGGGGATATGGGGGTGGGGAGAGGTGGATGAGGAGCTAGAAACGCGCAGCAGCGGCTCCTTTGCACTTTTCGATGTGTCCTATTTGGGTTTAGCGCCTACGAGCTGTTCGCGGACTTGAACTTCAACAACTTCTTCAATTTACCTCAACAACAGCTTCTTCCTAAGGAATTTATGTCTCAAGAATCAATGGCTTGCATCCTATAACCAATTCAAGAATACTGGTCTGTTTGTTCAAGCAAAATAAAAACTGAATGAACTTGGCAGCCACCTACACCAGGAATTAACGCGACAATGTCCAAAAACCCCAAATTCGCCTACGGTACCCGCCATTCCCCCCTGTCTTCTGGACGTACTTATCTAACCTCTCATATCTCTTATTAATAGAAGCACAAGAGCCTGCCTTTCTGCAAAGACTCCGGGGCCAATACGGTGGTGATACGTCCGGTCGCCTGGAGCGACCTGCCGCGCGACCTAAAAAGATCAAGGATCCCAAGGATGACGAGGATGATGGGCCTGTATATGTTGACGAGGAGAGTAACCAAGTGATTACCAAGGAGGAATACAAGGCGCTTGTCGAACCTCCCAAGGAAGATGAGACAAACACAGGGGACTCGTCCATAGCTGAAGGAGACAGGAAACCAACTGAGCCGATTGCCAAACAAAGTAACCTGACTGAAGTTGGTGGCCAGAGAAAGCGAAAGCAGGCCAAGGTAGTGGGTGAGGAGAACAAACCAGAGTCTGAATCACCCACAGTGGAAAAAACGCCTAAGAAACCTAAGAAAGCCAAGAAAATCAAGCTATCCTTTGATGAGGAGTGAACATTAACATGGGCATCTACATTCACGTTAGCAATATGCTGCTAACTTGACTTTTGCATTAGAAAGATGTACATATAGTGAGTCTAGATGATTCATTGTGAGTCAAAGCGGATATAGTTATTACTTACAAAAGCAACATTAGACAAGAAATTTTGAAATTTCAGTAATAAGGACCAGTAATAAAGAGTCTCTTGATCATCAGATTATAAACCAAACTTTTTAATGTGTAGTGACTGTTCTTAACATCATAATATCAAAAGTAAATATCTTGTTTCGAATCTCCATTTTTTCCCTCCGGATTTGCTGTTATCGGATTTTCCATTTCTCAGCAACTTTTTTTTTTTTTTTGGGTCCTCGTTCACTTCCCTCCACCATTTACTTCAACTTCTTAGATTGACCCGGACTATTAGACCGGTCTATCGCTCAAGATGCCTGTTGTAAATGTTGACGATCTAGTTCGTCTGCAGCGGAAACCTGAAGACATTCGAAATGTGAGTGCTGCCCCTCCATCCCACTCTGATGTCAGACCCCCCGTGCGGTTATACTAACGTTTCTTAGATCTGCATCCTTGCCCACGTTGTAAGTTGGCTGTAAAAAGTGACCACAATACTTTAAGTCTACATATTAATCGTCTGCCTGAATCTGCGCAATTTTAGGATCATGGAAAGACCTCATTAACCGATGGCCTGATCGCCACCAATGGCATAATTTCACCCAAGCTAGCGGGTAAGATTCGCTACTTGGATTCTCGTCCTGATGAGCAGCTCCGAGGTATCACAATGGAATCATCTGCGATTTCATTGCACTTCTCGATGCTTCGTCGTTCGGCCCCCGATGCTGCGCCAGTGCCCAAGGAGTACCTGATCAATCTGATTGATTCACCGGGTCACATCGACTTCAGTAGTGAGGTCTCTACTGCGTCTCGTCTCTGTGATGGTGCCGTTGTTCTCGTCGACGCCGTCGAGGGTGTCTGCAGTCAGACTGTCACTGTGCTCCGTCAGACATGGGTTGAGCAGTTAAAGCCGATCCTGATTATTAACAAAATGGATCGGTTGGTTTCCGAACTTAAGATGAGCCCTGGTGAAGCATTTGCGCACCTTAGCAGACTGTTAGAACAGGTTAATGCTGTTATCGGCAGTTTCTATCAAGGAGAACGCATGGAGGATGATATGCAGTGGCGAGAGCGTATGGAAGACCGCGCAAATGCCGCCGCTTCCAAGTCCAAGAAGCAGACTTTGGATGACGAGTCTGTTGCAAGTATCAGCGAGGCTACAGAATTTGAGGAGCGTGATGACCAGGATCTCTACTTTGCTCCCGAGAAGAACAATGTTATCTTCTGCAGCGCTGTCGACGGGTGGGCCTTTACGATCCGTCAATTCGCGGCAATTTATGAGAAGAAACTTGGTATAAAGCGTACAGTACTTGAAAAGGTTCTTTGGGGTGATTTTTACCTTGACCCGAGGACCAAGAGAGTGTTGGGACCGAAGCACTTGAAGGGTCGGGCCTTGAAACCTATGTTTGTGCAGTTGGTCCTAGACAGTATCTGGGCTGCCTACGAGGCGACAACTGGCGGTGGTAAAGGAAAGGGGTACGCAATTTTTTTTTTTTTTTACAGCTCTTTATCGACAAACACACCGAACTGACTCTTTCCTAGTGACCTCATTCTATTGGAGAAAATCACAAAGTCGTTGAATATCAACATCCCGCCTTATATTCTGCGCGGCCGTGATCCAAGAAACATCATGACCACACTATTCTCCTCTTGGCTTCCACTATCAACTGCTGTTCTGGTCTCAGTGATTGAATATTTGCCAAGCCCCCAAGCGGCACAGTCTGCTCGTCTGCCAGACATGATCAAATCATCTCCTGGCTCAGACTGCATCTCTGAAGAGGTCAAGCAGGCAATGGTTGACTTCAAGACTGGACCAGAGGAGCCTGTCGTTGCATATGTCAGTAAGATGGTTGCTATTCCCGAGAGCGAGTTGACTGCGAGCAAGAAGCGTGGCAGTAACATGACCGCCGAGGAGGCTCGAGATATCGCTCGCCGCAAGCGAGAGGAGATCGCGAAGATGCAAGCAGAAGCCAGCTCGGGACGTCAGGATGATTACGACCGAATGGCATCGGCGTTCGAAAATATTACCTTGATCAGACAGGAGGAAGAAACCGAGAAAGCCGTCGAGGAGGACGATGAAGATCCAGATCATCTAATCGGATTCGCCCGTCTCTACTCGGGAACCCTCTCGGTTGGTGACTCGGTCTATGTGCTTCCACCCAAGTTCTCTCCGGCAAACCCACATGCCAGCCCGGAGCCCAAAAAGGTCACTGTCACAGACTTGTACCTTCTCATGGGCCGTAGTCTCGAGCCGCTGCAATCAGTTCCTGCTGGTGTAGTGTTTGGTATTGGCGGTCTGGCAGGTTATGTGCTCAAGACAGGTACTCTTTGCAGTCAGCTTGAGGGAAGCATCAATTTGGCGGGTGTCTCACTTAACACCCCGCCAATTGTGCGTGTTGCCTTGGAGCCTGTTAACCCTGCTGATCTAGGCAAATTGGTTACTGGTTTGCGCCTTCTTGAACAGAGTGATCCTTGCGCCCAATACGAGGTCCTCCCCAGCGGTGAACATGTCATTCTCACTGCCGGTGAATTGCATCTGGAACGTTGCGTCAAGGATCTCCGTGAAAGATTCGCCAAATGTGAAATCCAAACTGGTGAAGCTATCGTCCCCTATCGGGAAACCATCGTCAACGCCCCAGAGATGGCACCGCCAAAGAACCCTGAATTGGGTCGCGGAGGCCTTCTAACAGTATCCCCTTCCAAGCAGATGACACTCCGCCTGCGTGTTGTGCCCCTGCCCGAGGCAGTGACCGATTTCCTTACAAAGCAAGTCGGAACTGTCAAACGACTTCAGTTAGAGAAACGCAACGAGGCGAAATCAGACGAGCCAGTAACAGAGTCCAGCCAGGAGTCAACGGTTGATGCCGCCGACGAAGCCCAAGAGGGTAGCATCCTGTCTCTTATCGAGTTCCGCGAAGAATTGACCAAGATATTCGAAAAGGAAGTCACCGAAGACAAGGAACTATGGAAGAACGTTGTCGACAGAATCACCGCATTCGGGCCCCGCAGAATCGGACCTAACATCCTTGTTGATGCCACTGCCGTTAACACCTGCGAGAAATTGTGAGTTTGATTTCCATCCCTCCCTACCCTCCAGCCCCAAAGTACCCATATATCACCATGAATCCTCCTCCTCCTCACAATCCTGACTCCAACTAACAATATACAACATAGCCTACTTGACGACCCAAAACAAAACACTCCCGTCTCCGCCGATAACCAACAAGCCTTGCTGGTACGCGACTTCAACGACAAAATCGCCTACGCCTTCCAACTCGCCACAGGCCAAGGCCCCCTCTGCCAAGAACCCATGCAAGGCGTAGCCGTCTTCCTAGAAGACCTCTCAGTCCAAGCAGCCGAAGGCGAACTCGACATGGGCCGTCTCACCGGCGACGCAATCCGACTCGTCCGCGAAGGAATCACGCAGGGATTCCTGGACTGGAGTCCCCGCATCATGCTTGCGATGTACAGCTGTGAGATCCAGGCCACAACCGAGGTTCTGGGCCGCGTATACGGCGTCATCACTCGTCGTCGTGGACGTATCCTTTCCGAGATCATGAAGGAAGGAACGCCCTTCTTCACTATCCTTGCTATTCTGCCTGTGGCAGAGTCGTTCGGATTCGCGGAGGAAATTCGCAAGAGGACTTCCGGTGCCGCGCAACCTCAGTTGATCTTCTCGGGCTTTGAGGCCTTGGATGAGGATCCGTTCTGGGTGCCCGCTACAGAAGAGGAGCTGGAGGATTTGGGAGAGTTGGCGGATAAGGAGAATGTTGCGAAGAGATATATGGATGCTGTGCGGAGTCGGAAGGGTTTGGTTGTTCAGGGTCGGAAGTTGATTGATGCAGAGAAGCAGAAGACTTTGAAGAAATAGGTGTGGTTTGGTTGTTGGTTTTCTTTATATCAATATCTTGTGGCTCTGAGACCGAGGGGATTTGTCTATACTACAATGTATGTTGAATTCAAACGTCAAAAATAAAAGTAGATCATTCGTTTTTTCTTGGTTTAAGCTTCCAAGGTCAATTCTCACCTCCCCCTTCAATGTTTTTTTTCTTTCGCATACGTACGTTGTGCATCCATTCAATGTTAGTACCAGTCTACCTCATGATCACTGAAGTGCTAGAATGTGTGAGTATTTCTGTCAATTGTGTACCTAGTAGGTAGACTCAGAACTGTATGGATACTTAAAAGTTTCAGATGTTGACTTTTCTTCCCTTTTGATGTTTCTAAATGTCATATGAATACTTACTAGTAGTATAAGTGTTGAAAGAAGGGAATTAAGGTACAATCGAGTTAAATCCATTGAGTTCTAGATCTAATTTAACTAGTGCGAATTACATATAACATTGAATGTAACAATCCCGAGATTTTCTTAGTGTCAAAGATTACAGACAAGAAGTAGTAGAGGGATGGTTCGCAAAGGATGAGAGTCCCCGCGCGATTCCAAAGGAATACCATCAATCTCCCTCCATTGACAAACACAACCAGACATGGATTAGGTCTCGGTCGTGTATACTTAGGAGGGTAAATCTACATATTGTAAGCTGGGCAGCCGTTCTGTTCAAGAAGATCTTCAGAATCTGTAGTTAACGGAGAGTAAAAGAAGTGAGAATTCGTATTTCATTCATGAACTTGGTGGGTATCACATAAATTCTGCGGGAGGAGTTCGGCCTCGCAATGCAGTGCTGGGGTACATTCATATCGCCATATGCTCACGTTTGTGGCCGGCAGAGGCACACCGTATAGGTGCCCATGGGAGAGGTTAAGAGATGTATGCCACTCGTTGAGAGTTGGGAGGGCTCATGTCGGGGATAGATAGTGGGAAGCTCCTCTGGCCCGAGTGACGAAGAACGGAGATATGGGTCTTGTCACACGTAGCCTGGCGATTGTCTCGCGCTCGGCATTGCCACAGATTATCCGGCTTGGGCGCTTTTGTCTGCGCGTACCAAATGCAAGAAAGGCTTGATATTGGGAGGGGGCATAGTTATGCAGTCACTTCAAGGCAGCCGTCCATCACAACTCGAAGGGTAAGGAATCGGAGTCCTCAATAGTCATAAAAAAAAAACGGGCTGGGCCAGACTAAGCAGCACTTAGTACGGGCGCGCAACCTTTCTTTGCTCACTAACACCGGTAACAGGGTCACGCATCTCCTTCCAGCTGACGGGGAACATCATATTTCCCGAGTCGCTGCGAGCCATGACGATACCGAGATCATTGCGAGCAGTAGTGATATAATAGAAACTCTGATCACCCTGAGAAATGACCGAGCCACGCACGATATCACCAACGCGGAACATCTCATCCATAACGACGCGGTCCTTTTCAACAGCGCGGACGTCCTCCTTGCGAATGATAGCCTGGAAGCGCAGCTCGTCGGTGCTACTGTGGTTCTCGGGATTGGCAGCAGAGGTCAAGATGGAGGCAACGTTGTCATTGTCGGAGGTATTCTGTGAGGGGTCTTGCGAGACATCGTCCAGGACAACGAGGATAGAGACGGTAGCCTGTCGCTTTTGAACGCGAGTGACACGGGCCAAGACGATTGAATCCACTGCGGGGAGGGTATTGTATCGATCTTTGGGCTTGTTTGGCGTTGAGGCAGCTCGACTTGTGGCTGGAACGACCCTTGAGACTCGAATGGTTGGCTTTGTTTCTGTCTTGGGTTCGGCATTATCCACGATGACGGGACCAGCAATGGAGGCATAGATATTGGATTGTTGAATGTGTGTTCCGGGACCTGCGGTGTAAATGGAAGCAGACCCTAGGCGCTGGCCTGGGATTGCCACGGGTGAGATTGGTGTTGCCATTATGTTGATGGAAGCTTGTAAGTTTTGATGGGGGGAAGTTCAAGCGGAAGTGATTTTTTTTGAGAGCTATGGCCGGGGCCCGGAAGTAGGTTTCCCCGCAGGACCCGCTCGGGACTCACTTGGAACTGCGTGCATGTACTATAGAACATGCAGGACATACGAATACTAACATGACCTCCATGCTTGAAAGTTGAGACGATTCAATTATGAAAATCCCACATCTAGCATTAATACACGGTGTATGCGTAACAACACAGAAGACACGATAGCACCGACCCAAAATAAAATATCATAAAACATGGAAACAGTAGAAGAAAAACGGCCCTCAGCACTCCAAATGCCCGCTGTCAAAAGCAAAAAAAAAAAAAAGAAAAGAAAAGAAAAAAACTGAATTTCCAAGAATTCAATGCCCAGACTAACACCCAGGGAATAGTTGCGGGGAGTGACATAAGAGTTGAATGACTGAACAACGAAAATGAGGGATTTGCAATACGTTAGAAACAAGAAGAATAAAAGTAGGAGAAAATGTACCCTATGCTTCAACCAAAGTCTGCTTGGGACCAGCACCCAACAACTCCAAGCATCGTCGTGCAAGTGCAATCACTTCTCCCTCGCCATCATCCATATCTTCTTCATCAGATTCGATGTTCTTGTCAGAGATTGACTTTACCATTTGTACAATGTCCTCTGACTTGGAAATGTACCCGATGAGCTTCTTATCTTCGGATTCCAGCAACTGAAGAAGAGTCCAAATAGCGATATGCTGGAAAGTTGGATCTCCGCTTGCTAGGAATCGCTGGAGATAACCGTGGATACCGCCGTGCGGGTCTGTCCAGTTACGAACGAAGATTGAATAATCACCCACTAGGTTGGTCAGTAATGAATACAAAGAAAACAGATGAGACCAAGAAGGAAAAATCGGTTTACATACCTTTAGAAGAAAGATTGCCCAAAGCAGCTGCACTGTTTCCTTGCACCTCGACACTCTCAGAGTTGGTCAATGGGATCAAGACATCAAAGACGCCCAAGTTGAGGAGGTGAATTTTGAGGTCATCGCTGAGGGCCAGCACAGCGATTGCAGCGGTCATTTCGGATTGGACGGTCAGGGGAACGCGGAGGACCAAGTCTTTGCATTTCTGCACGGCACCAGCCTGCAGGACAAGCTCCTTGTTGCGATCAGAGCTAGCAGCAAGGTTACGCAGGGTGGAGATGGCATGGCACTGAATCTCCTCATTGTCAGTAGTCCCGAGCAAGTCCACCAAGGGCTTCAGGAAACCAGCTTCGATGATCGGGGACTCGTTGAGCGGGTGGATAGAGATGTTGCGGATACAAGCAACGGCCGAGAGAATCAACGGGAGATAGGATGATTGAAGCAGTCGAAGGAGGGGGGCGAGTCCCTTGGCCCGAACAATCTCCAGCTGATATTTCTCATCGGAAGCCAGATTGCGTAGAGCGAGAGCGGCTTGGCATTGAACCTTGGGGGTGGATGAGTCCATCAAATGGACCAATGATTGGACCAGACGGGACTCGGTTTGGGCTAGTCGCTTGCGATTGGTCGAGTCGACAGCAATGTTGCTAAGTGCGGTTGTACAGTAGTATTGGACGTCAACATCGGGAGAGGAGAGGAGGTGAACGAGAACAGGAATGGCGCCGGCGTTGACGAGTTGTTGTCGGTTATCGTCTAAGGGGGGTCAGGTTAGCGATCGGTCCCTCTCAGAAGAAGAAAAAAAAGGATTGCCTACCGGAATGGGTCATATTGAGCAGAGCTCCAGTGGCGTTCCGTTGAACGCGCATATCCTTGGACTTGGCCAGTCGGATGAGAGGACCCAGGGCACCGGATCGAGCGATCTTGGCCTTGTTCTCCTCGTGGGTGGCCAGATTTGTGATACAACCGACGGCATTGCACTGGACCTCGACGTTTGGCGACATCATTTGGCGGATCAGAGGGGCCAGCCCCCCAAGGGCGACGATCAAGACCTTGTTCTCACCTGGATCGGAGGGTTAGTTTTTCGATGGACACGTGCATTGGTGAGGAATTAGAACACCGACCATTGACGGCAAGGTTTCCCAGCGCTGCACTGGCAGCTCGCTGGACCTCTAGATCGGAGCTTTGCAGCAAGAATAGAATGGGATCCAAAGTATCGCGATCTACCTCTCGAACATCTGCCCAAATCGAATATAGAGGTTAGGTATTGCATCATCAGGGTCATTTTGCGTCATCACGCACCTCGTTCGGTGATTTCGGCGAAGGTTAAACTTGCGCTTCGCTGAAGATCAATGTTGTCGGAATATACGAGAGTGCTTAAAGCTCGCAGCGGCTCTCCTGAGAAGAAATCGGTTTCGGCGCGCTGTACAAGGGGGGGAAAAGAGGCACGGGTTAGCTCAGCTCATGTAACGGCAGTGACCAGGATTTGCCGACCGCAAGTTATGGATCGGAGAGGGATTGTATCGAGGCACGAATGGACATACATTTTCCAAGTAGCCTAAAAGATCGGAGACAGCTTCTCGTTCATTATCTGCTAAGGTTGTTTCATAGATGTCTTCTCGGGAACGACCAGCCCCGAGACAGGCGGTAATATGACACCATCGGTCGACGGCCGACAGGCACGACAGACAAGTGGTAGCGAATCCACTCATGCCTCCTTCAACAGGCCCGCATCAGGGCGTGAAAGTATATGCGATGAAGGTGAAGGGTGAAGTCGATAAATTGTGGGAAAGACGGGAGGCTGGTAAGGCTTGAAGCATGCGCAAGCTTTTTTTTCCCTTCGGGGCGGGGGGAACACAGGCGCGTGACGAACGTACGTTTGATTTCTGAGAATAGAAAGGGGGGGAAGAGATAATCGGGGATTCAAGGGAAGGGATGGAAAGGACGAAAGGTTGCAGGAGCTCACTAGTGTTTCCCCCACCCGTGCTCAAGGGAAACCGGGACCATCAAACGTGCGACTCGAAAGTATGTAGCTCTCTTTTACTATGAGAATCTTTTTTAATCTGATCTTTTTTTATTTTATTTTCAATCAATTTGTGAATATGTAAAAAAAAAATTAAAAAAATTAAATCTATCTTTTATTTCCTTACTTTCTTATACATATAATCTTGGTTAAAAGCAAAATGTATATATACAATCTTCCAAAGATGACTTGCTCTGATCTTTTAGATAACGGAAGCTTCAGCTTGACACATCGTGGCCATAGAGTACTGTCACTAGTAGTCACCTCGGTTGTCAAGTATAACAATGCAATTATTTTATTATTATTATTTTTTCATTATTTATTCTATATTCTTATTCTTTTAAACAGAATAAAAGAATAGATTCTTAAAGTCTTTTAATTTTTGAATATCTTTACTACTATCTCTAGAGTGATTCTTGGAAGTTCCGGGTCCGTGCAGCCTTAGAAATGACGTTTCATGTGATGTGAAATGGATCACCTGGCAAAGTCATGATATGGAGACATTGATGTTACAGAAAGATATTCATTATCTATTTCTCTCTCTGTATCCATCAGATGGCGAAGGGATTTAGGAGGGAAAAAAGAGAGAAAAAAAAGAAAAATTGCAAAAAAAAAAAAAAAAAAAAAAGAACAAAAACCCCCATTTTCCAAGCTAAACCAGCAGTGGTAACGATGGTCCGAGTCACTCTCTCCTTTTTTTCTCTCTTACTAGTATTTCTTTTCCCCGCAAAAATCAAATTCGAGAAAAAGGCAAATGACATAGCAAGTATCAGCGATAGGTCCTTAGTGGTTCAACTAGTTCACATGAGGCAAATGGGCCCATTCGATCTCTTATTTTCTCTATATTTAACAGATTCCCGTGGGTCTAGTCGTTTTTCCCTTGGTTCCGTTCAATCCTTTGGTTATATCATCAATTTCCTTTTAGATTTCGTACCTGGCGCATTTTGCCTCTTCAACTCTCTCTACTTTCAACTTCAACATGTGGTAAAAAATCAGAAAAAGAAAGCAAGAAAACCCTTTTTTTGAGCCGCTTCTTAGTCCAGTTGCCGATCTCACTCTGACGTACTCGGCTACTCTCTCTTGAGATCTGGAGTGTTCTGCGTGAGATTCTTGGAGATTCTTGGAGAACAAAAGAAAAAGCCTTGTCTCTTCCCCTTTCATAGGGAAAAAAAAAAGAAGTAAAGAAAGAAGGGAAAAAGAAAGCAACAGAAAGAAACATGTCTGCATCTACTGCCACCGCCTCCACGGTGTCAGACTCTCCTCGCCCGGGGCGTCTCCGTCGTCTTAGCCAACTACGCGCTTACACCCAAAATCTATCTTCCCCCACTGGGCAACGGGCCCGCAATTCTTTGAGTAGTCGAATCCCCTGGTTATCGCCAACTTCCAGCGATTTCCCTCAAAGCCAGGGGACCTCCACTTCATGTCCTGACGATCACTCACTATCCCGATACACTTCTGCGCCCTCTCCTACTTCCCGTCCCGATAGTCAAGTCTCAGTCGATTCTGCTCCTCCAGACCCCAACGCTTCGGGAATGGCTCGACTTCGAAGTGTCTCCGCCGTCTCAGGTCGGGCACCACGGCTCGGTCGCACTACCGTCCCAGAGGCCCTGTCCCAGCTACAAACTGCCCCCGTTCCACCCCCAGCGACCACCCCATCCCCAGAACCTCCCACCGCGAGCGAGGCACCAGATCTGCCCATCACAACTCTCGATGCGCAATCACCAGCCACCCCAAAACAAAGAGCCACCATTCGATTCTTCCCTTATCAGGATACCTATCAAAATTCACGACCCTCTTTACCCTTTGTGCCCGTCGCCCGCACCTTACCATCCGAGAGCTGTGTCATTCGAGTCGGTCGCTATTCTGAACGAGATGGCATTCCTATCCCCAACCCCACCGAGCCCTCAGATGCCCCCGTCGGCTTCAAATCCAAGGTTGTCAGTCGCAAGCATTGTGAGTTCATGTATGTCAATGGTCAGTGGCATGTCAAGGATGTGGGCAGCTCGTCGGGTACCTTTTTGAATCACATGCGCTTAAGTCAGCCTAATATGCAGTCCCGTCTTTATACCATCAAGGACGGTGACATTGTGCAATTGGGTATTGATTTCCGGGGCGGCGAGGAAATGATTTTCCGATGTGTGCGCATTCGTATTGAATGTAATCGCTCATGGCAGCAACAACCTAACGAATTCAAGTATGATCTCTCCCCTCTACCCTTTTTTCTTTTCTTTTCCTTTTGTCTTTAAGCTACCCACACTAATATATCCAACAGTAAAAACACGGAGAGCCTCATTAACAACCTGGGCAAGGGTGAAACTGCTGATTATGCTGGCTGTCGGGAATGCTCGATTTGTCTGGGCTCGGTTCTGGTGAGCCATCTTTTATTTCCTATGGATCCCGACTATTTCTAACATCTTATCCAGCGGCCATACCAGTGTCTCTTCATGGCGGCGTGTGCTCATGTCTGGCATTATAAATGCATCAGTCGTCTGCTCCATTCTCCCGATTACCCAATGTTTCAATGCCCCAATTGTCGCGCATTTACAGACCTGAGCGCTGAAGTTGATGACTCGAACGACTATGAACCTGAAAAGAAGGAGGAAAAGGACACACCAGCCATTGCTGGAGAAATCGCCCCTGAACCTCGTTCCGAGACACAATCCCCCGCCAATACCTCCCTAGTCATCGATACGCACCAACAAGACATCATTCCCGAAGAGCCAGACCTGGTCACCGATGTGGAGAATTTGCATTTGAATGGGCAGAGGCCAGACGTGGATACGGAAGATAGTCGAAGCACGGACTCCCCCGCTCCTAATGGGAGTCACGATGACCTCTCGCGTAGTGCCACCAATATACCAGGCTGGCAACCTACACAACCTCTCAACGTTCCCATCTCTCATCTTCGGGCAGATACTCCAGTCCGCTCCGAGACATCCGACGACAATCCCTTAACGCCTCGAAATGATTCAGGTCCCCTCGCCTTTGACGGTCGCGCAGGAATGCAATAACGGGGTTTCTAGCTTGGGAGTGAAGAAATATTCATGATCCATATCCTGCGATATATGGCCATAATGCATCTTTAACACGTTTTCGTTTTCTATGTTGAAACCATAAATATTAGCGGTTTGTTTGGATGCATCTACGTCTTTCAACTGCGGTCATATCATCTTTTTTCGTCTAATTTGACATTTTTCTCATGGCAATCTGGGGGTTTTTTTTGTTTTTCTCTTTGTTCCCCCCCCCCCCCCCCCTCATCCGGCCTTTTTTATACCCCTCTTGCAGCTCAAACTCATAACCCCTGGATATCAAAAGAACGAGGAACTTTCATTGATTGATTTTGTCCATGTTTGCTTTTACTCAGAATATCGACGTCTGGAGTCTCGGGCTTTCAACCATCCGCAATATTCAGGCATCTTTTCTAGAAATAAACAGACTAGATTTAAGAAACACTCGGCACGTGCCTTCTCTGATACCCCGCTAACATGATAATCACGAGTTTCCTTCTAATGCTTGTCCTGTACTTGAATTACGATAGCTATCTCAGAGGCAAGAAGTAAGTGCTGTCTCCTCCTTCAAATTTTGTTGATATCAAAGAGAATAAATCTCTAAATATATATATATATATAAAAAGAGAGATATCAGAGAGAGAATAGAAGCTTAAGCCTTTCGATGCTTGGATTTGGCCAAGGTTCAATGTTACGGCCCCACAGCATTCAATAGAAGCGGGGGATAAGGGATAAGTAGTATGGGGACAAGAATGACCCCACAATCAACTATGTAGCATTACTCCCCAGCAAAATCCATGCATTATAGCGGTACACATTGAGATATCATACACCATCTGTTGCTAACCGGATCAAAGTGATTTCGAAAGACTTCCAAGATCACATTCGAGCCAGAATTATCCCCACCAAAGTCTCCTCCCATACCGCCCGGAGAGCCCGTATCCGGAGGTCGGAAAACATCATGATAACATATACGAGCCTCTTCAGGAATAATAGTAGAGTATTCACCAGCATTAGTAGACCCATGCATAGATACCATGAGCTGGCTGTAATGTTCTTCCAATTCCATGCACTTCTCTGCCAGCAAAGCTTGAGGGGTACAAGGGAAAAACGCTTGAACAGGCGGTGCCTGGCGTAGCAATTCCAAAGCCTTCCGCCGCAGACTTGAATCACGGCACTTGATTGCTGTCAGGAATAACGGGAGGCCCAAGCCCATTTCGAAAGTGAATGGTGCTGATCCCCCCGAAGTTGCAAAAGCCAGGCCTGCATTCTCAACAATAATGGCAAAGTCATCGATGTAATCATCGTAGATTAATTGCTGCTGCGTCAAACACGTCGAAATGTATATGGAAGCAGCAGCATGGAACGCCAACATCACCGGCTCAGCCGGGACACCAGATTTGCAGAGATTTGTGTAAGCAAGCAGCCACTGATCCAGTTTCGTTTTGAGCATTCGCTGCTTGGCAAGCATTTCCGGCCCCGCGACAAACTCCCCAATAGGAGCTCTGCGAATCGGCATCGCCTCTCGCTCGAGGAGAGTGACCTCAGCGAATACAACCGAGATCGCCGTTCTTGCAGCATCAAGAGAGGTGAACTCGGTGTTCAAGTTCTGGTCGGCAAGGTTGAAAATCTCGCTGACTTGAACCACCGATATAGTCAGGGAGATGGCACCCAGCCTCAAGAATAACGGGATGATAGTGTTATCTAGAAATAAGGATCTGGGGAGGGAAAGTGCGCCAGCAGCAACTTGATGACGCAAGGTAAGAATCAAATTCACGCCTTGCTCGTAGAGCTGGAGAGCTTCGACCGCGCGTCCCTGAATGGCCTCGACACAGATGAATAGCACACAGCTAATCAGCGCGATATACGGATCTGCTTTACCGCGCACAATCTGGGAGTGGACGTTGGATATGGCGCGGGAGTACCACGTCAAGGCATCTCGCTGGGTATGATTGAGGCTGTGATTCTTTCCCTGGTGGATCCTCAAGAGCGGAAAATCCAGGCACTGGTCAGGATGTTCGTACAAGACGCTAATCGAGATGATGGCATCCCACACAGCAGGCTCGGAGCGACAAATTTGAGGGGCCACTTTGGTCCAGAAATCGAGGTTCATCCCAGCGGCAAGTCCCTTGGATACATTTTGGACATAGTATTCAAAGGCACGGCGCTCCCCGCAGCCTTTGTTTGGTGACTCGGCCAAACTGTAGCTAGGGGGGCGTGTATATAAGGTAGAAGATGCAGAGTAAGATAGATCAGTGACCCCATATTCACATTTGCGCCCGGTCTTGACGCATCGAAGACATAAGGGCTTCTCCTCGCCACATTTGACTCTTCGAATTCTAGTGGCTTGTTAGCGTTAGTGATGAGTGAGGGTTAGGACTGTACCTACTTGCAAGTCTGGCAGCCATATCTGGATTTGGAACCGCCGACCCGACGGCTTGGCGGAGTATCGGAGCCCATGCCTATCGCAGCCAGTCTTACACATGGTCCAAGAATAAAAAATCATGCATATGTGAAAGGTCAATCGTGACGTGACGTGGCTGAATTCAACAAAGGGGTATGTAGCTAAGTGGGCCCCTAGATTTTAATAGGGAGTAATTTGAGGGCGTCATTTGTGAATGAAGTTGTTCCCAACATCTGAAGGCTGTAAGACGTTCCCGAGGCCATTGGCTATACCGGAATATACTTGTTCCAGAATCCATTGTGTCTCTTCAAATGTGATGTGAGACAAAGAAAATATTCCAAGTTTTCAATGTTGCAGATGTCGAATCCCAAGCCTTCTGACGAATCTTGGATACAATGCCGTCCACAGTTTCGAGTCTCTCTGATCCAATATTTGAAGGTCCAAGTTCACTCTCTTTGTTGCACTAGGCTAATCATATACTTGCATTTTCGATCAAGCCCCGCCTATAATGAATTCTTGAAGATTCGATTAAGAAGAAAGATATTAGCTTTCATTCACAATCTATGAATAGTAAGGCCTATCTATATGTAGAGTTTTCAACCTTGGATTCAAACATCAAAGATTGAAAATGCAGGAACGTTGATCATAAATACTTGACCTTGTCCCCAGCCCTATCCATCTCTCACATTCTCTCCAAAAGAAAAAAAAAAAAAGAGGCCCAGCATCAAATTCAACATCAGCTAAAATCCCGGAGTCTTGAAAAAAAAAAAGAAAAATCCAAACAGCCTTACAGCCTTACAAGCCACACCATGAATTCCCTCGCAGTCGACTTCTATAGCCAGCGGACAGAGGTCGTGAACAATCTCAACAGCTACCGAGACCTTAAATTCCTCAAGAAGAAAACTCATGCATACGAGATGATCGTCCAAGGTATCAGAAGTGACATGCGAACCCTCGAAAACATGCTCGAAATCCCTGGTGACCGAACCAACCTCGGCACCCAGACCTCTTTGTGCTTCAGGGAGCGTGTCAACCGTGTAAATGTTTACCTAGATGACCTCGTTCTCGCCCTTGAATGCCACTTGGCTCGTGATGTACTGCGAGACTTTCTTCTTATTGTCGTTACAACTGTTGGCATGTTCAGACTTACAGGGATCGACGATTACTATGCTGATGAGATGGCCTTGAGGGCCAGGGAGCTTCACAAGAAGTACCGGCCAACGGTCAATCATTCAATTGAGTCCTACGAGTACTTGAAGAGAATGTGGAGGGATTTGAACTTTTATCGCATCGCTTGTAACTGCCCTCATTGCAAGGATCGGGATGTTTTTGCTTGAAGGACTGGAACTTGAACTTGGTCTTTGCGCTTGCGTTTTATTTTCTGGATTTTCTGGATTTTCTGGCTTTTGTTTCAAATTGTTCATTGAAATTCATTCCAGATGTCGTTTTGCACCTCTCTGATTATTTCTACTCTCACACGTAAATAGGATAAAGATTGACATACCGTAGAACAACTATACTTTGACTGTACTGCGAAACCAATCTATACATCTATATGGAGAAGGTTGTATAGCTCTGGAGCCTAGAGTTGCCTAGAGTTCCAACGTTGGGCTGTGCTCTGGCAAGGCATAAAAACCCCCCCATCTTCCCTTCAAATGTTCATCTCCTCATCATCCTTACATTTCCTTCAAGTTTTGGGCTGCAATTTTATTAAAGTCTTTACGAGATAATATTTGCCAGATATCCATAACTATTTGCTATATAGTCTATCGAAACCCAACAGCAAAACCACGACCATCCTCATAATGGATCATATAACCGACGGTTTGCGAAATACTTCCTTGTCGAACTCCGACTTTGACAATCACCCCGACTCAGAGCAGCTGCTCTTTAATCCTCAAGAGGGTAGCGGCTTCGCAACAACGGCGCTAGATGATATCCCTCGTTATCTCTTTCGCATCGCCTCCCCGAAATCCGATGGCGAAACAAACGACACATGGGTTCGCTCCGAGTCAGCCAAACAAAAGGAGACTTCATCTGCGGAGGATATCTTCTTTAATTTGAATAATAACAAGCAAACAAACGTCGCTCGAGCACTGAACCAGCATTTACGATGGTGGGGAAAAGATACCCCAGACAACTTTGTGTCGTGGACCAGCTCTTTGCTCTTTGCAATCCAGTACATCTACTACCGACATTTGAGTCTCGGAGATAGATCACATCTCAGAGATATCAAGCTTTTTGTCATCGACACAGCACTCTTTCCTCAGGGCACATTCATGCGCGACTTGGAATTGATCGAAAATTTCTCGGAATATGACACCCACGAACCCTGCGACAACCTGGAATACCTTGGAAGAATGCGAAAATGCGAGTATTATTACGGAGAGTATCTTTCACAAGGCCAACTTAAAATTAAGGGCAAATGCGAAATAATATCCGCCCAATGTCTTTTTGAAAGTGGTCGACTACGCCGTCTACAGCCTGATTTTCGCGAGATTTATAGACTTCCAGTAAAAAATGGAAAGCCGGACTGGGCTAAGGAAGTCAATCGCCTTCGCCAAAAGGTTTGGCCACTCGAATATACACCGTTAGATGATCACGAGATGGCAGAGAGATCAAAGGCCATTGAAGAGATTCTACAGGAGCTTACGCCGAGCTGGAGATTCCCTCTTGCTATCTACTTTACAGCCTTGATCGGCCCCGACTCCTTATATCGTCTGGAGCTGGATCAAAGCGAAAAGATAAATTATACATTCCTGAGGCATTTCGAAGCCATTTTCCCTAAGGGTGAGTACATGTTGGTCAGGAAATAACGCACATGGTCCCATTGACTAAGAAGATCTAGAAGAACAACATGCATTCAACCCTTTAAACTTCAATGTTGTCGCACCGGAGACAATGCCTGAGCTGCAGCAAGTCGAGGTACTTATTCATGATATACACTCGTACTACGAGCGCATATGAGCCTTAGGTTAGTGCTCAAACCTGACAAAAACACATATAATAAGCCCTTTCTAATATCACGTTTAGATCGACCAAAGGCAGTTCAATCTGATAATTCTACTTCGGAGAATCAATATGCTGTATAGTCGGTCCACGAAATACTTTCAAGATACTAATGTGAATGTTGACGAATAAGGCTTCAAATGTTATTTATGGTCGTGGCTCAGGTCAACTGGTACGACTTGCATGTGAATGGCGAGCGTGGATAAGGAGGGTTAAATGGATTCGTCCGTTCCCAAGGTTAATGATATGCACATGTGGATTATTTTTTATTTTCTACATGTATAGATACCAGGTGAATTTGTGGACAGGAAACAAGCACTGAACTTGAGTTATGAGTTAAATAAATTGATAAATGATATTATTTTCTTACACTGCGTTTATGAGAACCAAGTTACTGTAGTTTCTCATACTGGTATATTGCACATTTCCCCTTGCTTCCTTCCTTTGATTCTGGCACTCATGCTCTGAATGTTATAGAATAAGAATGAGCCCATGTTGATATGGTTTCATTTTCATCTCATTTGCAAAGAAACATCCGGGGTTAGATTTGCGTCACCAGAGGCCGTGGTATGTACAAGGTGGCTTTAGACGGGACAAACAGAGTAAAGCAAGCATCTTGTATCATCAAGAGCCGTAGCCAGATAATTCCGCAACGGTAAAATAATCGCCATAGGATGATTTGATGTGTACTGGGAGAGACACGGGCCAAGGATGCGAGGCAAGTCACAAGTCTGAAAATTCACGTATCATATAAGACAGGAATGGAAATGTAGGACACTTCATGATGCGGTAATCATAGAGGGTGATGCGAGGCTGTCCGTTGAGTTTTCAGATTCGAGATAAACTGTATTCGAGGCCTCAAGTGGTGGAAAGGCCTCTTTTATATCATCCGTATGTAAAGAAGGATGGTCAGGAGTTGATATACTAGTTGCGCGTGATGTATCGTAATCGTCGTCAGTGATGGTTGTCGTAACGGACATGTTTTCAGACATGGTAGAGTTGGAAAATGACTCAACTGTGTCATCAGGGACACATTCTGGCATTTCAACCTCGGCCTTGTGTTGTGCTGGGAGCGGGCCCTCAATCGCTTCATAAAAAAGCATGAAAACACCACCCTGAGACATCACGTGGCCTTCGCTGACCATTTGCACATCGTCGTCACTCAGTCGGTACCAGCGTTCGGGTTTTTCCTTATCACCCTCTGCTTGGAGAACCTCATCTGGGATAGGGGCTGGAAATACACAAGTCGGATACTTGCGGTAACAGATGTAATGTCCGTTCTCGTGTCGACCATAATGAGTGATGATAGCCCGAAGCTCATAGTGTCTACTGGGCAGCGATACCGCCTGACCAGGCGAGGGGAGCATGGATTCAGAGGGATTTGTCTCCCATTGCTCTAGTGAATTCTCAGACTTCCCAGCCTGAGTACCAAGGCACCAATGATTCAAATCCATATGCCTCGGGAATTTGACAGCCGCATGGTTCTTCTTCAGCATTCCAGTCATCTCATCGAAGAGACTTCGATTGACGTGGACAGCCAGGCACTGTGGCGCGCGCGCGATAACTGCTTGTCGGGATTTGGTAGTGGACACTCGATTTTTGGACGGGATACGACACTTGCTGGTCAGTGTCTTATCGGCGAAATCATCTTCATCAAGGGCAGTCTGTACAGAATCAAGCCGTTCTTGTGCGGAGATCCTTAAAGCATCAGATAAGCCTGGTGTCTGTAAGCTGCTATCGGGTGAACTCTCGTCATGGGTCATGCCACCGAGGAGATTCTGGAGTTGACCCTGTGCGCGCAGCAATGTACATTTGGCACACTCCACCCCCTCAATGGGTTCTAATGTCATGTACTGATCCAAACAGTCGCGTACGTCATACTCAAAGTTCTCACCGAGTGGCACGGTAAGGCAGTTGAATGGAATGAGCGACAGCCCCTCGGTCCAACCACATTGCATGCAGCCTACTCGTTGAGCAAGCAAGCCTTCCAGTGGATTGCGGAGGGAAGCTTTCTGGATCACGTCCTCCTCGGTCTCTTGGTTGTCATCGCAGATATCCTTGAGGATGTTTTCCTCTCGACCAACCATCTTTAGCCCCATATTCCTTGTCTGTCCACGCGATGCTTGTTGGATTTCGATATCGATTTGGTCCACCAATTTGGAGAAATATTCTTGCGCATCTTGTTGTTGCCAGCTGCTCATGGATTTCAAGTCCGAGGGAATCCATAGCTTATGTCCATAATTGGATGCACTATTTAGATGGTCGATTATTTCTTTGAGTGCCTGGTGTGTAGAAAATGACCCTTTCTCCCCTAGAGAATCGATATTTCGCCCCAGAAAAGTGGCAAGAGTCTTCAAAGAAGCTAGCCCTTGAATGATGCTATTCTGGTAGCAAGAGTTGTCCCAATTTCCTAGTCCCGGGGGTATCGCATCGTTGCTGTTGCCCAGGAGGGCGTTTCCGAGACCCGATAAGGATCGCGAACGAGTAATCAATGGAAATGAGTTGTTGTCAAGGCCACAAATTCGCTGCATAGCTTCATTTTTGGCTTGAAAAGTCATCGGCGTGGGTCTGGAGGGAGAGGATTCGGATGGCGACATGCGAGTATCTAACGCGACGATGACCCAAGACGGGGTCGCGAAAACAAGCACGTTCCAGGCGATGCGTATTAATGAGACCGGAGCGAAGCCGAAATGATCGAGGAGAAGGTAGACCGAGAGAAGAGCAAGGAGAGCATAGGCTAAGGTTTCGTTTTTCTGTAGCAAAGTGAGAGTGGTATCATCGTGGCTATTCGGGCTTGCGTAATGGATGGGGCCAGTCGAGAAGATGTTAGCGCCCTCCCGGCGGGCATTCATGGCGTTAAAGAGGAATCAAATGAGCCGCAGCAGGAGGAGGAAGGCCTGTGGAGCATGGGTCGTAAATTTCCGAGGGACAAGGGCGAGAGGGCCAAGGTATTGTCTCAGAGTGAGAGGGTGGAGAAAGAAAGTATACAAACGTTTTGATTTTCAATCCGGGGCTGCGCTTTGGGTTCATCGCGCTCTCCGCGAAATTTTCCTTTATCGATAGGAAAGTCTCCACACATATTTTTTTTTAACTCTAAACATCTCCCACCATGGCTAAAAGTAAACGTGAGTTGCACTGGATTACTTGGATTTCAACATGTCTAACTTATCCCTCAGCTAGAGTAAACAACACTCGTGCCGCAAGGCGAGCGGCTTCGCCGGTAGACAAGTCTCTGGTTGCTGCCCCTCGAGCTGAATCGCCAGCCGCTGAACGTCCTTCCGTCTTGGCCGAGCGTCGCAGTTCCGGTATTCAGAAGAGACAGGCACAGAAGAAGATGTCCAGGTCGCAGCGTTTGAGACAGCAGAAGGGCATGGACCGAGCGGAGGCAGTCTCAGACCAGTTGCAAATTAAGAAGGCCAAAAGTATCGTTCGCGGAAAGGCTGTTAGAGCTCGAAGTGTATGTATTTCTACTGAAATTACCCCGTCTACCTTGAATATCGACATGCTAACAATGTATTCCTCATTTCAGGGTGAATGGGAAGAGTTGAACAAGAAAGCTTCAAAATCAGCTTTCGCTGCTCTCCAGCAGGACGATGAAGACGATGAAGATGATAATGATTCCATGGCTGAAGATACTGCGCCCACAAAGTCCAAACCCAACCCCTTTGCTGCTTCTCATGAGGCCGATATGGTGGAGGATCCTGCGACCGTTGATGAAGATGATCAGATCACTTGAACAATGCCGATCTATTAGTATAAGGAAATTTATTTCCTCGGCCGGAGTTGGTTGATCATGCGCTCGATTTCCGTAATTGCAGGACCGGACGCCTTGGTCCGAAGGAGTTCGAGAGTGTTCACGTCCTTGGCCTTGTGTGCCTCTTCTCCCGCCTTAACGATCATTCCACACTTGATCCACATTTCAATTCGGTCGGGGACTGGTAAATTTGTGCATTTAGGGACGAATAACGAAGCAAGCTTTGTGTTTCCGGCGCCAAGGATCTCGTTATAGAAAGGCTGTTGTTATCTGGTGTCAGCATTTATCCAAAGCAACTCCATGATTAGAAAATCTTACCTCCCATCCGATTGGGGACTTTTTGCTCCTGCCAATCTCTTCCAGCTCACCCCAGTCACGTTTTGCCACCAGGGCTCGAAGGCGCAACCACCAGTAGGTCTTCTCAGGCATCTTAAATTCGCTCTGCATCTTGTGTGCCCGTTTTCCGTAGCCAGCCCGGAAAAGCCTGTAAACTGTTTCGTTCAAACTGAGACCCAAGAACTCTGAATGGTCTGCAAGATCCTTATCCAATGATTCCTGTGCTTTGAGGAGCTGAGATGCCTCGGAAATCAGTTTTTGTTGTAAGAGCACTGTGGGATCCTTCGAGTCTGATAGCAGACGCGATGCAAGCGCGAGTTTCTCCGTCTGACGTTGGGGGTCTGATTCGCGCAAGGCTTCTGACAATAGTGCATTTGATCCATCGATGGGACGATCATCTTGGTAGTATAGATCCTTCAGAAGCTCGGGGTCTTCATCTCGGGCTGCAGTTTCAACAAGTGCAGATGCCATGGGACGAGAATTGATCATTCGGAAGAAGCTTGCCAAGGGAATTGTACTCTTGAGGTGCAGAAGAACATAATTCACTAAGTCATCATCTCCACTTTCAATAGCCTTGTCCAAAGCAAGTTCATCTTCCTCCATGTTCAATAGTAGTGGGACTTGTTTGCCAGCCCTTGGTTCGTGGTTCAATAGCTGCGTAGCCAGGTGCGATCGCCCTTCATCGTAGGCTGTTTGTGCAATGATTTCGAAAGAGATACCTGGTTTTCCTTCCAGTTTTTGGACAATGAGCTTGCATACAGCCTCATCATCCACCGTAGAAACCCGGACCTTTTGGCTTGCCCAGTGGACATAGATCCGGTCTGCAGGAATCTGGAGATATTCTGAAACTCTGATAGCAAGAAGATACTCATGACGGCTGATTAGGCGCTCAATGAGCCCCTCTGGAGTGAGACGCAGATATTGTTCATATGATATTGGCAAGCCGATTTGATAATCCCTCAATGCCGTCAAAACTCTCAATTTTTCAGTCATCTCAACGAATTCATCACTGTTGTAAAGTTCGAGAACTGATTTGCCAAATGATGCTGCCTTCAGTAAACGTTTCTGCCAGTAAGCATCGAATTCATGACCTGCAGCTTTGATGCAAGTGTCAACCGCTGCAGGAAGACTTGAGCGAATACGCTGAATGTTTTCATCGGCTTTCGGGGACTTCTTTTCCAATTGGTCCACGGAATCGAGGAGCACCGAGGCAGGCGCGCCAGAACCAAGTCGGAATATTTCCTCCGTGACGGCGTGGACTTTATGCAAAAATTCGCAGGTATCATTTGTGAGCAGACGAACTCCGTCAAACTCGGGTATGACATGCACACGGCCATCATAGTAGTATCTATATCAAAGGTTAATCATCATCACCAATGTAAAAAAGGGTCACCTACTTGGATGAAGCACCACTGGGACCAACAAGATGAATCTCATCTTCCCAAGCCAGAATGACTGCGTCATCCCCACACCATTTCACGGTACTAGGGGGCACTCTAGACTTTGAATCATATTCGCTAAGCTTGCTCTGGAAGTCATTACTGACAACCCACAATTTGCCTTCTCCGGTGAAAAGTGCCACAAACTGCCCCATTGGTGAGACGCTAACATGTTTGAATGGACCATCTTGCAGAATCTTATCTTCGGCCTCTGTAGAGTCGATCAAATAGACCGTCTTATCAACAGCGAGCAAGACCTCCACGGAGCGTGAAAGGGTTTGGGCGGGTGGGATCAATGCCCATGATGAGACTTCACCTTCCGGACAAGGAGCTAGAAGCTTGGGTCGGGGTTCATCATATTTCGAGACTGCAATGAGCTGGTTATTGGACAGCAATGCCACAAGACCGGATGACCAGAATTGACACTCTCTCACGCCATATTCTTCGGCGCCCTAGTTTTGATTAGTTCAAGTTCAAGGAGCCAGCTTCAAAGGTCATCTCACGTTTCCAAGAGAAAAAGAAGTGAAGTCGCCATCCAAACCGAAATAGCGGCGAACAGTGCCATCTTCAGCAACGACTAATAGCTCCTCTTTGTCGGACCAGCCGATCCCGCGGATGGTGGCTTGTTCCCACTTAACATAACAGTCAGCTTTAAGAGTTTACCGAAGTGGTCTTATTTAAACACACATTGATTCGATTGATTTGCTTTCCAGAGCAGGAATAAACATCGATACTCGACCGGGAAGCCTGTGAATCCCGCAGCCTAATGGGCTTGCTCTCGTCGCGATAAAGCGCTAGACGAATCTCTAGTTTAGCTGGGTGCTCTTCTAAGTCAAAGAGAAGCCATACCGATAGCTCCACCGTACGGCGCGCCCGAGACGATGTAGTTCTCTAGTTCAACCTCCTCATCGAATATGGCGTCATATACAGGGATTTTGCGATAAAAGCTGTCGCCGACCTTCTCCCAGTTGGCGAGAGGGTTTGAAGGTGCCATTTCGAGACACTAATTATCACAGACGATGGCCCTGGAAAGACCATACACCCGTATCCCCGTGTCAATGTTGGTGACGGATTGAGTGAAACCGCAGCTTGATCCCGGGGGTTCGCGCTAGTCTTCTTTAGGAGAGCTGTTGGTGGCTAATTATTAAGGCACTCAGGCATCAAACGGGTCATATGTTCAAGTCCGCACCTATTTGTCTCCACTTGTCTACTACTTTATCCTGTCACTTCTGCAGGGACCAGGTAGTCCATGGAGTTCAAGAATGGATGACATGAGTCTTGAGGATGTTGCACGACAATTGTCCGATATCGAGGTGGCTGTCCTTCTATGTCTCGCCGCCCATGAACATTGTTTGATTGAGACCACGGGCGACTCGATTGATGACCTTGGCAGAGAACTAGCACTTGTATTACACCTTGCAAAAACAAAAGAGGATAAGAGTGATATAAATGCTAATGCAAAACCCAGATCTGCTCCAACACATTTGATTTGTCATTTTCTATTCTCGAATGTGGGCCCGAGACTTCCATCGAAGAAATTCACAATGATATCCTTACTACGGATGCCCGCAAGACCCTGGCCCGCCCGTCATATTCTCGGGCAAAAACCGGATCTGTATGATGTCCGGCCAAGGGGAACAAACAGTTTTGAAGATTGACTAATGATCACAGTCCAGCAATCTTTCCTATGTTGGCGGACATCGGGACCGCAGCAAGTCCCCGATCCCGAGTATGATAGCTGATGAGCCAAATGTGGTGAACATTATCATCGCCAAAAACTTCAATTTGACTAGCGAAGATTTTCAGGTTCAATCGTTACAGGTAAAACCCGGCGATTTGACTGCGAACCAACTTATTCATTATACTGACTACTACAGTTAATGCGGACCCGGCAGTTGGTGACAGAAATCGGAATCCTCAATGCGCCTACAGATTTCTTGTTTGTACCCCTCGTGGCGCGGGACTCTGCTGAACTACATCCACCGCTAAAGACCCATCTGGTTAGTAGTGGTTTCAATTTATTATCAGCCGTGAGGATTTTCTAATGTATTTTCTACAGCGTGATCAGTTGTTCATCTCACATTACCACGAGCCTGAAGATGGGTTTATTTACCTTGAGGAGAATGATTGGCTTTCTGACGGCCAACTGTCTGCGTCCTCTGTGATCCACACCCCAAAATACCCCCAGAAAATGAGTGCAAAGGTCAGCAACATGGTAAGTATTATCTACCGCATCACTTGCCAACGACCACCTATCTCACTTTTCAATCTTACAGGTCATACAAAAGCTCCGCGAAGCCAGCAAGTCAACAACTATGAATGCTGAAGTGGTTCGGTATATCCAAGATATTGTTGTTTTCTTGCGTCTCAGTCGCGCAGTTGCTGGTGGAATATCTGCAAGGGCAAACAATCAATTCGCTCAACTCGCACAGTACGTTGTAATTGAATCGCCTGTTAAAATTGACCGCAATTAACTCGGGCTTGCAGATTCCTGACGCCGTTACATGGAATCGATTATCTCACACCTTCAATCGTGGAATTGGCTGCTAGAAAGGTATTTCGCCATCGTATTATTGTTGCCTCTCCCGGTGATGATCGAAGCCTCCAATATGGAAGTGATCTAGTCACAGTCTCCCGTGTACTAGCTGAAGTGACACCGGACTCAGTTTTGGATGGTGTACTCGAGTTGGAGCCACCGATATAAGTATTGACCACGAATCGTTGAATAGATTCGAAATTGATGATAACTGTTTGTGGTTTGAGATCAATTTCTCCCTAGGCTTAGAGAAGAAGCCAACATTAAATCTTATTTGATTGTTTCCCCCGTTCAATGGTAACTATCTTTCCCGTCAGTTGTCTAATTTGGTGCAACTGGTTTATCTGAATAAACATGTGATAACCGCCCAACGAAGATGTGAACTAAAAAGATACATGGCAAAGATTTCACTCAAGATAAATATGCAAAGAAATCTGGCTCGTAAAAATGAGTCGCGATACGCTCAGAAATGTCGCTTGTCAGAAAACTCCAAAGTCACTTGGTCATTATCAGCATGTCAGTAACTCGGAGACTATTCGTCAGCCTCGAAGTTTGCCCGGCGGCTCTGGTGGCGCTGGTAGTGAGTAATGCGGCGAGCCTCCATGAAGACGTTTGCCGGACCTTGAATATTGCCATCGTCACGCATGGGATAATGGCGACCATGAACCATTCGGTCTTCGACACCACGGACAAAAACATCACTCAGGTGCTGAATTTCCCGAATCTGGCCACTTTCCAGAGTATCCTCCAAATCAATGAAGCCCTCTCCTGAGTCTATTTCTTCTTCCTCGCGTACCTCGATACGCATCGCAGGGCGCAAAGTTTCAGTGGGGGTAGGAACACTGGGAGAATCACTGGCAGGGTGGCTCAAAACTCCATCTTCACGGAAAGCAATGTCAATAAGAGCCTGGGAATAAGGGAGGACGCCAAATGCATCCTGCTGGCGGGTAGCGAGACGTGCGAGGTCGTTTTCAGGCTCAGGCTCAGGCCGGACGGGAGAGTCATAGTCGGAGCCAGTGGCGAAGATATTTTCCTTATCCTCTCCATTTTCAGCATGGGCGTCTCGATTTTGGGGCCGAGGTGATTCGCGGTCGACTGGGTCTTCGTAGATATCGAAGGACCAGGAATCGCTGGCGTTGGTACGGGCTCCCCAGATGTTGCTGGGGCCAGTAGTGTCCATTCTTGGCCAAATCTGGCTCGAGGCGCCGAGTCGGGCACAAGGAGAGCTGTTCACGGAGTCGGGAGGAGAGTTACCCATCCCGTTGTCTTCTGGGCTTTCTGGGCTTTCTGGGATGGGAGTTCGGTCTGAACAGTAGGAGAAGATGATACAAGTAACAGGGATGTTTTGATAGATCAGCCAATGGTAATGTTTGGGGGGAGGGTTCAAGGGCTTACCTCTTCGACTGTTGGAATGAGGCATCACTCCAGAGAAGAGCGAAATGTTTGGTGCAGTGGAGGACTCAGTGGAGAAAGGCACCCATGACTGGGATCGCAATTCCATGGAATGAGATGAGCATGGGTAAGCTAGAGGCAGCTGGGGTTGGCAAGGTGGGGTGGAACCCCAGTTTGAAGGTGAGTTGTTCATCTTCAAGACGAGAGGCGCGTGCAGAGTGTTGAGCCTGATTGATATATCAAGGCACGTGGACTTCTGTCCAATACAGACAGGCACGATTTTCAGACGAGCAGATGGTAGATACGCTGCTTGTCCTCAGAGGCACTTTGCTTCACTGGCCAGAGAATAAAAACCTCCAAATGAGATATGCCCTTGGTTGAATATTTTGGAAGGGAAAGAACGACCTAGGATTGTTTATGTCTACTAGTAATTATTCACGGATGTACCAAGTATGGGCTGAATTGAGTGAATAAAACCCTAGATTAGGGCCAGTTCTTTAGATAGGACACAGGCGACTGGAGATATTCCTTGACAATGATCTAAGCAGGCTCGAAAGGAGACCTAGATTTTATCACCTGGGGGCATCAGGTTGCTTGAAGAGCTCGTTCTTTGGAGTACATAGTCTTATGTCTGCAAAATATCAGCTTAGAGAGAAAGTCAATAGAATACATTAGAAGGTCAGGGTAATCGCCGCGAGTTTTCGCTCATGTGCTCGTGATCAGGTAGATATTGGATAACGCCGCTTTCTTAGACTCTGCATCTCTCTGGAGGCTAGTATGCGCAGTGATCAGAATCGGGTTAAGGGTCCACCAAGAGTTTCCGGGAACAATAATTGGCAGAGATGGTTTGTACATACCTTCGGGCTTCATCGGCCGCTAGTAAGATCTCATAGATCTATAGTTCTTGGACACAACATTCAAATGAAGATGTACATGTATGCATGTGTGTACTTTCAACCCCGTATACAAAATGAGATGCACATGATCAAAGCGAATCCCTTTATACAAAGAATCGGTTGACATTGAAGCACTCAAGTTGAGAAACATCGACTTTTTTCAATGCTGGGGTATCCTAGAGTATCTACTACATAGGTCGTATTGATGTATGCACAGTGCCAGCACTTGAGTGATCTAGTAGAAATATAGATTGCAATATCAGGTTATCGCTAAAGTCGGTAGCTACTAATAAAACAGCAGAAGCTATGCTTCCGGAAGATCATCACAATCCACAAACCACTAGATCTTTAAATCGTTTCACCCAGTCATCGGTGTTCATTGGTTCAGCTTCAACTAAGCACACAGCAGGTCACATCTTTCGAGAATGGTCAACAGCAGAGGAGGCGGGGGGAAGGAAAATTGAGCCCCGGCAAGATATGCAGCAAAATAAGAGTAAGGCACAGCCAAAAAAAAAGCTAGAGCCGAGATTGGGGTAATATGAATCAGGTGCGAGCGTGGGCATCATGATATCAAAGAAGAACACCAGCGAAGACAAGAAAAAAAAAGATAGATAAGAGGGAAATGAAACTAAAAAAAGAACATAGTGCTTTGATATCTCGAGAAGATGCAACGTTGCCGTGTAACCAGACTGAGTTAAAACCAATTTAGGAATCTTGCGTCCCATGCTGACCGCATGTATTCACAAACCCCAGGTCAGCAGTAGATGATAAGCTGGGTAGAATGGGAACAACATCTTTATGGATGTTATATTGCGCAGATTCCGATTTACCGGAAGTGACCAGGACCGACCATGCCGCCTCGCATATCCCCACCATTGGGCTGACCAAACATCTCAAGCAAGTGACGAGAGGAAGGAGGAGGACCCTGGGGTCCCGGGTTGCCGGGTCCAAATGGGCCTTGGCCAGGCCCAAGTCCCATCATAACCTCCGGGTTAGGTGGCATTGGGGGGAATCCGGGTGGTGGGGGACCACCCATGTATCCAGGCGGGGGCATCATGCCGGGAGGAGGACCACGCGGAAAGCCTTGTCGTTCGTTGATGGGTGGCTGAGTGTTGGGCATTGGCATCATGCCAGGAGGGAAGTTGGGGGGCATGCCGCGGTTTGGGGCAGGAATTCCAGGCGGGGGACCCATAGGTCCATTACCTTGCTGAGGGGGAGGAGGCTGGCCAGTCCATCCGGGAGGAGGCATGTGCTCCAAGCCCGGTGGTCGCTGGAGAATCGGGGGCTGCTGCTGCTGTTGAGGGCCCTGTGGGTGTCGAGAACCCCCAGGAGTCATGGGACCTTGGTTCTGAGGGACGTGTGGGTAATGTCCATCATCGAAATATCCCATGGGAGGTCCGTTGGCCATTCGGCGCCGGAGTTGCTCACTATCCGGTCGCTGCATGTTGGCAATTGCCGGGTCGTCTAAGAAAGTTGGTGTTTTCTGAGCGGTCAACCCAGGCGGGGGACGGGTCATCATTTCTTGCATCAGGCCAGGGGGAGGTGGTGGACCGCCATTCGGAGACTGAGGCAAATGTCCAGCAGATGGAGGACCACCCCGAACTTGTTGCATTAGGCGGAGCAGGTTCTCTCTATCACGAGAGTGAGGATCTTTACCAGCAAATTGGGCCATTGGGTTTTCCTGTGGAGGGCTGGCGAATTCGCGGCGCAACCCCGCTGGAGTTGGCATGTTCATGGGCCCACGGGGCTGCTCTCCCGAAACCATTGACAAAGATCGCGATGCATGCGATGAATCGGCCTGGTTAGGGGTGCCGTTATTTGATCGGCCACCGCCACCACCCAGCATCTGAAGAATCCGCTGGAAACCTTCCTGATCGGCATCACTGTGGGAACTGAGAGGTGTACCCGCAGACTGGGTCTGGGGAACAGGATGAGGCTCGGGGCCTCTGGAAGGGCTGTCAGGGAGAGGACTGAATAGTCCTGCGAACCGAGAAGATTTCCCAGGCTTCCCGCTAGGGATTTCTTTCTTGGTGGGCGATTCAATCGCAACAGGGGCTGGTGGGCTGACTTCCTGGACTGTGGGCGGCTTGGGATCACCTAGCATGCCAAAGAATCGTTCCATCGAATTGTCACCCATATACTGGGCGCCAGAGTTGCTGAAGATCTCTCCGTCAGTGCGGCGAGACTCCGGTTGCTGTTGCTGATGAGGAGTATCAGGTTCCACGTGAGCTTCCGTCTTCTCTTCGTAGGTGGGCTTTTGCGCGGCACCGCCAGAACCAGCCTTCATGGCCACTTTCCAGCGCTCAAACTCTTCCTGTGTGTGTGCTCGTCGTGGCTCATCACGTTCATTGCTGTCCAACCACTCCGGCTCCTGCTCCATCTTGCCACCTCGGTTCCAGTCACGGTCTACACCATGTCGGTCACGACGCCATTCTCGATTGCGAAGTGGTTGTTTATCATCATCAGCTTCGACACCATCCTGAGCCTGCTCGTCGCGGAACCAGTTTCCATCATATTTGGTTCTTCCCGGGGTGGTGACGTCTTTCTTCACAAAGCGTGGGTCTTTGTTTTGCGGTACTCGTTCAGTGTTGAGGTCTCGAGGATTCTCTCGGTTTTCCCATCGATCGAAATCCCCGTTCCTTCGTGGTTTGCGATCTCCCTCCTCGGGACCGAAGGTGCGACGTGTGCGGCCAGCATTCCAATCTTCCTTGTCCACGCGCCGGCCGTTTAGACCCGGCTTTACATCACGGCGTTCCAAGTCTTTCTCTGGGGCATCCTTCTCCTTGAAAAATCGATCCCGGAAATTGAACCGATCGTTCTTCTCGTCTGAGTCAGTTGGCCGCGCAGTTCGATCTGTCAAATCAAAGGATCCTTTACCGCCGATGCGCGACGATGCAAAGGCCGTCTTCGGGGGTCCAAGAATAATGTCTTCTGTATCAGTTGGAGGATCAGTTAGTTACTAGATCAGTGGATATTGAGAACAGGCGATGGAGAGTACCAGTGGGCACAAGCGCACCTGAATTGGAGCCGCGGGCGATATGACGAGCTTCAAAAAAGCTTCCTCGTCGAGTGGTAGTAGTAGGGGGTTCATTTGGGTTATTAGGATCTCGGGTGGTTTGTTGTTTGCGCTGGGTGGTAGTGTCAGGTTGAGGCCTGGAAGAAAGGCAGGTTAGTCTTGGACTCTTGACGTGGACAAGTGCGGGATGTGCCCCAAAGTGGGGAGGGTTGGATAGACTCACATCCATTCTTCAATGGGGGGTAGGCCAGGGGGTTTGATGACCAGAGGTGATTCGCGCAGCCATAATAGCTCATCGATTTCGTACCGTCGCGCCATGACGGCCCTATCTCGAGCGGTGTGTGCGATGGGTATTTTAACAGGATTTATGATGCTCTCATTGGGCTAAAAGGGGGGATCGTAAGGACAAGGGACGCGACAATATCAATCGTAAAAATTTGGTAAAGCCAAGTGGCAGGATAGTAAAGGAGAAGTGATTTTGGTAGGAGGGGATGTGGAACGAGGTTGTTCTTCGGGAAATGAGGTGAGTGAGGAGAAGGTGTAAGCCACTTTGTGGCAAGGCCAGGGCGGAGCCGGGAATCGGTAAGAGACTTGTGATCCACCAACTTGTTCGGACACTTTCCAAGAACAAATGCTTGACAAGCTGTAATAGGAGAGAAGGTTTTAGAGTAGAACGAAAGGGCCAGAATATGTGAAGATAAAAGGAGTTAAGAGGATTACAAGACTTTGGAAGCTTTGGGAGGATTTTCTTGAACGTGCGGAAAAGGGAGGCACAAGTCAAGGCCAGCTGATCTATACCTTAGCCGTAATATCCTTTCAACCCTTTCAACCCTTTCAATCCTTATAATTTCTTTGCTTTTCTTCTTTTTTCTTTCTTTCTGAGATATTTGGGATTGACCATGCTGTAACAATGAGAGAAGTATCCCCTCTTTTTGATCTGTGTTGTACAAGTACTTGACATTTATACCAAAGATTCCCAAGCTGCAGTTATTTCGGCCTGAAGCTGCCAGATTTCTCGGTCAAGTACTTGATACTGCAATCCCAGTAACCAACTTGTAACATTCACTGTATGGAATTTCGTCTTGTATTTTCTGTTATGAAACAGGTATGCCATTTTAGTTTCCAAGGGGGAAAAAAAACCAGAATCATTTAAATCGAATAGGCACCGTCCTAATGTGTTAGGCAGTCAAGAATGGAGAGGTGTACTAGTAGATACTTTGTACTAGTTAGTAGTCTACTTATTGGCCTTGATTGCAATATCCTATCCCTATTAAACAGCTCGACTTTTTCATGGGTTTTTATTATGATATGAGATCTCTACTAGCTCATTACCATCCCTCATACACTTGAACAATTTCTATAATATAAATCATATAAATTCTTGTGCTTGAATTCAATTTAAAAATGTTTTAAGGTTGGAAAATTGGGCGGAGCCAAGTTGACCAATCAGAGGTCGTGAAATTTCGATGGCATCGGAACTTCGCATCCAAGAACGAGAAAAAAAAAATAACACCTCCAACTCTCCAAATATGGCCAACGTCACAGAGCACCCATTTAGGGTCAAGAGGAGAAAGCTTGATGAAGATTCTCATCCAAAGCAGGATGTGTCATTTACATCCCCAGCACAGCTCCGTGGACTGCTGACTTTTCAACAGAACCCCCAGCTGGCCAATAAAGGTGAGCCATGATACTCCGGCGCTGGTTGCTGTTGCCCGGTAAGGATTCGGACTGACCAAGGCCCACAGGAATCATCCAATTTAAGCAGTTTCTTCTGTCAATTGGAGAAGCCACTCAGACTGACAAGACTCAGAAGCTGAGTATTCTGAAAGGCTACTGCGATAAGCAAATCACTCCCGCCAAAGAAGAAGGTGCCGAGGCCGTCTGTTTCTCAGATATCACTCAAACCTGGAGCTATGGAGAAAGCAGCAACCATGATATGTTGTTGACCAATGTTCCGTCCGTGCTTGCCATCTTTCTAAAGACCATCTCCGGCGACCTGGAGTTCCGGGATTTTGGCGTCGCGTTGTGCAAGCACCTGTTGCAAAAAGATCAACTAAGGCTCTTCAACCGTGGCCTGACCGCTCTCAAGTCTAAAGAGCATCTTATCTCGCCTTGTCTCCGCCTGCTGACGGAGATCGTTACTTTCGATGGCGGTGCCGTGGCCCGGCAACTGTATCTTCGCCGTCACATCACTTTCAAGCGTCTCGAGATGTTCTTGACACCAAGTAAGGCACAGCTGGAGACCGCAGATGGCGAATCTCAACAAAAGTCGACCCTTCGGCGAAATGCTCAACGTTATCTTCTGGCCAATCTGAGAGTGCAGCAACATCTAGAAAAGGGTGATATCATCGAGCAACACAAGCTCACCAGGGCTTTCCTTGATTACCTGCGCAAGGATCCACGGGAGACAGTCTTAGAAACTATCAAGGCAATTGAGAGGGATATTGTGCAAGATGCCGCTTTATCCCGCAAGTCGAAGAGCAAGTTTTTCAACCGGTGGAACATGGAAAAACTGGTCACTCTTTACGGCTACGACCGAGAATCAGACGAACCAAACCCTGAGGGAATTTCAATTGCGAACGAGATTCATCGCATTCTGCTGAACGTCTGTAAGTCTGCTAGCTTGGGCGTTCTGCTTCCCGAAGCTGGATGGTATCCAGTCGGAACCGACCCGGAATCTCTGGTTGAAGATGATACCTCTATCGAACTGGGCCTCGACTCCCCCATCTACGTTGACAAGTACCGAGACACAATTCCTGTTCGAAACAACACTCTGTCACATCTTATTCAATGTCTTCGCCCCGATGCGGACAGTCTGCAAATTGAGTTGTTGGTGACAATCTTCAAGGTGGCACCAGAGCTGATCGCCGACTTTTTTACCAAGAAAGTCATGTTCACATCTGACCCCAAGGCAACTCCTTCTTGGATGGCCGAGTCAGCTCTTCTTTTCTCCATCGTACAGTTGCCGGTTCCGACGAACTGTGGCTGGAAAGAAAAGCAACCTATGTTACCACCACCAGTTTCGGTCGTCGCGGAAAACATCCTTCCCCGTCCATTGAGCCAGAAGATCATGACCCGCTGCTTGAATCAAAATGCGGAGATTGTCACTTTGTTCGCTGTGCGCATGTTAACTCTGGCCTTCACAAAGTTGCGAGCTGTCTTGAAGATCTTCCGTGCCGATCATGGTCGAGCTCAATTGTTCTGGACCCAGGCCTCTTCCAAGCTTTTGGCCGAGTTCTCTCGCAGATGTCCCGAAGTCAAAGACGTCGTTCTTCTTTTCCGACGAACTGCAAAGGAGGATTTGCAACAGCAAGAAGCCGTTGCCGAATTACTGACTTGCTACTATGAAATCATGCCTGACATTGCACTTGAGGAAAATTTCGATGTCTCATTGGTCCTCGTCGATGTACTCAAACGACTAGAAGACTCGGAGCTCAGCGCGGATGATTCCGAGCTGCTCTTGAGCCAGTTGCAGAGCGTTTTGCAGATTGCTCAACAATCTGCCTCGCTACGTTGGTGGCAAAAACCAGGTAGGTTACCGTCCCTTGGGCACGTGTGATTTTTATTTCTGACTTTTTCCAGCTTCCATGAATTATACCCCATTCACATCCATTCTGAAAGTTCTTATCGACACTTCAGACAAGATTTCTTCCCGGCGGATTTCTATTCTTCTCAGAACTATCCTGGTAGAGAACTCTGTTTTACACAATGCCCCGAAGGCGTTCAACGCTCTTTTGTCCAGTCTTGAAGACTCTGGAAGCGAGTTGCACAAGCAATTGGTTTTCTTTGACAACTGCGTGTCTCGAGTTGCAAAGAAGCCCGTCCACTACCTGAACCTCGTTGCATCTCTATCCGAAGATGAAAGCGCCACAAGCCCTATAGTCGCGGCCATTATTGAACAGTGGCCTTTTGTTGTCAAGGCAGGTGATGAAACTACGGAGGCCGCTGTTGCTGCCTGGATCGCCAAGTTCCTGGGACAATTGAAACAGGAGGGTGAAAGCAGTAAATCTCTGAAAGCTGCTAGAGATTCGCTGATGGAGGCTACTGAAGCGAAGAAGATGCGCTCTCTTTTCAAGAAATGCTTCAAGGGCACAGAGGAGGTGGATTCAGAAGATAAAATGGACATTGACTCCGGTCCTACCCAACCAACTGGAGGCGATAAGGCTTCTACAGTGGACCTGGAGGAGATCTTTGGATCTCTTCCCACGGAGGGCACATCCCACAACGCATTACATAAATGGGAAAGGGAGGAAATCGAGGCAGCCATGGAACAGGGCCATGCCGATCAGCTCATTCTATGTCTTTGCTCTGAGCACGAAGAAGTCCGAAGACAAGCTGTGGCCAACCTGGTTCGCTTCATGGCTAAGCTGAAGGTATGCCCGTATAACTCTATTAGTCGGCCTTGTATATCGAACTAACACCCCCAGGAATCAAATTATGCTGAATGGCGTACCGTGTACACTCTAACCGGAGAATTGCTGGAAACCGCAAGCAGCATTGGCTTCGAGAAGCCCATTCCTTGGATCGTTGGCGAATGTGCATCTAACTGCCTCTCCGTTCTCCTCAACCCCCTCCACAAAGTCTACGGTAAAGTGAACAAATTCTTACAAAAAGCCCCATCTTGGGAAGTTGAGAAGATTCCGTCTTACTGGATCGACCGAATCTTCCTGCAAGAGCCCGAATTGGACGACGGATACTTTGAAGAGATTGATTGGTTGCTCAGTCTGTTCGTCAAAGGTCTCCGCAGCAAAGCTGTAAGTTTCAGCACCCTAATTGCTTCCTTGCTTTACTATATGTCTCAATACTAACGATTTCGTAAAGGATATGGAGATTTACCGCCGCGCAAATGTCTTTGAGCGCATCTTATCTCTTTACCAATCCCCAAGTCTGACCGACTCGTCCCGCCGAAAGATCTTGCAAATTATTTACCGTGCCACACAAGTGGACGGGAGCACTACCTTGATTACTCGTTCCGCTGTCATGAGCTGGATCCAAATCCAAACTTCAGAGACAGAGCCTTCCAGTAAAGAGGCAGCTCTTCTTGCGGCTCTTGCACGCGCGCTATATGATACGTCGGACCGTGAACGGATCGAGGCATGGAGCGCTGGAACCGTTGAGCGTGCTTTGGAGGAGATCGAGACTGCAGCCGCATAGGCAAAAAAGACAACCGTGATGTACCATAATTCATTCAAAATTAGACTTGGCTTTTGGGGGTTTTTTGTCATAATGAATCATTATTCTCTTGAATCTTGAGAAACTTCAAATTGTTTTTGTTAAAGGGCATCCTGCGTAAATTTGTTTATAACAAAATGTATAGT